AGCAAACATTAAGCATGGCTACATCTTCTCTTAGGCTACATTGTTTGAACAATCCGAATGTATGTTGCTATATTTGCGGAGAATATACATCGCAATCCAACAAGAAAGGAATCAGTAAATTTGTGTGCTTATCTTTCCTACTTCAGAGTAATGCTGGGTGATCAAGATAAGATATGGGCACCCCATATTGTATGCAAGCAATGTGTTAAGCATCTTCGACAGTGGGCAAAAAAGAATAAAAAGTCACTCTACTTTGGTATTTCTATGGTCTGGCAGGAACCGAAAAATCATTTTAATGACTGCTACTTCTGTGTAGTAAACACTGAGGAAATCAAAGGGAAGAACAAAAAATCGTTCGTTTATCCAAACCTCCAGTCTGCAATTGGACTAATTCCACACTGCAATGTAAATTCCTGTTTCTGTGTTTGAAGTCTTGCCCGACTGGATTTGTCTGGCTCTGAAGAAGACCCTATCTCCATTTTTCCCAGTGATAGTAGTGAAGGCACTGTTTCAGATTCTGGCTCCTCAATTAGTCGAGCGTTGCAAGATTGTGTTTCTTCCCCTTCACATAAAGCTTGGCATCATGAAACAGTGTGTGAAGGCTCTTGAGCAGACATGGGCAAACCTCGGCCCGCGGTGCGTTGGGTATTTCAATCTAGCCCGCCTTATGCTGCCACAAACAAACTCAAGCCAAATTTTAATGTTTTAGGTAAAATTAGCTCAAGGAATTTGTTGAGATTGCGATTAACTTTAGTTTTGGCACGAGGCTGATTGTTTTCCACTTTTGCTTTTGTAACATCGTAAGTATTGTACATGAAATGTAACTTTTACGTCACACTTACATCGGCCGCTAGACTTGATGGGCAAAATTTTTGAAACCAGTTCCAAGCCTTGCTCTTGCGAAAGATGGCGACTGTTTCAAATATATTTGCAGGAAACTTCCAGGTTTAACCACTGAAAAATTAAAAGCTGGAATTTTTGATAGACCTCAGATTCGTAAGTTAATGAATGACACAACTTTCTGTAGTTTTATGAATCCAACAGAATTGAGTACTTCGACGTCGTTTACAAATTTAGTAAAATACTTTTTGGGAAAAACATAGGCGCCCAACTACAAAGGGCTTGTTAAAACACAACAAGTCCCCGTCAACTAGGTGCAAATATGAGCATCAAGTTACATTTTTAGCACAGCCATCTTGCCCATTTTTCAAAAAATCTAGCTGATATGAGCGATGAGCAAGGGAAGCACTTCCATCAAGATATCAGCAACATGAAAGTTCGCTATCAAGATCTTTGGGATACCACCATGCTTGCAGACTGCTTTTGGCCTATCAAGCGCGATGATGCCGGGCCCTCCCATTCTAGAAAATCAGTAAAACGTCAATTTTAAGCTGATGACATCGATTGTTATCATTTTACAACTTCCAGCTTTAATTGGGAATATTTTGGTGAGATTCTATGAATGAGTTCAATAAAATTCCGAAAATTGTTTCTTTAATTTGCTTATCTTTATTGTAGCTAACGGCATCCTACAAAGAGGGATATACCATAGCAGAAAAACTAAACCTGATAGAGAAAAAGTAACAGCATTTCTGGAACCAGCGCCCTCAACTTTGCTTAAACGGTTAATTAAAACATCCTAGGCACCATGAGAATTTATTTTTGTCGGCCAGTGTTAGACACCTATCTTTACGTATTGTCAATATATATATTTTTTCGAAATTTCACCAAAATTATAAACAAGGGAGCTATGCTTAAATATATACGGACACGGGTGTACGGCGCTGTTCGCCATTCCCCATTAACAAATCTTAGCAAAACAAGAATTTCATTACATGGAAACCACCGACGTTCGATGAGCACGTGATCAAAAGAACAAGAAGAAGAGTGCCAAAATAAAAATAAATCCATTACGTGTTAAAAAAACGAATCTCACAGTGCTAACAAGAATATTTGAAAATAAATGAAAAGAACAGCCTTCTCAAGAAAATTTTTTGTCTTTAACCACTGAAAAGTTCAGAGCAATTGGTCCAGTAATCAAAGAGAAAAGCGACTCTTTAGGTTTTCCACTAGGTGTCCAAAAAAAAAAACGATCCAGAGGTCCGCTCCGTCTCCAACAAGCCATGCAAGATGAACATTGCCACGTGTAACTGGACGAATGCTTCATGCATATAAACGTGGAAAACAGTCACGGGCAACCAACAGTTTTACATAAACCTCCATGCTATTGATTTCAATTGAGCCATTCAGATAGTTACTTTAAGTTTTATACGGAATATCCGAGAATACTTTGTTTTGCCTCGCACAATTGTATTAAATATATAGCAAATTCATCTTTATATTCATCAAAGATATGGACACGTAAAGCATTTCGTCAATTTCCGAAAATCATACCACAGTCCAACGTTCGGCATAAAAAACTTCACCACCCTTCGCTAAGCACTCACTAGACCCACCGGCAACCGCCGAGCACGAATTCAGCTGATGTGTGTACGCAGAACGTTCGGTGAGTCATAGCAAACAAAAAAGGAATCCCACAGAGCTAACAGAACTATTTGAAATAAATAAAAGTAATAGCCTTCTAGAAATAAGTTCCATCTTTCACCACTGAAAATTTTGAAAAAATTGGTACAGTAATCAAAGAAAAAAGCGACTTTCTAAGTTTTTCAATATGTTTCCAAAAATAATGCAAAACGATCGGTATGTCCACTATCGTCTCCAACGAGTCAATTCAAGGGTGTCAGATGAAAAGAAAGGTTCGTAGACTACCGGTTGTGGCAATTCTTCGATAAGAGATTAACACCAATATACATCATACATATGGTGCCTGGTACAAATTGTTTTGCGTATATAACTAAACAAAGGAAGTGTGAGCCATACCGGTATCATTAGCAAAGAGTTTCAACAATAATTTAGTGTTACGAGGAAAATCGTTGACGAATATTATTAACATTATTGACCAAAGTATTGAGCTTTGCGAAATGCCTCATTGATCCACAAATTGAGCTAGTTTTGTCACTCTCGTGTGTAAAAGTTTTTCGAATACTATGGTTATGATAGGATAATTGAAATGGGACGATATTTGATGCATATTCTTTGTCTACAGTTTTGAACACGAGTGAAACTTTGGCAAGTTTCAAACAGTTGGGCAAAGGCATCTACATACCTTATATGGTATACGAGACACTATTATCGGGCGCATTTGAGAGATTTATTTTCATATCCTAATGCTTCATCTGTTGTTAGCCCGGAATGTTTCTAGTCCACGAAGGAAAGATTCTTTCACTGGATTCTTAAAATTAGTCAAAAAAGGATTTAATGTAATGGGAAATATTATCTGACTATAGTTGGCATAGGGATAAAAAATGATTGTTAATGTTATTGATAAGTGAATCACATACTTTCGACCCATTTTCAGTTCTAAACAATTCAATTACAGATATTATTTCTTTTTAATATTAGATAAATGTCCAATAAACTCACAAGTAAGTACATTCGATATCACCCCAAATTCTTTTCAAATTTATCAAAGTAATATAAATTTTATTACCTCAATTATTAGAGTCTGAATTAAATATTAAGTTTTATTTCATCTATGAGGAATATTGTTAATCTTCTTTGAACGGCTATCCCTTTGGATTTTAGACGATTTAGTAGTTTCTTTGGTGTCTGAGTACCAATATTTGTTCGAATTGTGGGTGATGATCACTGTTGTCACATAGAATAATCAAGCTGTACAATTCATATATTATGTCACTTGTGAAGATATTACCAATTAGTGAACAAGATGATAAAGTTACTCTTGTTGGTGGCATAATTAAAGGCAGTGACAAATTTGCTGAGAGCATATCAATATATTTTATGGTGGCCAAATGACAAATATTTATTTTTCTTTTTGACCTAATTATATTAATTTTTTTTTCAATACATTTTATTTTTTTACGGTCCATGTCAAGATATTTGCCACAGCTTCCAAAAGGGAGGTGTTGGAAGAAAAAGACTCAGCAGTTGTTGATAATACGATTCTGACCAACCAAAGCATTTCATTCTGTATTGTTTATTTGAACCTCCTGAAGTAGACGCACCAAGATGGCGCACAACCTGAACTCAGGTTGTGTGCCAGGTTAGGGTTCAGGTTGTGCGACATCTTTCACCTCTAGGATTCAAAGTCTGCTATGGTCTTTACATAAGATCAATAATTAATTAATACATAACCATATGGGATCAAAATTATTACATTAATAATTGATTGTTGTAGTTTTCAGAGAACTATGTTGAATTAACTGCGTAAGTGTTAAGCCTGCTGGCAATGAGGTGGCAGTTTGGTTAGTAATGTTAACAACGATGACACAATTGTTTGGGTTGTACTGACTGCGGTTTATATATTCACAACTTTCCTTTCATTTATTTTTGACAAGTTTATACGAAGAGTAGAAGACATATAACGTTCAGCGTCAAATAATCTCATACCATATCAAAACAAAAATAAAATAGGGTTCAACTCCAGTCAACGTATGGGAGCATAAATATTTTTTTAAATGAAGTTCCGCTATTTGGTCATACAAATTTCTAACAGCATAACATTCTAATGTTGATTACTTATATTTCTTAGTAATAGTTGGTTAATGTCGATATTCATATTTCACTTATCCAACATATTGGAACGCTGGGATATGATCTTACATGTCGAACATATTGCTTATTATTGAGGATATCTACGTAGACTCATAAGGTAATTTGTATACACAACCAGGAATCATTAAATGTTGTCAAATCCGTGGTGCGTGGGGTGTGATACGAAAACATACATTGTGGTATGTTTGGAGCTGAGTATTATAAGTAGTGGCAGCATATAATTATAGTCTAGTCGAGTTATGATAATTCTGAGATAAGGTTCTGGTGCACATAGCAAAATGAATTATATATCTTGATTTCTGTTGGAGAGATTTAATAAAGATATATTCTATTGTTCTTAATGGTGACTATTTGACGCAACAAAAATGACCGAGTGCCATTGCTGGTTTGTTTTCTTAACATTTCTTGCAACGTCTGATGCAGGTATTCAATTTCTGAATTTTATTTTATTTCTATTTTGTTAATAAACTACAACTTTTGGTTGTATGCATTAAGCAGTGTCACAATTTGCTTGGTGATTAGTGAATACGCGCGATCACATCCACAATGTTATATTTTGTAGTTTTGCGTTTGTTTGAAAAATGGGCATTTATTTCAGTTGGGTAACAAAGTAATTATTTACAATAATATTTCTCATGGGATTCTTGGCGTTAAATGTTATCTATTATCATTCCCAGATAACATTTATGATGAATGATTATCGTTTTCAGGACTTTGGAAGACTGTGAACAGGCCTTTTTATAAACTAACGTTTTACAACATTGATTCTACATGGCAGGGGGCAATATCCTTTTGTAAGATTAAAGGATCAAGTCTTGTTCAACTTGATGATAGCTCTGTAAAATATGATGTTATTAACACAGTCGAAAGGTGACGATTTATTTCATTAGGACACTTACTATCGTCGCCTAAACACAATATTTTTGGTGTAAAAACGAATATTGTATAGCAAGCGATGATTTTTTTAAAGCCCCTGATAAAGTTTGCTAGTTTCTGCCCATGGCATTTGCAGAGTGGTAGTTGATAATTTAATTTAACCTGAGTTGCACTTATTAATTAAATAACACATGTCAAGTCTATTGAAACGAAGCTGCATTTCACCATACATTTTTTTCAAATATGCTTCAATTAATGTAATCAATCAGTAAGAGGTTTCTTCTGCATTTAAAAAATATTTGGAAATTAGAAGAAATAATTCTAAGAAGTTTTTTTTCAAATATCATTATATTTTGATTTAACGTTTTTTTTTTGTAATCTCTGCTGTAGCCGGAGTTTTAGTATCAATGAAGTATCTTAATCCCTAATTTTTGTTTAATTTTGACCCGTGGTCAGATCAATTACTCAGATTAATTCAATAATATATTATTACTACAAAACTTTTCACCAATACTCAAGTTGATGTATTGCATCAATTAAAATTAAAACTTTGTCCATCCTTTGCGTTTGCAATTTTCTTACCGATATAATGAATCTCTTGTATTTATTGAGAAAAGTTAAATGCCATATTACATCACAATATATCTGTATGACTCATATAAAATAAGAAAAATCAATATGTTATAGTTATGGAGCCACTGATTACTATTGGATTGGAGCAACAGATGAAGCCTCAGAAGGACATTGGAAATGGATGGATGGATCTTCAGCCTTGATTTCTTCTTGGTAAATTATTTTCTTCTATACAAGATCACCATTGCTTTGGCGAAATATATTTTGCAAGATTTCATTTGTAAATAAATAAAAGTTGTAAAAGTAAATCAAATCCTAAATGATGACAACAATGCTGCTGGCCATATATGCTGACCAATGACCATTGTCATCGGCCATAGTAAAAAAATCTTAATAAACGACTTCATTATATTTATTTCTACACAGGCCCTTTTATAAAAAATTAAAACTCCTTCCTCTATCAGTTTTTACTCCATTTGATACTTTGTAGGAATTCCGGAGATCCAAATGGCGGAAGGGGAGAAAATTATCTTGCAATAAGCAGGAACGGAAAATTATTTGATTATGCTTCAAGTCATCTCAAAGGTGTTATATGTATTAAAGGTCAGAAGAGCAATTCTGAATGAATGTGGATTTAATTTAAATATTTTCTTCCTGGTTTCATTTGCCAAAGAAACAAAATATCTCCAATAGCTTCATTTGTATATTTAACGGCGTAATAACTTTTGTTTTAATACTACGGAAATAGGAAACTGATTTTTGCTATCTCATACATTAGCAAACTCGAAACTGTAAAGTTGAAAAAGTGTAACCTTGCACGAAATGCTGAAAATACAATATTTTCTAGAAAATAATTTCCAAATATAATACCCCACCAGGTAGGGCCTACCTCATCCAATTTTATTACATTGCCGATGCAACTTCGTACCGACAAGATTCCGGTTTTTTTAAATAACAGTAGCTTATTATATCTCGTAAAATACCAGATATATATCAGAAACCGGCTGCACGGGGTCTTGTTCAGAACGGGAGGCGCGCATAAGCTTCGCAAATAGTTGCAATTATGCTCCCTGGCATTCTATTTTAATCTTTGTTTGGATACCAGCGGTAGTATGAGTATATTTAGCAAATAGTATTGGTATAAACTGTAACAAAGATAATAAAAAAAATTATATAAACGGTATAATTTTGCGACAGCTCTTTTATGCAACACTCAATACTGCTTGTCAATCTCGTCAATTGGCCATCAGGAACAAATACAAGTATATATAAATAAGAAACAGAACGTAAGGTTCATCTTTGGGTGAATTCAATTTAACACTGTTATTTTCCAGATACATGAACCTATATATTTGAACAAAATAATAATTCTAGTGAACATATAGTATTTTTCGTAGGTGAAACAGAACTAATAATCATTCTTGCTTACATTTTCATTTTATTTGTAGTGTTTCCCAAAACAATTTCTCGGGATATATACAGACTGGAAGCAATTGGAAGACATCCCATTAAAGTTACTTATGGAACAGCTCATACAGTTTGCGCAAATATGAGATCGCGAGTTTTAACATTTTCATCGGTCACAAATAATCTCATCAAGATTCATTTGAATTCTGAGTAAGTAAACATCAAAAATGAAAATTGACTGTATCTGGTAAAACTAAATATATATATCAATTTTTGAATATTCCAAAATATTCATGATATTTAATCATTTCAGCACTGATGACAAGCTCTGGTTGAATCGTAATTCTGGTTCTAGTTGCTATTCACTATCATTGATAGATTACAAATCGAGAACCACACATTGTACTGACAAGCATTACTACATCTGCGAACAAGGTGTAATATGGCAAATTATTTGTTACTTCATTCCATTTATTGTTTCCAAATTAATTTATTTAAGTATTCTAGTAGTTTACTCTATCATGTAAAATACGATTTATTATCAAAGTACATCAAATATATTTGGGTACTAAAATTTATATTTCATAAAATTCTTTGAAAATTGCTTGATTAAAACTCTCAGGTCATTCTGTATTCGTATTTGTTGAAATTTTTTCAGTTAAAACTCACGATATGCAGATATCATTATCGAACTTCATTGCTGATTCCTATTCTGGGGAAAAAGAAATAACGTGCCTGGCATCTGGGTTTCCACCGCCGACTGTTAAATGGATGAGAGGAAAAACTGCACTTATTCTAACATCAATTAATAATCAAGCTAAAATTGGACAAAGTTTAGTTTTAAATCCAAAACAATTGACAATTAAAGACGAAGGACAATACATATGTTCCGCATCGAATAAAGTTGGACAAACTGTTTACGAGTTTACACGAATTCTCAATGTAAAAGGTGAGTGGCTTGACATAGAATGCACACATATATAAATAAAAAAATAAACCATTAAATTGCTCTTATGGAGAAAGACGAACAAATTCATTTGGTATTACTTGACTATTCGACTTATTTAATATAAAAGTTGCGGCTAGGAAAATGTTGTGCATGGATGTATAAATTTATAAATAAATTGTATATTAAGCAAATAGTTCGGCTTTATTGGGCACAAGAAACCATTTTTTCATTCGTTATTTCTCAACTCTTCTTTTATAATGAAATCTGCAATGCTGTTATGTGATAAAAAGATATATAAACACGTAACAGATTTGGTGAATACAGGTTTAATAACATTTTCACAGTTCCAAGTCAACCATCAATCACAAACATCACTTCGTCACCTTGCAATTCCAATTTATTGATCACTTGGATGCCACATGATCGTGGAGTTGGAATCGAACACAGGTATTTAGCGGCACAAAATACGAACAGATGTTTTATTCCAGAAATAGAAAAAATCTCACGTAAAATCACAATTTAAAAAGGGAGAAACTGAAGCCGATTAACGTTTTACTTGGGCTAACATGTTAAATGCTGAAGTTGCGGTATATTTTTAAAATATCCAAGGTATTTTAAATGATTACTGCCAATATCATAATACCAAAAAAGAAGCTCAAAACTAAATATCATCTATGCTTATTAGATCTCCGCTCTTGGAGGCCCTTCCGGTTGAAATATTCCGGGGGTTTTGTTGTGAGTACTGTGCGTTTCACCGACCAGATTGTTGTTTTGTTTTTATGGCATCAGCGAAAAACCGCGCCGATCATTGATAAATTTGCTGTTTATTTTTAAAAAATCTAATTTTAAATTATTGCTACTAATAAAATATCAAATCTATCTAAAATAAATACCTCTATCTAAAATACTGATACAGTATTCAAAATTTCAGTTTTTTTTTTCAAATTTGTTGCTATTATTTGGTAAACTACCTCGAAAATTAAAACTCCCCGCAAAATTAAATACTTATTACAAGACGTTGTTCATCTCTTTAATTCATAAACTGGGATAGCCATGGGAATTTTGGTAAACATGATTGATTTTTAACCGCAGTAAACCGCTCACCCGAGAATACCTGGGAGACGCGCAACACCAAAAATGAACTGGCAGTTTCGTTTTCCAGTTCACTGTCGCTAAGAAATAGCTGTCGTTATAGGTGCAATATTGCGTGATTGGTAACGGTTTTCTGATACACGGGCCGCTTCATGTATTAGCGCAGATCCAGGGCGTCTACCGACTTGTTTAATGAACAATCAAATATCGTTCTATTATAGATTTCAGATTATGGATCCTATCAACAGCAACAATTATAAAGTTTTCTTAACGACGCCGAATAATGTCTCCATGACGTCCGTCGTGACAGGGCTGCAACCGTCAACATCTTATATTATCAAGGTAATTTTTTGGTATAATGGATTTATAAATTTTGAATAGACTAAAATCTCTCTGTTGCAAACGCCTATGGCCGTATGAAAAAATACCTGACTCTAAACTTTTAGATTGAGCCATGCTTAACATCTCCATCAACTTGCCGCAGCGAATACGCAATAACCACAAATGGAACCACAGGAGGTCTACCCGGTCCTGTTACAAATCCAAGTTTGGAGATGACTTATGATGGTTCTTGCAATGTTTCTTGGTCGACAGTAAAGAGCCCGAAACATATATCCGGTTACAAGGTCGGTATACTGTCTACTGACGGTGTGAACGATTTAACGTATTTGACAAGACGATTTTTAATCACTTGTGTTTAAACGTAGAGACCATCATGTGAAATGAGAACGTCATTTGTTCATTTAGATTTTCAAGTGGTTCAAGTAGATTTAGTTTAGTTTAATTGTTTCTGCATATACAACTCTTTGAAATTGAACTCTATCTATATAAGACTATGGTTGATGCCGAAAAATAGAGAATAATGTTACGTAAATTATAAAAACAATTATACCTAAAAACTAATCTGTTTATTTAAGCTCGTTATCAACTCAACAAAGGCCATAGTATCGTCATACTATAAAGATGATTTCGAAATAAATGAATCATTTCTATCATCTGAGAAAACTTCATATGTTCTTGCAAAGATTTTCAATAGAAAATACAATGTGTCTATTCAAGCTAAAACTTGTGCAGGGTTTGGACCAGGGTCAGAGGCGGTTGGGGAATGTGTTACTGATACTAACGGTAATTCCGAATTTTCCTTAGTCACTCTACGTTTCAGGCTTTCGTAATTTGATATCACAATAAAATATAATTATTTCCGATTATGAATGGTATACAGCATATACACAATATTTATCTTTATTGCATTTCCGCTTAGATTTAAATTGCAATTGCCGGCCAGATGCAATTTTATTAAATACGTAGATTACGTTGTAAAAATAATACCACACTCGAATAGTCTAGGCCAGGGTATTATCTCTTTATTTAAACGCAAAACACATATAATTACTGTATATGCTATAGATAAAAAAAATTATGTAATTTACAGCATCATCCAAAATTCAGGCACCAACTGCCAGAGATAAAATGACTAATTCTGGAATTATGGGACTTTCTTGTTAGCAACACAAAAATAATGTTTTCGGTGTTATATATAACTAACCTCATACATCTAGACACAGACACACAAACCTCAAACACACACACAAGTTTTTCCCTGTAAACAACGAATCGTTTAACTCTCACGATGCCAAAATTTTATTTATTTTTACATTTATGTGGAAGATATGAAATTTCGATTTTTGCATAATTTGTAAAGTAGCAACCCTCAACTAACTGGTCAAATGTTCATCGGTCAATTGCCTTCTCCTTCTGCCTTTGGTGAGCTTCATTTTGAAGAAAAATTATCTTATAGTAATGATGGCACCGAGCGAAACGACGGAAAATTTAACAAAGCGTCAAAAGCAAAAAATATCCTATAATTAACCCGTGTGTGCATTTTTCACTGACAAGGGCCACACTAGATGACATGTCAGGCCATGTTGTGGCCCGCAGGCCGCCTGTTGCACAGCCCTGATTAATACCAATATTTTAGGGACTCAAAATCTGAATAATCAATCATAGTATGAAAAGTATGCTACTATTTTTTTTATTTCATTGCAAATGACAAAAGTGTAAAATATCGATTGAGTGTATATTTGATTTTCAATGAAAATGCAACACTTATATAAAAATAAAGTCAATATAAAATGTTCCCATTAACGCTTTTTATGTTTACAGTACCATCTATTTTACGAGCACCTACAACCGAGGAAAAGATAACTGACAATGGAACTTTAGCGATTTCAATTAACGTTCCAGATGAAAGCAATGGCCCTGTGAGGTATCTAGCTCATCCTAAATGTTTTCCCAGCTTAAAACAAATGTAAGTTTTGAACAATTCGAAAAATGAATCTTCACGAAAAAGCAACGCTATATTTCTAAAAACTAAAATGATAAATCATATATATTTTATTTATTTATTGCTCGTATATTTACACTGAACATATTGATCTTTGTCAAGAATTACATTCTTCTTAATTTAATCATTTTGACTTCTATCTCTTATATATATTACAGTTGTTTATTCATCATTGTTCAAGGCAATATAGAAGCTAAATTTCTATCTTTAATCGAAAAATCACGTATGGCCGAACTGAGTTCTGGAAGACTACAAGATGAATACATTGCAATTGCTCTAAATAGAAACAGGTTTGTCTAACTAAAACAATTTATCAAGTAGTCTATCAATATTGCGCAGGTTGCATTGTTTATTGGCGTAACTAATAGTCTCCCGAATATATTGTTTATCACTGTTATAAGGAATGACCAAGTGGTCTTATGCGTAATAATATATGGCATATTCTGCATAAATGTAAATTAATTGATTTTTGTTCGTTATGTATAGCTAAAACAGAGTAAAATTATTCAATAACATATATATTCGAGACCTATTTTTCACCTTCCTATAAATTTGCTTTGTTCATGACTGACTTGATGGTGATTTGTCATTAACATTAATGTAGTTAAATTAAAAACTATTCACGCACTGTACCAAGGTATTGATATGGATATAATCATTTTGATTGCTTTTGAAGCATTAGGTCAAATCTTTCTACCATCAATCTTATTCTTGGAAACAAAAAGAACACCACATGCGACGCCAGTAAACCAAATCATCAACAACAAACAAACAGCTCTGACAATGTATATGAAGCATACAACAAAAGATTATCAAATTCGCAAACTTACAAGTGAGATAAACTGCGGCAGTTAGCAATTCGTTGATTGTCTAATTTTTTCTGTTTTCATTTATGATCATAAAAACAATATTTCTGATATCAGCCATTGATTGATTGAATATATTATGAAAATGCTGTCAGTTTGTAACTTATTGAGAAACCGCATAGATCTATTTTATTTTGCAGAATATTTCTTGTAACGGCAACACCGAGTAAAGACACAGTTCTATTCAAAGTCAGTGATGAACTTTTAATCGAGAAGATTGTTCCAGATACCAATCAAAGTAAATTTGCAATTTTCAATATTTAATCTGTTTCGCACATTAACGTTCTTTAATTAGATTGCAACACAAATTGTGACACAATAGATTCATAATGACAAATTTTTTTTCGTAACCGTTTAAGCCGCCTTAAATTGAGGTTTGGATAATAGAGGTATGACATTTTGGTAAAAGTTAATCCTGGTCTTATTCCAAAGTACAAAATACATAATAGTTTGTTACAGCTAGACGATTCATTCTAAAACCGTCGGCAATTTCTTTCAATTCTTTAAATTTTATGCATTACTCAGTCATTACTCAACGGCTACGTTTTACTTTCATTTTCATACAGATATCATCTTAGGAGTGGTAGCTGGAGGAATACTTGCTATTCTGTTTGCTTTTGGGTCTGTATATTATGTGAGGCATCGCAATAATCAAAAGAAATGCAAAACCCCCGAAACCATATCGAGCATTTCAATGAATGTTTCAAAAAAAGAAAAGACAGAATATGTATCAGCAGGTGAGAATGTCGACATAACTAAAACTCTTTTACATGTACAAGTGGAATTTTGATGTCGATATTTGAACTGTAACCATTTTCCTATTATAAAAATTGGTCAATTTTTTAATTCGTTTTTCCCACTTTATTCTGGTAAATTTATTCTTATAAGAACCTCACAATACATGACAATTGCTAATTTACACGGAGCGGACCTACAAATCGTTTTGTCATTTTATAGTTTTGTCAATCAATCTCTTTCATCGTTAACTGCTGTACCAATTGTCTTGAAATTTGTCAGTGGTGAAAGATTGATGTTTTCGCGAGAAGTTTATTACTTACTTTAGTTCGTAACTTCCTGTGTATTACATGTAGCGGTTTTGCGAACGCAGGTGAGCGTTTCTCGCGCTTAACCCCAGTAGGAGGTTTTTTGGAGGGTAGAGTAGAGTATACTCAGTAGACTATGGCACAGGTACTGTAAAATATTTGATGATACATTTGTGACTCGGCTCATTTGGTATTTAAATTCACGTTGAGACTGAAAGCATGAATCGTTATTATCACAGGACCCTGATATCCGGATGCAGGTAATGGTAAGTTACCTAACCTGTTCCACGGTTCCAGATTTGTTTAGGATGGGACTAGTTAAAAAATAATTCGTTTTGGCTTTCGTGTCCATATATATATCAGTATAGCCATATTGTTTATAAATAAAACATGAAATTGGAAAATATTAATGGGATATAACATAGGTATTTGAGTTTCCGATTACTTGATGCAAACACATATTACAACACGTACTACAGATACACAACATCATCTGAATGCGTCAATCAACACTTATGGAACGATTGCTGATAATGGTTACGAGGAAATCTCTGATCGCCCAGAATGGAATCCATACGAGATAGCAGTTAGCCAATATGAGACTGTTTTATGAGAGTCAATGTAATGTAATATATCAGTTATAGTTGTTTTGAAAAAAAAATTAAATTTTTATTTTAGTTCTACGTTATTGATCAATGATAGTTTAAGCCTTGGGTGCGCAACATTTTTGTGCGTGGGTCATCTAACTTCAGACATCAGGGCCACACAAAAAATTCTCATAATATTTTTTTTTATTTATTTAACATTTTAGTTCGACACTTGGAATTTCGAGTTTTCGCATAGTTTGTAAACATAAGCTTCGACAGAAATTGCAGCAACACTTACCTGACTGGTCAAATATTATGTATATATTTTTACCCATGTGACCACCTTTTAAAACATAAACAGTCTTATTAAAATTTTATGCTTTATGGGGAAAAATCTGAGTGTTGACAAGGGCTTAACAGGCTGAGTTGTGGCCCGCGGATAGCATGTCGCACACTCCTGTAATAACCCCAACTAGCACATGACAAAAAAGCAGTGAAATTCGGGAATTTAAAATATTCTGAAATAAAGCTCCAAAATCTAGAATTTATAATTATTATGTATAAAATAAGTCAGTTCATATTCTAATCTTATTAATCCAATTGATATGTAAATTTGTTAATATAGTCATTTGAGGTCTGTATCGGTCGTATGCTCACCGATTTGACGGAAAGTTGAGTAAACAATCTTTTCATACGGCCGTTCCATCCATGGTATAATAATGAAGGCATGTACTGGCTTTTGTTACATTAGTTTCTAAGTAGTAATGATTCAATTTCCCTTTTCGTATACTTGCATTAAGATTTGAGTCTAATTTTATTTTGGTTATGCAACTCATAAATATATACAAGTTAGCAAATATTATGTGTTCATTGAATTTTGAATGATGTTACAAGATATTCCGCTGAATACGTTTTAATAGCACGGTATAAAAACACTAGAGGTATTATCTCCCTTGTAGCCTATATTAATGAGTAGTTTTGCAAGTTCAAAGTGATATTGGAAATACTTTTTAGTGTGAAGGGTATGCAGAATATAAAGGCATTTATAAGCGAACTTGTCAAAATTTACTTCCTGACGCCAAATGCACACGAACAACACAAAATAAAATTTTTTGAAAACTTGTTGTGAGGGTTGGTGGAATCATTTTTTATCTAACAGGTTGGTTGATAAACTCATAATTTTCATCTATATATTAGAAATAATTTCGGAAACTGCAAGGAAAAGTCGAGCTAGAATGAGGAATATTACACTGGCCAACACATTTTTTGGTGCCCAAGGTTTCTAAGCCGATTTAGATAAATTCGGGGGTGCTGAGTACGAAAATTATACTAGTTTCTTCTCAATAGGTCTAATTGTCGAAATGTTCGCTATTTTATACCTTCTTCACCCTAAAATTAGGGTTCTATATGCATTTCAGCGTTATAACTACAAGTGTAGATATTCATTGTGATGTATGCTAAACGATCATGACATCACACACCTTAATTAAAGTAAAAGTCTAATTTGCTATATAGAAAGGTATGTAGTTAGTTGACAAGAAGCGGACACTGCGTAGCAAATAAGCCTGCCGATTATGGCAAATTTTGTCAAGTCAGATAATAACCTGCATTGTTTTACTTGATTTGTAGATTTTTGGAGCCAAAATTAAGCATGGCTACATCTTCTCTTAGGCTACATTGTTTAAACAATTCAAATGTATTTTGCAATATTATGAGGAGAATATACATCACAATACAACAGGAAAGGAATTAGTAAATTTTTGTGTTTATCTTGCCTACTTCAAAGCAATGCTGGGTGATCAAGATAAGGCATGGGCACCCCCTATTGTATGCTAGCAATGTGTTGAGCATCTCCGACAGTGGACAAAAAAGAATAGAAAGTCACTCCACTTTGGCATTTGTATAGTCTGGCAGAAACCGAAAAATCATTTTAATGACTGCTACTTCTGTGCAGTAAACACTGGGGGAATCAAAGGGAATACCCAAAAATCGTTCGTTTATCCAAACGTCCAGTCTGCAATTGGACCACTTCCACACTGCAATGTTAATTCTTGTTTCTGTGTTTGAGGGCTTGCCCGAATTGGATTTGTCTGGCTCTGAAGAAGACCAAACCTCCATTTTTTTCCAGTGATAGTAGTGAAGGCACTGTTTCAGATTCTGGCTTCTTCATTAGTCGAGCGTTGCAAGATTGTGTTTCTTCCTCTTCACATAAAGCTTGACATCATGAAACAGTTTGTGAAGGCTCTTGAGCAGACATGGGCAAACCACGGCCCGCGGTGCGCTGGGTATTTCAATCTGGCCCGCCGTTCTGCCACAAACAAACTCAAACCAAATTTTAATGTTTCAGCTGAAATTAGCTCAAGGAATTTGTTGAGATTGCGATTAAGTTTAGTTTTGACACGAGGCTGATTGCTTTCCACTTTTGCTTTTGTAACATCGTAAGTATTGTACATGAAATGTAACTTTTACGTCACACTTACATCGCCCTCCAGACTTGATAGGCAAAATATTTAGCCCCAGTTCCAAGCCTTGCTCTTGAGAAACATGGCGACTGTTTCAAATATATTTGCAGGAAACTTCCAGGTTTAACCACTGAAAAATTAAAGCTGGAATATTTGATAGACCCCAGATTCGGAAGTTAATGAATGACACAACTTTCTGTAGTTTTATTAATCTAACAGAATTGAGTACTTGGACGGCGTTTACAAATGTAGTAAAACATTTTTGGGAATAACAAAGGCGCCCCACTACAAAAGGGCTTGTTGAAACATTACTTGCAAGTCCCCGTCAACTGGGTGCAAATATGAGCATCAAGTTACATTTTTTGCACAGCCATCTTGTCCATTTTTCAAAAAATCTAGCTGATGTGAGCGATGAGCAAGGGAAGCACTTCCATCAAGATATCAGCAACATGGAAGTTCGCTATCAAGATTTTTGGGATTCCACCAATGCAGACTGATTTTGGTCTATCAAGCGCGATGATGCCGGGCCCTCCCATTCTAGAAAATTAGTAAAAAGTCAATTATAAGCTGATGACATCGATTGTTATCACTTTTACAACTTCCAGCTTTAATTGGGAGTATTTTGGTGAAATTCTATAAATATGTTCAAAACAATTACGAAAAAAAATTGTTTCTGTAATTTCCCTATCTTCATTGTAGCTATCGGCTTCCTACATTAAGGGATATACCATAGCAGAAAAACTAGACCTGATATAGGAAAAGTAACAACGTTTCTGAAATCAGCGCCCTCAACTTTGCCTAGACGGTTAATTGAAACATCCTAGTTAGTCACCTATCTTTACGTATTGTCAATATACCTTTTTTTTCTCGAAATTCCACCAAAATTATAAACAAGGGTGTACGGCGCTGTTAGCCATTCCCCATTAACAAATTTCGAAACAAGAATTTTGTTACATGGAAACCACCGACGTTCGATGAGCATGTGATCAAAAGAACAAGAAGAAGAGTGCCAGAATAAAAATAAATCCATTACGTGTCAAAAAAACGAATCCCACAGTGCTAACAGGAATATTTGAATATAGATGAAAAGAATACCCTTCTCAAGAAAAATTTTCGTCTTCAACCACTGAAAATTTCAGAGCAATTGGTCCCGTAATCAAAGAGAAAAGCGACTCTTTAGGTTTTCCACTAGGTGTCCAAAAAAAGCAAAACGATCAATAGGTCCACTCCGTGTCCAACAACCCATGCAAGATGAACATTGTCACGTGTAACTGGTCGAATGCTTTATACATATAAACGTGGGAAAACAGTCACGGGCAACCAACAGTTTTACATGAACCTCCATGCTATTGATTTCAATTGGGTCATTCAGATAGCTACTTTATGTTTTATACGGAATATCCGAGAATACTTTGTTTTGCCTCGCACAATTGTATTTAATATATAGCAAATTCATCGTTTATATTCATCAAATATATGGACACGTAAAGCATTTCGTCAATTTCTGAAAATCATACCACAGTCCAACGTTCGGCATAAAAAACTTTCCCACCCTTCGCTAAGCACTTGACTAGATCCAACGACAAACGCCGAGCACGAATTCAGCTGATGTGTGTACGCAGAACGTTCGGTGACGTCATAGCAAACAAAAAATGAATCCCACAGAGCTAACAGAACTATTTGAAATAAATAAAAGTAATAGCGTTATAAAAATAACTTCCATCTTTAACCACCGAAAATTTGAAAAAATTGGTAGAGTAATCAAAGAGAAAAGCGACTTTCTAAGTTTTTCAGTAGGTTTCCAAGAATAATGCAAAACGATCGGTATGTCATATTTTATTATTATTTTAATTCAATTTGGAAATTCCATGACATGACAAAATGATATTCTTTATAATTTATTGTTCTCTATTTCAATATACTTTTATACCTTTGAATTGTCTGGCTGAAATGCGATCATGATAGGTTTTATGGAAATGCAACCTGAATATCCTTTTTTTGAATCCTGATCTTTTTTAGCGGTATTCAGAACTATAAAATACAAAGTATCTTGAAAAAGCGTATAACTTGACAGAACTTATTGCATTGCATTTCCCCAAGCCTGGAAGGAACGCATTCTTGCTAGATTAGCCATTTATTACTTAAGACACTAACCCTTGAGTGGTACATACCATATATGCACATTCTCCTATAAACTTGACTATTTCTCCCATTTATAGTATGTGGTATCATTATTCGAGGGTGCTATATGTCCAAATTTTATTCTTATGTATATATATTATATTTCCTGTTGTATTGTCTCTATTTATTGTTGTTTTGTCCTACCAACTCCTTTGTACAAACAGTTGGGCATACTCCACCGTTACCCATGTTGCCTAATCCACCCTCTTCGCACAACTGTCTGTATGAAGGACCATATTATACTTATTCGATTTATTGCATTTTATGCTTATCATAAGAGGTGTATGCCGCACGTTCATGTGTTTTAGGCCAGTAAGGTCTTGTGTATACATCCCGTCTTCAATGTTTATATTTACTAACTCCTGTGTTTTGCTTTTACGAGACGAATAAACATACATACATACATGTCCACTAACGTGTCCAACGAGTCAATTCAAGGGTGTCAGATGCAAAGAAATTGTAGACTACCGGTTGTGGCAATTCTTCGATAAGAGATTAACACCAATATACATCATACATATGGTGCCTGGTACAAATTGTTTTGCGTATATATCTAAACGAAGGAAATGTGAGCCATACCGGTATCATTAGCAAAAAGTTTCAACAATAATTTAGTGTTACGAGGAAAATCGTTGACAAATAATATTAACATTTTTGACCCAAGTATTATGCTTTGCGAGATGCCTCATTGATCCACAAATTGAGCTAGTTTTGTCACTCTCGTGTGTAAAAGTTTTTCGAATACTATGGTCATGATAGGATAATTGAAATGGGACGATATTTGGATGCATTTCATTGTCTCCAGTTTTGAACACGAGTGAAACTTTGGCAAGTTTCAAACAGTTGGGGAATGCCATCTACATACCTTATAGCAGGGGTGGGCACAATTTTTTAGTATAAGAGCCGCATGCTGCAAGTCAGAACTACATACCTTATATGGCAGTGGTTCTTAAACTTTTCGAGCGCGACCCAAATCTGAGTTTTATGAATACTCGCGACCCAATCCTAAATAACGCAAAATGTGTTTTTAATGTTAGTACAGTTTGACTCAAATACAGACAACTATTTACTAGAAACAGTCCATTGACTCAGTGAGATTGATGAAACTGAAATTTCCATTTCATTATATCTTCAATACACAGCTCTATTTTACTTAACGCAATACGCAAGTTGTTACGGGTATCGAGGCGATTGCGAGCTTAGTTTCAATAACCGTCAGTGTCAAATATCCTCGCTCGCACAAGTGCCTTGTCGCGAATTGTAGCAGAAAAGGCGTCCGCTGTCCGTCGCAAACACGACATCCTAGCTGGCCTTCGGTATCTCTCGCAATATCCAACTTTTTACTAATCAAATGTGCACACACTGCTTCGTTCGCGGTAAATGGTGCCTCGAGATGAGGTCACATTTTTTCTAGATATTGAATAATCTAATGTCGAGAAGCGAGCTTTTTCATTGCGTCGTCTATTAAAATTTACATTACCAAATAGACACCACTTTTTTGGTTATTCTAATCCACTAAGACGACATTCCACGTGGTCAACACAACGACAAGCGACGTGCATGGTTACCGATACCATAAAAATAATACACGTGACTGGCATATCAGAATTGTGATGTAACAATGAGCTCAAGACAGTTCTTTCCGTGAATGAAATTTTATATTTCGTTATTTTTAAATACCAGAGTTTAGAAGCTAAATTGAAACATTGGGAAAGCTGAAAATTCTTCTTTCTTCTCTTAGATTGCCCTTGCATTGACGACCTTGTCGCGACCCATTTTTAAACCTTCCGCGACCCATGTTTGGGTCGCGACCCATACTTTAAGAACCACTGTTATATGGTATAGGAGACACTATTATCGGGCGCATTTAATATATTTATTTTCATATCCTAATGCTTCATCTTTTGTTAGCCTGGAATGTTTCTAGTCCACGAAGGAAAGATTCTTTCACTGGATTCTTAAAATTAGTCAAAAAAGGATTTGATGTAATGGGGAATATTTTCAGACTATAGTTGGCAAAGGGATAAAAAATGATTGTTAGTGTACTTGATGTAAAGTGAACCACATACTTTCGATCCATTTTCAGTTCTAAACAATTTAATTGCAGATTTTATTTCTTTTTTTAGTAAAAGATAAATGTCCAATCAACTCCCAAGTAAGTACATTCAATATCACCCCAAATTCTTTTTAAATTTATCAAAGTAATAAAAATTTTATTACCTCAGTTATTAGAGTCTGAATTAAATATATTAAAGTTTTATTTCATCTATGAGAAATATTGTTACTTCTCTTTGGATGGAAACGGGTATCCCTTTGGATTTTAGGCGATTTAATAGTTTCTTTGGTGCCTGAGTACCATATTTGTTGTCACATAGAATAATCAAGCTGTACATTATGTCATTTTTGAAGATATTATCACTTAGTAAACAAGATGAAGAAGTTACTCTTACTTAACTCAGGTTGTGTACCAGGTTAGGGTTCGGGTGGTGCGATATCGTGGTGCGCATACTTCAGGAGAACCGTTTATTTTTCACATCTAGGATTCAAAGTCTGCTATGGTCTTTACATAAGATCAATATTTAATTAATACATAATCATATGAGATCAAAATTATCACATTAATAATTGATTATGTTGTAGTTTTCAGAGAACTATGTTGAATAACTGCGTAAGTGTTAAGCCTGCTGGCAGTGAGTTAGCAGTTTGGTTAGTAATGTTAACAACGATGACACAACTGTTTGGGTTGTACTGACTGCGGTTTATATATTCACAACTTCATTTCATTTATTTTTGACAAGCTTATACGGCGAGTAGAAGATATATAACGTTCAGCGTCAAATAATCTTATACCATATCAAAACAAAAATAAATTTGGGTTCAACTTCAGTCAACGTATTGGAGCACAAATATTTTTTGAAATGAACTTCCGCTATTTGGTCATACAAATTTCTAACAGCATAACATTCTAATGTTAACTACTCATATTTCTTAGTGATAGTTGGTTAATGTTAATATTCATATTTCACTTATCCAACATATTGGAACGCTGGAATATGATCTTACATGTCGAACATATTGCTTATTATTGAGGATATCCACGTAGACTCATCAAGTAGTTTGTATACACAACCAGAAATCCTTAATTGTTCTCAAATTCGTGGTGCGTGGGGTGTGATACGAATACATACATTGTGGGATGTTTGGAGCTGAGTATTATAAGTAGTGGCAGCATATAATTATAGTCTAGTCGAGTTATGATAATTCTGAGATAAGGTTCTGTTGCAAATAGCAAAATGAATTATATATCTTGATTTCTGTTGCAGAGATTTAATAAAGATATATTCTATTGTTCTTAATGGTGACTATTTGACGCAACAAAAATGCCCGAGTGCAATTGCTGGTTTGTTCTCTTGACATTTCTTGCAACGTCTAATGCAGGTATTCAATTTCTGAATTTTATTTATTTTCTATTTTGTTAATAAACTACAACTTTCGGTTGTATGCATTAAGCAGTGTCCCAATTTGCTTGGTGATTAGTGAATACGCGCGATCACATCCACAATGTTATATTTTGTAGTTTTGCGTTTGTTTGTGAAAAATATGCATTTATTTCAGTTTGGGTCTCAAAGTAATTATTTACAATAATATTTCTTATGGGATACTTGGCGTTAAATCTACTATCGTTCCCAGATAACATTTATGATGAATGATTATCGTTTTCAGGACTTTGGAAGACTGTGAACAGGCCTTTTTATAAACTAACGTTTTACAACATTGATTCTACATGGCAGGGGACAATATCTTTTTGTAGGAACAAAGGATCAAGTCTTGTTCAACTTGATGATAGCTCTGTGGAATATGATGTTATTAACACATTCAAAAGGTGACGATTTATTTCATTAGGACACTTACTTTCGTCGCCTAAACACAATATTTTTAGTGTAAAAACGAATATTGTATAGGAAGCGATGGTTTTTTTGAAGCCACTGAAAAAATTTGCTAGTTTTTGCCCATGGTATTTGCAGATTGGTACTTGATGATTTAATTTTACCTGAGTTGCACTTAATAATTAAATAACACATGTCAAGTCTATTGAAACGAAGCTGCATTCCACCACAATTTTTTTTCAAATATGCTTCAATTAATGTAATCAATCAGTAAGAGGTTTCTTCTGCAAAAATTATTTGAAGATTAGAAGGAATAATTTTAAGAAGTTTTTTTCAAATATCATTATATTTTGATTTAACGTTTTTTTTTTTTTGTAATCTCTGCTGTAACCGGAGTTTTGGTATCAATGAAGTATCTCAATCTCTAGTTTTTGTTTAATTTTGATCCGTGGTATGATTAATTACTTAGATTAATTTCAATAATATATTGTCACTACAAAACTTTTTACCAATACTCAAGTTGATGTATTGCATCAATTAAAATTAAAACTTTGTCCATCCATTACGTTTGCAATTTTCTTACCCATACAATGAATCTCGTGTATTTATTGAGATACGTTAAATGCCATAATACATCACAATATATCTGTATGACTTATAAAAAATAAGAAAAATCAATATGTTATAGTTCTGGAGCAACTGAATTCTATTGGATCGGAGCAACAGATGAAGCCTCAGAAGGACATTGGAAATGGATAGATGGATCTACAGCATCGATTACTTCTTGGTAAATTATTTTTTTTTATAAAAATTCATTATTGTTTTTGCGAGATATATTTTGCAAGGTTTCATTTGTAAATAAACAAAAGTAAATCGAATCCTAAATGCTGATAATAATGCTACTGGCAATCTATGCTGACCATTGTCCTCGGCCATAGTAGAAAAACACATCCTCATTAAGGGTATCAAAATATTTATTTTCACACAGGGCCTTTTTCAATTAAAACTTCTTCTATTAGTTTCTACTCCATTTGATACTTTGTAGGAATTCCGGAGAACCAAATGGGGGAAGACCGGAAAATTATCTAGCAATTGGAAAAAACGGAAAATTATTTGATTATGCTTCTAGTCGCCTTAAAGGAATTATATGTATTAAAGGTCAGCAAAGAAATTATGAATATTTGTGTATTCTATTCAAATATTTCCTTTTTGGTTCCATTTTCCAAAAAAAAAGGACCTCCTGAAGTATGCGCACCAAGATGGCGCACAACCAGAACTCAGGGTGTGCACCAGGTCAGGGTTCAGGTTATGCGACATCTTGGTGCGCACACTTCAGGAGTACCAAAAAAATCTCTCTAATAGCCTCATTAGTATATTTACCGCCGTAATAACTTCTGTTTTAATACTACGAAAATAGGAAATTGATTTTTGCTATTTCATACATTAACCTACTCGAAACTATAAAGTTCGCACGAAACACTGAAAATAAAATATTTCCTATAAAATTATTCCCCAATGTAGTATCCCACCTCATTCAATGTTAATAAATTTCGTATGCAACTTTGTACCGGGAAGATTTCGGTTCTTTTAAATAACAGTATCTTATTATATATCGTAAAATACCAGATACCAGAAAATGGTTGCACGGGGTATTGTTTGGAACGGGAGGCGCGCATAAGCGTGGAAAAATTACAATTATGCTCCCTAACATTCCTATTGTAATCTTTCTATGGATACCAGCAGTAGTATCAATAAAATTAGTAAATAGTATAGGTATAAACAGTTGCAAAGATCATAAAAGAACAATTCTATAAACTCTATAATTTTGCGACAGCTCATTTATGCAACACTCAGTACTGCTTGTCAATCTCGTTAATAGGCCTATGGGCCACCAGGGACAATTACAAATACATATAAGAAACAGAAAGTAAGGTTTATTTTTTAGTGATTCTCAATTTAACACTGTTATTTTTTGTTTTTTGCGAAAGAGCAACCAAAAACCATTCTTGCTTATACTTCATTTTATTTGTAGTGTTTCCCAAAACAATTTCTCGGGATATATACAGACTGGAAGCAATTGGAAAACATCCCATTAAAGTTACTTATGGAACAGCTCATACAGTTTGCGCAAATATTGGATCGCGAATTTTGACATTTTCATCGGCCACAAATAATATCATCAAGTCCCATTTGAATTCTGAGTAAGTAAATTTCAAAAATGAAAATTGACTGTATCTGGTAAAACTAAATATATATATCAATTTTTGAATATTCCAAAATGTTCATGATATTTAATCATTTCAGAACTGATGACAAGCTCTGGTTAAATCGTAATTCTGGTTCTAGTTGCTATTCACTATCATTGAAAGATTACAAATCGAGAACCACACATTGTACTGACAAGCATTACTACATCTGCGAACAAGGTATAATGTGGAAAAATATTTGGAACTTCATTTCATTTATTGTTTCCAAATTAATTTATTTAAGTATTCCAGCAGTTACTAAAACTGGGTACTAAAATTTATATTTCATAAAATTCTCTGAAAATTGCTTGATTAAAACTCTCAGGTCATCCTGTATTCGTATTTATTGAAAATTTTTCAGTTAAAACTCACGATATGCAGTTATCAATATCGAACTTCATTGCTGATTCCTATTCTGAAGAAACAGAAATAACGTGCATGGCATCTGGGTTTCCACCGCCGACTGTTAAATGGATGAGAGGAAAAACTGCACTTATTTCAACATCAATTAATAACCAAGCTAAAGTTGGACGAGGTTTAGTTTTAAATCCAAAACAATTGACAATTAAAGACGAAGGACAATACATATGTTCCGCATCGAATAAAGTTGGACAAACTGTTTACGAGTTTACACGAATTCTCAATGTAAAAGGTGAGTGGCTTGACACAGAATGCACACATATATAAATAAAATAATAAACCAATAAATTGCTCTTAGGGAGTAAGACGAACAAGTTCATTTGGTATTACTTGACTATTCGACTTAATTAATATAAAAGTTGCGAATAGGAAAGATGTTGCGCATGGATGTATAAATTTAAAAATAAATTGTATATTAAGCCAATAGTTCGGCTTTATAGGGCACAAGAAATAATTTATTCATTCGTTATTTCTCAACTCTTCTTTTATAATGAAATCTGCAATGCTGTTATGTGATAAAAAGATATATAAACATGTAAAAGTTTTGGTGAATACAGGTTTAATAACATGTTCACAGTTCCAAGTCAACCATCAATTACAAACATCACTTCGTCACCTTGCAATTCCAATTTATTGATCACTTGGATGCCACATGTTCGTGGAGTTGGAATCGAACACAGGTATTTAGCGGCACAAAATACGAACAGACATTTTATTTCAGAAATAAACATATCTCACGTAAAATCACGATTTAAAAAGGAAGAAACTGAAGCCGATTAACGTTTTACTTGGGCTAACATGTTAAATGCTGAATTTGCGGTTTATTTTTAAAATATCCAATTTATTTTAAATGATTACTGCCAATATCATAATAGAAAAAAAAAAAAAACTTTCAAAACTAAATATCATCTATGCTTATTAGATAACCGCTCTTGGAGGCCCTTCCGGTTGAAATATTCCCGGGGTTTTGTTGTGTGTACTGTGCGTTTCACCGACCAGATTGTTGTTTCGTTTCCATGGCATCAGCGAAAAACCGATCATTGATAAATTTGCGGTTTATTTTTAAAAAATCTAATTTTAAATTATTGCTTCTAATAAAATATCTAATCTATCTAAAATAAATATCTCTATCCAAAATACTGATACAGTATTCAAACTTTCAGTTTTTTTTACAAATTTGTTTCTATTATTTGGTAAACTACCTCGAAAAATAAAACTCCCCGCAAAAGTAAATACTTATTACAACTAGACGTTGTTCATCTCTTTAATTCATAAACTGGGAAAGCCATGGGAATTTTAGTGAACATGATTGATTTTTAACTGCAGTAAACCGTTCACCCGAGAATACCTGGGAGACATGCAACACCAAAAATGAACTGGCAGTTTCGTTTTCCAGTTCACTGTCGTTAAGAAATACGCTGTCGTTATGGGTGCAACATTGCGTGATTGGTAACGGTTTGCTGATACGCGGGCCGCGTCATGTATTAGAGCAGATCCCGGGCGTCTACCGACTTGCTTAATGAACAATCAATTATCCTGCTATTATAGATTTCAGATTATGGATCCTATCAACAGCAATAATTATAAAGTTTTTTTAATGGCGCCGGATAATGCCTCCATGACGTCCCTCGTGACAGGGCTGCAACCATCAACATCTTATATTATCAAGGTAATTTTTTGGTATATTGAATTTATAAATTTTTAATAGACTAAAAAATCTCTCTGTTGCAAACGCCTATGGCCGTATGAAAATTTAAAAATATCTGACTCTAAACTTTTAGATTGAGCCATGCTTAACATCTCCATCAACTTGCCGCAACGAATACGCAATAACCACAAATGGAACCACTGGAGGTCTGCCCGGTCCTGTTACAAATCCAAGTTTAGAGATGACTTATGGCGGTTCTTGCAATGTTTCGTGGTCGGCATTAAAGAGCCCGGAACATATATCCGGTTACAAGGTCGGTATACTATCTACGGACGGTGTGAATGATTCAACGTATTTGACAAGACGATTTTTTATCACTTTGTGTTTAAACGTAGAGACCATCATGTGAAATGAGAACGTCATTTCTTTTAGAATTTTAAGTTTAGAAATTCAAAGTTTAATTTCAGTTTAATTGTTTTGACATATACAACTCTTTGAAACTGAACTCTATCTTTAAGACTATGTTTGATGCCGAAAAATAGAGAATAATATTACGTGAATTGTCAAAACAATTTTACCTAAAAACTAAACATTTTATTTTAGCTCGTTATCAACTCAACAAAAGCCATAGTGTCGTCATACTATGAAGATGATTTTAAAACAAATGAAATATTTCTACCACCTGAGAAAACCTCATATGTTCTCCCAAAAGTTTACAATAGAAAATACAATGTCTCTATTCAAGTTAAAATCTGTCCAGCGTCGGAGGCGGTGGGGGAATGTGTTACCGATACTAATGGTGATTCAATTTTTTTCTTAGTTAGTCTACGAATTCGTTTTGGGCTCTTGTAATTTATTATCACAATGAAACATAATTATTATTGAATACCACTCTTACTCTCAAACTATTAGGTCATTGGCCTATGTTTTTGAGCTATTTGACGGACGGTTTAACGCTTTTATTCTATTGTTACAATTGCGGACTAGGTCCCATTCCATAAAATTAGGAGTAAAGTTATAAAAATACCGCACTCAAGTAGTTCCGAATAATACTGTATTCAATCGCATTATGCATTTGAGTAAAGATGAATAAAAATATATATGAACTAAATCTTTTACTGTTTTTGTAATTTCCAGCACCATCCAATATTCAAGCACCTAAAACCGGAGATGAAATAAGTAATTCTGGAATACTGAAATTTTCAATTAACATTCCAGATGAAACAAATGGTCCTATAAGGTGATTCGGTTATACACTTTATGTCTAAATTTGAGTTGGGTTGCGCGAGACTAACTTCCTATCTTTTCTCTATGCCTTTATGCCAGTGGATCCGTATGCGTATACTGCAAGGATACTGTAGCTGGAATAAACATGACTATTCTATTCAATTAAAGAGTCCAGCTGCACACTAACACAAATGTATTTCTGTAACGTTTCGTCCGACCAGAGTCAGACTTCCTCAGACAAGCAGTTTACAACAATGGCAAATTTGGTAAATGAATTTGAAATATCAAATCAAGTATGACGTAACAATGCATAAACATTTAATTTGCATTTAGCCGTAGAAGTAATGATGGGAAGATTAGAACCACAAATATCAGTGGAGCTCATTTCAGATGTAATTGAAAAAAAAAATGTTGTATTATTGCATTTACGAAAATGATGGGTAACTAAATGTAATTGAAATTATGGGCTCTTATATATATATTTTTTTTTAATTTTTGTATTTTTTTTTTGTCCTACTCGAAATATGCTAGATGGTTAATTCATTCATTTATTATTATGAATTAATATTATATTTTAAAACTATTTAAGATCAAAATTCAGCAATAACTTTTAACCTTTTTTAATTTTGAAATTGGTCCTCACCAGACTAAGCCTTGATTTATGTTTAAATGTTGGTTTACTTCCTCGTGGTTCTCCAAGTGCCCATAATTTCAATTACATTTAGTTACCCATCATTTTCGTAAATGCAATAATAAAACTTTTTTTTTTCAATTACATCTGAAATGAGCTCCACTGATATTTGTGGTTCTAATCTTCCCATCATTACTTCTACGGCTAAATGCAAATTAAATGTTTATGCATTGTTACGCCATACTTGATTTGATATTTCAAATTCATTTACCAAATTTATTTCTTGCCATTGTTGTAAACTGCTTGTCTGAGGAAGTCTGACTCTGGTCGGACGAAACGTGACAGAAATACATTTGTGTTAGTGTGCAGCTGGACTCTTTAATTGAATAGAATACTTTATGTCTCTCGCCAAATTAAAAAGTTGTTTTAGTGGCCTGAAAAAAGATGAAAATAGAAAAAATATGTGTGTGACGTATACAATAGGTTGACTGCTATGTCTGGCGATGCCGAAGTGTGCCTTTGGCGGAATTATAAAGCCATACGGACTTGAAAAATCAGTTACGGGCTGACACCAATCAACTATCAGACACAAAATATTTGGCAGGGAAAATAGGCGAAAAAAGTACTTCTGCTTTGCAATACATTGTAAAGATAGTAATTATTATCCATGAATGATACTAATTTTTTTATCACCATGTTATTATACACTATTAGCTGTTACTTTATCATCGTACAAGTGAACAAAACAAGCAACACACCGCCTGATTTTAACAATGAACGTATGAGTAAACTGAATAACTTAGAAATCGAAGATGAATATATTGCAATAGCTTTGAACAGAACCAGGTATGATTCACGCATAAACGTATTCAACATGATTGTATATTATGTTATGATAATGCACTATTATTTTGTGGGATGATGCTCCTGTTGCCAAAACATATATACTTCTTGATTTGCTGCTTCTAATTTGTGTTAATTAGGTGTATGTAGGCGTAATATAACAATTACACATAATGCCAGTTTGGTAATATATCCTGCAAAACTTAAAAACAATTCTTCTGGTGGGTTTATTTTATATACAATGTAATCAAATTCGTTTAATTAGATAAAATTATTTATTGAAACCCCGGCTATAAATAAATTTTTGGTAACAGGATCATGTATATACATATATACAATATATATGATATTTCCTTGCCAAAACTTTGTGTAATATATATTATCTTTCTGAAGCGTTGGGCAAAACCATCCGAAAATGAGTCTGATTCTTGGAGATAAAGTAAAAACAAGGTGTGACATTAGCGGAAAAAACAACATTGATTATGGGAATAATTCGAAAAATACGTATGCTGCATTTAACAAGAGATTGTCAATCTCTGAAACTTACAGGTACGAGAATAAAGTCCTCGTTTCAAAAATATTACACTTCATTGCATCTGTATGGATGTCCAAAAATGACGTGTCCCTACTTTCACCCACCTCTTATACTGAATATAAACTAAACAAGGGGAGACATCGCCTATGCATTGCAAGATTTTAGTTTTATTTAATGTATGAAGGGAATAAATGGATATGGATTATAGATAGCGGATATATATCTGCATATCAGTTACAGATAAAAAAAAATTATTGAAACTATCTAGTCAAACTATTTAAGTCAAATATAAAATGAAAAAATAAATTTCAGAAGTAATTTTAGTCTTAACTACATGCCACCGTTGTATGTTGCAGCATATTTCTTGTGACTTCAACACCAACTAAAAAAAGTTTTTCATTTGCTGCTAGTGAGGGGCTGCTGATTGGAAAACCTTTAGCAGGTGAATAAATAAATAAACAAAGTTGAACGTTCGGTTTCTATGTCAAAAGTAAAAAAATTTATATATATACACACGAGAAAAAATTTCACAATCATGTATACAGTTTGCAAACAGCTCCATAAACAATTCTTTGCGCATAAGCTATAATACAATAAATAGTTATATATATATAATATTGTATTGTTGCAGATGAGTGGCAAATTTATCTCAATATTGGATTGGCCATGTTAGTTTGCATATTGCTAGCAGTTGGAATCTTTTTCACAGTCAGGTATATAGATTTTTTTTGAGATCAATATGTTAGAATACTTAATTTATTGACAAATAAAATTGGTGAACAGGATTTGAACAAATACCTTCTACCACGAGAATACTTTAATTGTTCCTTGTAAATGTGGAAGAAACGTCAACAAATTAAATAATTTGTATAATCAATATAAATGATGTATAAGTTGATACCAAACAATGAACAGCTGATTTCAAGTATGACTGAAATGAAATTTGTGATCGACATCCAAAACTAAGTATCCTCTTTCTTCTCCTTCTCAAGTATAACCAAAAATAAATTTTTACTCACAATAGACGAAGAACAAAATCTAACAAGAAAATTGATCAAATAGTTCAATATCGGAACAATGAACAAGGTAATGACAATCACGTTTACAAATTTTGATCCTCAAAAGGTTTATGTATTCGAGGCGTATTAGCATGCAGTAAATGGGTATGCTAACGTACAGATAACGAGCAATTTGATAAATTATACAGTCTTACTGGATTTTTGGTATTTTTTACGCAGTTGACAAAGAAGAAATAGCAAGCACAAGTGTTTCACTGCGTAATTTTGAAGATTATTACAGAAATCTATTTCATAATGATAAAGCATTGTTTCACGAACAGTTCAAGGTAATATGAATCAAAAGTCGAGAAAATTGACTATTTCTTTACACATATTGAGTTTGAATATTTATTTTACAAGTAAGTCATACTGCATAGCATGTATTGGATACAAAAAGCAATTATAAAGTAAACATGAATTTTGGGTTGGTATCGTTTTAACTTGGTTACGACTTCTTTTTCAGAGAATAAAGATCGAATCAAAAGCGTATATGAAAAGTACAACGTTCGCATCTACTCCTGAATTAAAAAGGAAAAATAGATATAAAAACATATTACCATGTTAGTGACAAACGTAATACCGTTACTTTTTCATTTTTAAATACGGCGTATTTATACTTAATACACTCTGTCTAAGAGTCTGCACAAGCAACCACTGACAGGTAAGTGCTTTCTGGTTCACCATTACATACCCAATGCTCGCTTTGAGCGAGGTGAAGGGCGTGGGACTTGAACCCAAGGTTTTAACCTGCAATGCCATGTTAGTTTAAAAAAAAGAATCAAAAATAACATTGCGAAGGCCAAAAACCAAAATATTATCACCCAAAGTTTGTTGTCTTTCTTATAGATGACGAAACTCGTGTTTGGATCAAAGCTAATGACACTGGATACATCAATGCATGCTACGTTAATGTAAGTGATGTTCGCAATACAACTATGATTTAAAATAGATAATTCACACCCACAAATATTGGGCTAGTGGCTTTGGGTTACTCCTGCATTATGACGTTAAATTTTATGTGTGTGATATATAATGTCAAGTATTATACTGCAAGGTACATAATACAATATTTTACCTAACGACATGATACGCAAGTTTGTAAGAAACAGCAATACTGTATATTTATTATACAATAATCGCGTACCAGAAGTGTGTGTACCAATACCAATAGGGAGGTTACTGATTTTGTTCGCCTACTTTACATCAAGTTGTGAAAAGAGCATGAAATCTATGGGCAGGGGGTGAATATATATGTATATTCACTTGACTAACACAGACAGTCCCCGAACTCATAATAGAATTAAAATAGGCAAAATGGGAATAAAATTATAGCCTAACCCTAACCTGGTACATACATTTCGGGAGTCGGCTACCCAATAATCTATTATAAAACATCATTCTTCTAATCTTCCATATTTTTGACATTTCATTAACCAACAGGGTTATGCCAAATCACGCAAATACATCGCAACTCAAGGTCCTTTACCAACAACTGTTGATGATTTTTGGTTGATGGTCGTTGAGCAGAAATGTAAAGTCATTGTAATGCTGGCAAAATGTTTTGAAGCAGGAAAAGTAAGCAAAATCGTTAGCAATACAGAAATTTATCTAAAGATAATATATGTATATATATTGTTTGATTTAATGAATTAAGGCTACTTTTCATTTTGTAATTGTAGAAAAAATGTCAAAAATACTGGCCAGATTACGGAACTACTTCTAGTTTCGGAGTAGTTAAAGTTTTCAACTCAGAAGAAGTAAAGTATTCCGGCTTTGTAAGAAGAACATTTCAAGTAGAAACAAACGATGGGGTTTGTATGGTTTTGTTTCATAAGCAGTCAAAGGTCTCATTAAGTTTCTGGTTTCCCTCTAATTTTAACGTTACGTGACAGTGAAAATGGCAATAGAATCAATACTCAACTTTCAAATAACTCTCTTTCAGAAAATAGCAATGGAAGTGTTGCAATACCAATATGTAAACTGGCCCGACCATGATATACCATTCACAACATCGAATCTTGTTAGAATGCATAAAGCTGTCATTCAATGTCTAGAAGAGTTTGGAGAGGATGCGCCGATGATTGTGCATTGCAGGTAACTGATGTATTTTCTTTTGCGAAACTAAAAAGTATTTCAGATATTTAACGCAGTACAATGATGGTGACTGAAAGATTACATGAATTGGGAAATATTTTCGAATGTTGACTGAAACTAATATTTATTTTAGTGCTGGTGCTGGAAGGACGGGAACATTTATAGGATACGACTATTTGCTCGAAGAAGGAAGAGATACAGGAAATGTTGATGTATTACAATGCGTATTGAAGATGAGATCCCAACGTGTCGACATGATACAAAATTGCGTCAGTGTTGTTTATCTTTTATTAATAATTGGTTTTTAAGAGTTCTAACATAAAAACTAGAATTCGGTTAGAAACCGAAGACTTATCGATCGAAGGTAAGGGGATCCCCCAAAACAGTGGTCTTATTCCATAGTGACACCGTGTGTCCCATCACTAATTAATTAATAACTCGCTAATTATACGACATAAACCATCCAAAATCAATAGGCTTCTGATCCGAGCTAAGATGAATGCACATGCAAAATATCTCGCTTTCGTGAGATATCGCGTGCATCTAACACACAGACATACAGACAGACAAATACCTATCAACATACTTACCGATCAAGATCGATAATTAATAATGGAAAACTACCACCTTACCAATTTCAACTGTCAGTTTTATATAATAATTTGAGTTGGAGGTACTGCTGCCAATAGAAAGAGAATTTAAAATTTAAGCAACCTTTGTATCTTTAGGACCAATACGTACTTCTACACAAGTTGATTCTGGAAAACTACCTCTTTGAAAATACTGATTATATTGCACAAGATATTGGGCACCAATTTCAAGAAATTACAAGGTAAGATTAACCATGGAGTAGAGCTAGAATTGCAAGAACAGTGCTCAAATATATGTACAAGAAGCATTACGGATACACAATCTGTCACAGTAGATTACCGGCAGCACCGCAGACTCCACGTCCCCTGATGACCAGATAGCAACGAACGCAAACCGCTACAAAGTGCGTAATTTTGATGACGTCATCACACACAAAAACGAATCCTATAAAACCCACAGAAAGTTTTTAAGAAGGAAAGTAATGGCCTTCTAGCGAAAATACAATCTTTATCCACTGAATCAATGTATTGTCGTTAAAAAAGCGATTTTTTTTCATAACCACAAGAATACAAAAGAATCAATTGGTCCACTGGCTGAAACGAAGTAAAACTGGTATTTCTATATTTGCTGTTATTTCATTGAAGGGTTAGGTATTGAAAATATAATTTTTCATATTTCATTTAGCCAAGAAAAACGGATGAAGTTCCTTGCTGAATTTGAGAAATTGTCAATATTAGAACCTTTGAAATGTTCTAAACTGATGGGAAGACGTTATGAAAATAGGAGATACAATATATCAGACGGTGTGATTCCATGTAAGTTGAACTATATATTATAATATTGTATATTGTTCCGTCTCTCTTTTTACATTCTTTATTGGACACGTAGTGGACATAACAATCGTTTCAATATTATGTTGTTGTTGTTCTTTGACACGTTTTGAAGAAATCGCTTCTCTCTTTGATTACTGGACCGATTAATTTGAAATTTTCTGTGAGTAAAGATTATATTTTGTGCTGGAGGGCTATAACATCCCATGCCATGACATCATCAAAATTATGTGGCTACGTGTCCATATATTTGAGGATAGCTCTCTTGTTTTCCTCAGACGATCACAATGCAGTTGTTTTGATAATGTGCAACAATGAAGCAAGTGTGCCATATGTAAATGCATCGTGGATAGAGGTGAGACAATTGAGTCACTGCTGTCGAAATATTTTTTAAAAATCATAGATCTTTATTAACACTCACTTTGGTATGTAGCCAACATGTTTAAAGTATTCTATCCAATTGAAGAGTCCAGCTGCACACCAACACAAATGTATTTCTGTAACGTTTCGTCCGACTTCCTCAGACAAGCAGTTTACAACAATCAGTTTTATATAATAATTTGAGTTGGAGATAATGATGCCAATAGAAAGAGAATTTAAAATTTGAGCCACATTTGTATCTTCAGGACCAATACGTACTTCTATACAAGTTGATTCTGATGTTTAAAGTAGTTATCATATGTTAACTTTTATCATAAATCACATCTTGATATAATGAATATTTATCAAAGACTTACGACGAAAGTACTAGTATGATTGCAGCACAAGCACCGATGAACGAAGGAATCCCATTTTTTTGGAGATCTGTACTGGATAACAGAGTTAATACCATTATCATGCTATCTCGCGTTGAGGTAAAATTCTGTAAATGCCAAATTTTGCTTCAGTGAACCTATTTGAAGTTAGTTTGGGATTTTTACAAAACAACTATCCACTAAAACAGCATCATTATAGGCCACTCAATCAGTTATCGTTCCGGACTCAGTTTAATGCAAGGCTTATCGCTTTTTATCATACCGTTGAGCAGCGGCTCAAAATTATTGCGTTTTTATATTGGCATATTTGTTACTAATCAATTACCTCGGGTATTTTTCAATATTTATTCAAGTAAGCATAGGAATTCAAATATTTATTAAGTGAAAAATTAAAATCCCTTAAATATACAATCGCACATACAATCTACTACTCCCGAAGATGATGTACTACTTTCCTACACAGGAATGCGTTCAGTATTGGCCACATGATGTTCGCGCTACGTTGAGCATGGAAAACGTTTCTGTTACTATGATGGAAGAAAATGTAAATGGATCAATATCTCGTAGAATTTTTAAAGTGTTCAGAGGAAGCCAACAGGTTAAACTACATATTATATTTTTATACTAGAAAACGATACTGATAACTGTTTATGATGAAAATGAAAATTTGATATCATAGAACTTACAAATATATGTTTCGTCGCTATCATTTTCAAAATCTTTGTTAAAGTATGAAGGACAGTGCAAATATACCAATATCTATGAGTGACGAGTTTTAAATTTAGACTCATGTTACTCAAATACAATATTCTGACTGGAGCAATGAACAATGCCCAAAAGATGGAAGCATTGTTTTGGATATCATAGGGGAGATGCAGAGAAATACAAGAAGTGTGCAGGGATCAGCTTGTCTTATCCACTGCACGTACGTAATTTATTATAAATTTCAGTACGTGTCAACTATATAGTGAGGAAGAATTTCAAAAAGTGTTAGACAATAATTTTTGCCCATTATTATAGCGACGGAGCTGGACGCACTGGAGCATTTTGCGCAATCGCAAATTTGATTGAGAGATTGAAACACGAGTTTAAAGTTGATGTTTTCAGAGCAGTGAAGGATTTGCGTGATTGCAGACAAGGAATGGTTCAGACTTTGGTAAATGCTTCTACATGATATTTCTAGGTGGATTTCAGAAAATTTTTATGTGAGAATCTAAATACACGACTGCGTTGGATCTTTTACATTGTATGTTCATTGTACAACGCAAAAACTCAAATATACAACCTTAATTCTGGTATTGATTCAGTCTTTAAGCAACAAGGCTCTCATTTTTCACGGCTTGCTGTTATTCAATTCTTTATACACGCCTGTAAGCCCAATATTGCCTATCTCTGTATATTCAGTTGCTTTTAAGTATTGTTGTCACGAAAACTAAAATAACGAAGATATTATAATTGCAGGAACAATACAAATTTTGTCACACTGCAATCTGCAACTACATGAAGTCGTTTGAGATCTATTCCAACTTTGAAAATAAATGACTGAACAATGTATATATGTATAGTAAGCAATGTATATATGTATAATTCTTCCACTATTCAATCTATTCTACTATCTATTTCATTATAAGACTTCAGAGACGTGAGGGCCAAAGCCTGAAAATAGCGAATAATCTGATTGAAATTTAATCCTAAATCATTTTATTTAAGAATAAAGTTTGCAGTCCGCCTAGTATTACTAATTTCGGCGTGGTGCGCCCCTTATGGCTGCATTTAAAAAATCCAATTTGCAAGTCTGAGTTTATACTGTTGTCTTACGTGAAACGAGTGTGTATTATACCGCTGATTTTGACGATCAAATTTGGATCTAGTGATATTTATCCAAATTTACAAAACGCCATTTCGTAAATATTTCCTTATTGGCTAGCATTCAGGTTGCGTTAGTAGAAACGTGGATCTATTTTGTCGTGAAGCATTATTTCCTGATTGGGACTTTCATTCTCAATACTGCAAGTTCCCGTTTTTGTCTGTTTCTTATATCCAATCACTACGTATTTCCCTCAAGATATAGCTTTTACCGTAAAGTAGATGATTATTGATATTCAATTTGGTTCGATTTAGCAGGCTTTGGGTATTTTCTGAAACTAATTTGCCGAAACTTAATGAAAAACGCCACTGTTCAAACCTAATGAAACAACGGTTTGAGATATCACTGGTAAAAATATATCCAATATATATAAGTATATCCAACCACCATGTTTTTTTTCAATATATAGCTTTCACTATATATATATGTGTGTGTGTGTGTGTGTGTGTGTATATTAAAAATCATTCGCCAATCGTCATTACAGTCAATAATGTCAAATGTGTTTGTATGTTTGTTTATTTAAGCATTGATTATTGAAAAATAAAGATACCATCAAAATCTTCAAATTGGTTCGAATGGATGCCAGGCTTTTGAGTGTTTTTGAAATTTATTTGCCGATACTTATTGAAATAACGCCACTGTTAAAACTTAATCAAGCAACGGTTTAATTTAAACGGTTTGAGATTTCATTGGTAAAAAGAAATTCACTTTCTTGAGTTCTTTTTGAGTTAATTAATGAATTATAATCACTGATTTCTGCAATAGGTTTACTGAGTTTTTACTGATGGGTTCGGTAACGTGTTATACATATACAACCTATTTACTCCATCTGCATATATCTGTAGCGAATTCATATTGATGGTTACTGTGGATGTCAATAATTTTAGCCACTTAGTGCTGATAGCGCATACGATTTTCGCAAAACGACGTCGTAACATGATTCATTTCTCATGTGATTTGCGGTGACAGACTTTTTATGCAATCATTTTATGACATGCAATATGGGTTTCGCATTGTTTTTCGTATTTATAATTTGGTATTTATATTAAGATTTAAGAGTAGATCTATTCAATTATCTGCTACTTGTAATATTTCAATTCGATTGTTCATCTCTACAATATATGTGCATTTAAAACAGCAACATTGCGTGTTTGATGACCTCTGATGGTTGGGGTATTCCGCTAAGTTTACTATTGGAATCGAAAAGTCGATTCGAAACGCCCAGCCCTATTTATTGCATTATTGGTAATGACTCATCAAAGGCTCTTCAAATATTGGCCTATTTGATTTTTCCGCGGAAGTACAGGCTATACTTGTTACTTTAGTATAATTCCAAGCGAAATAACGAATAATAGGCTATTTCTTGACTTTTCCTATCCAATTGTAAACTATATGTGGGGTTTTTCCGCTTTTCTGATTCTATAATCAGTTCCTTTGTTAAATTATCGATCTATAACTTATTAAAATCAGCCAACAATGCAATATATGATAGAAGATATGTTGGTGGTTACTTCAAGACTCCGTGATAGTCTGTTTTTATATGTTTTCCCTAGAAATGAAATAAGAAACAAACAAACGTCATATAAGTTGAACTAACCGGTCTTCTTCATTGATCTTCTCCATGGAACCTGGAAAGCTATGTTGAAGTCCACGCAAATCCATGCTCCACGTCCAAAAACTGCAATACAGGGCGAAGTTTGTCAAATTTTATTCATATATTAACATTTTATTAATTAGGCGAGTACAAGTTTTCCATATCCGTCTGTGTAGATCAGGGGTGGGCAACCTTTTTCAGCTCGCGTGCCAAAATTGGCTAAATTTAACGACAAAATTCTTCCGCTTGCCGACCAAAATTAAAAACAATTCTTTGATACTTCCTAAGCAAAAATATACAATAATAAACCTTTAAACATACACAGACAGATTCACTATTCAGCGAAATTCAGTATGACAAATAGATAAATTTTTCCTATTCTATATATATATTAGTGAGACGTCTGATGTTGCATTATCGCTAAGAGAGATTTACATTGGTTTTATATTTTGTAACTTTCAAAAAAATAAACGAATTACTGGTTATATCTTCCAGGCCACTCTTATTACCAGACTTAATAAAGTTCATGACTGAGATTTACAAGCATATTTAGATGAAAACATGGACAGTAATGCAGTTGTAAAGTTTTTGGAACCGAAAAGATCTCGGGAATGGCTTACCAATCACGCGTCAGAATAGAGCCAAATGGATGCTGAATAAATGCATTATTAGAAATGACTTAGCAAAGGCTCTTCAAATATTGGCCTACCTGATCTTTCCGCGGAACTATAGGCTATACTTGTTACTTTAGCATAATTCCAAGCGAAATAGCGAATAGTAGGCTATTTCTTGACTTTTCCTATATAATTGTAAACTATATGTGGGGTGTTTCCGCTTTTCTGAATCTATAATCATTTCTTTGGTTACATTATCGATCTATAACTTATTATAGAGTTAGTCAGCAATGCAATATATTATAGGAGATACGCAGTTGGTGGTAACTCCAAGACTTAGTGATAGTTATTCCTTATATGAATTCCCTAACAATGAAATAAGAAACAAACAAACGTGATATTAGTTGAACTAACCGGTCTAAAATTTGGGATATTGGTTATTAAGACATCTAATCAAGTTCGTGGTGAAACTCATATGCAATGTTACTGATATCCAGCATGGCAAGGTCTTCAGTGGTAAATTCAGCCAACAATATTTTTTTGACATTTCTTTCATATTCGTTGCCACTCATCTTTTTCTTACATTCCACTCGTCAAATATTTACGGTGCCTGAGTATACGGATCAGCCCGAAGTTGGTTTAAACAACAATGTAACTGGTACTTTAACAGCTTAACTTACAGTGAAATTAGTTCTCTAAAAACCTGCTGCCCGTACTGGTACGTTTATTACATAAAACGCCATTGCGTGGTTGCGTGTTTTTCTTATCTTATACTTTTACATTACTTTTCTAAGTTACATTACAATACTGATTTACCCTTTGTCAACTACGCCAGTAAAAGCTAGAATTTAAAGAACCGTTTCCAAACTGCGGTCGATATATATTCAAGCGGTTTTGAAAAATGTTCATGTTATAAACTTAGTCAATTTAATTTGAATAGTAGCCTAAGTGTTGAAAATTCTGAAAATACAGTATATATAGAATTAAATTCATTAAAAAAAAGTCTGTGGTAATTCAAGCTTATCGCTTACAACATCAGGATCGTGATGGCATCAACAACAATATTGGAAATATTTAAATTCTATTATTATACCTCCAGTTGAAAAGCTAATCAAATAAAAGTTTATTGCAAATCATTATTACTCATTATACATAGTGTTTAATTTACAAAACATCGTCAGAGTAATTTTTAGGGCGTGGCTGAGTTCGCAGACTATTTATTCGTCTACCCTACAAAAACAAAATCAGTTTATTATTGGAATATGAGAAATGACTATTCACAAGGGCAAAATATATGTATTTTATCGACCCAAAATATTTAATTTTAAAAATATATCGGTTTCATTGAGTGGTCACTGGTCACCTCTGCATGCTATTTGTGGGCAAAGAATCGTATGAAACGATTATTTTTTTACAATAACAGAATTATTGAGGAACAGGTTTTCGTAGTTTGTTGCAAGCGCTATGAGAGAATATGTGGAAAATCTGTAATTTGGGATACACGAACTTGGTGGTCTTTACAAAAGTACACCATCTATGTCTGCTGTATTTGTCGCCACTTTCAACATTCACTTCCATATATTTTTACAAAGGCATCACACCTTAACGTTGCAATGGTCTTTGCGCAATACACGGCATTTTCAGTTATCATGGTTTCATATCAACATGCGAAACCTCTTGCTTGACTTTAATTGTTTGCCAGTTCACTACCAATAGCCACAAAAATGTTATTCAAGAGACCATATCAGTTCCATTGTTATCACCAGCGAGTCCAGCATATTCCTCACGTTGCGAGCAATCAGCTGCTACGGATCTTTGTGACATAACAGATAGATTATAACCTATAGTAGGTTTTCATGAATGGCGAACGGATCTGAATGTATCGTTATGCGAATGTTACATGTTATAGAGCAGGGCTACTCAACTATTTTCATCAAAGGTCTGTGCACAAACTTTTGAAATCACCGGGGTCAGAATATATATAAGTTAATGTTCACTGCCATGTCAAAAAATCAGTGGAAAATGTATGAAGAAGCTACTAGACTACAGTTTTTATGCCGGCATTGACATCTTTTTGATCAGTGAGTGAGTCAATGCTCTGAGGAACTTGTATTACAATGACAATTTCCCACTGCGGTTTAACGAAAAATGCTTTACATCACAAGAAGTAGCCGCGGTCCAAGTTTAGCACTCGAAAGATTCGGATTCGGAACGCGGTCCGCCAGTTGAGTAGCCATGCTGTAGAGCGTAGACGAAAGGCTTGAATGTACGTATCATCTACTTTACAATTGTGATAAGACATTCCTTATGCTCCTAATCGAAAGAGCAGGATGGCGATGGTTTATAAACTGGACACAGTGTAACGCGAGAAATCGTAGTTTGCACTGAACCAGCGGTCCCAACTATTTTCACTCATGGGCCAATTTCAAACAAATATCAGGCTCCCAATGTACCCAACTACGAATATGGAATGATATAGTATAATTCAATATAAGTGGAATACCAGAAACACTTAAAAAAACCGGTTCCAAACAGACCACCCAACCTTTGCCTGGACTTTATTATTGCAGTAATAGATAACAGTGGGTCAGATTATCCCACAGTTACTCACAATTTAATCTATCTATGACTAACTCTCCAAACAAAAGCTAAATAAAACATGAAAATCATCCACTTACGAATCAAAAAGTCCAAAACTCATTGACAGACGTCAGCCCCCCAACAACCGCAGAACAAATAGAGCGACGCGTGGCAAATTTATAGTTGCCAGATTGAGGATGGGCATAAACAACCAAGGTCATTTGAAGTATGTTTGGGGCTACTATATTATAAAGAATGGAAACTATACATTCAAATCATCTCTAATATCTCCAGTTTTAGACAATAAATAGGTCCATCGAATCCAATTCAAAGCTTCTGCGTTTATATAATTGCACGAATATTGCAAGGTTGACATGAATATATATACTGTATATGTATATATAGTATCAACAAAATGATAAAAATGTGAAAGAGCATAACGATTCATTCCCAATTGTCTATCTTCGAATGTATGTTTCTTTGCTAATGGCATACCGGTAATTCAAATGAACCGTCCCTGGCCTGTGACCTTGCAAGCATGGTCACAGAGTTTAGCTGTCTTTTGGATAAAAACTAGTGTAGCGCATATGCTGGATGTGGGATTTTGAGCATTGTTCCAGAGCGAATGTGTGAAGACCCCCGGGGCGCCGGGTAATTATGCGGGTGCATATTCTTTATTGATTGATCATTTTCCCCCGTAGCTGGGCTCATAGAAAAAGAAGCAAAATTTTTATCAGAAATCTGGCTGATAGTTATTCGGTAAGTGCAGAGGAATTCTCACTACTGCCATTGTGAACATTGGTAATATTTAGGGTTGCCATATTTTTGTGACCTCAAAGAGGGACGCCTCCGAAGACCATAACTGTGACTTTATCAACTTTAAATTTACCGTTTTCACATCAGGGGCCTACATTTAAAACCATCCCGACCGTCTTCATTGACTATATTGTCATTGAGAGTTCATGCGCTGTCTGTCTGAATGTCGGTTTCGGTTCGAAAAATATAAAGGAATTATTACATTAACGTTAAGCACCCGTTTGGCGTACGGGCTTACAGGTAACAAACCATCAATTAGCGGAAAACTACGAAACGAATAAAATCACGCATTCACCTTCAGTAAGTGGGCTATCGATAAGTTACACAGCAAAAACAGTAACGAGAACATGCTTATTGGTAATATTTGTGAAGAATGCTAGCTGAACGCCAAAGCGGGACATTTGGCTTACCGGTCGGGACGCCGAGACAAGACGTTGAAAAGTGGGACTGTCCCGCCTAAAACGGGACGTATGGTAAGTCTAGTGATATTTTTATTTCTGTTGCAGCTGGACGGTTTGTACAGTCGCCAACAGCTTCCTCGGCCTTTTGTAATAAATGACATGGATGTGGGAGTCGGCTGTATAGGCCGTGGGATTTGAAAATGATCTCGAGTGGAGTCAATGTGCAAAACAGTTCAGTTTTGACATGTCGCAAGATAAAAAAAAACGGAATTAAAACATAAGCGTCCAGTTTACCGCGCATTTATGTATCTACAGATTGCCCGGGATAGCAATGCTTATACTTTGTTGTAATTCGAAGCAGCCGTGAACCCCCTTCTTGAAAATATTGGTTATGCTCCTGAAAGTTCTGTTTGACTGGCGGTTGAAAAACAACAAAAAACTAAGAACAGAACATTTGTATTCAAGATAATTATAATATATATATCTTTGCTACAAACACAGAGATCAACAGAATAACTTCAGAAATAACCAGGCTGAAAAAATTGTCAGAAAGTTCAAAAAACTCCGTATGGTGTAATCTTATACTATATCATACATCGGGTATCGATGAGGATATCATAAGAGGAAAACGAATATGAAATTCAACCTCAAATGATCGGATTACACCTAATAAAGTTAAATTCGCATAATTATTAACTTTGTAGCTTAGAAGGGGTAAGATTGTTTAGCTATATCGAACAGGACAGGACCAAAACACCAAACCCGTGAACATTTCAGCAATACAAGTATCTGGCGCACTTACAGATAGTTTTTCTGATATTACACACAAACTAACATCAATGTGCTCTTATCATAGGTTTGTGAATGAACAATTAAAAACATAGGCATGAATGACGGACATTCAGCTTTATGCTAAATAGGAAAGATGAATTAAGTAAAAATATTGGAAAGAAAAAGACTGAAATGAACAAAAAAGCAAAATCTCATAATATTTAAAATATACCAAAAATGTTTGGCTTGTTGGCTACTTCAATAAACAAGTAAATAAAATAAAGTAAAATATGTTGAAATGGTGAAGTAAATCTAAAAGCATGATTAAAGGATAAAAATGGACAGCACTCAATAAAAAATTAAGGTATGATTTTGTATGACTAACTTGGTTCAATTTTTGCAATTTCACAGAGATCTATGTGATGAAACTTGAAATAACGAAACCATGATGTATGTATAAGGCTTTCATAGTAAAAATATGAAAGACGCAAAATTCTTATTCACTCCAAATTAGTCAGTTTTAAATACATTAAAACAATTCAATGATTATTACAAAAATGGACTGATATATCAGTATTTAAGTTGTTCCTAATTTCATTAAATAAGAAGATCAAAAGAATAAGCTTGGTACCGTTTTTTTTTATTAGAAGACTACCTGCACCACACTCATAAGATTTTTACATGAATTATCTCAATTAAAATTGGCTTGCTAGTAAGTGGGAATAATCTATGTCTGAATACCTAGTTGGTATTTCGAAATTATGCTCTGCAATTATTTTATATTAGAATGTTCATCAACAGAATAATTATGTATGTAAAATATCACAAGTTTTGTCTCGAGATACTAATGCAATATCAGTACATTTTGCCTAGAATCATAAATCAAATTAATTGTTATTTTCTTATTTTACTTTCCATGAAATAAATAGCTTCGAAATGTAAAAATAAACATGCTGCTTTTAGAAACATCGATTCAAAAAGTTTGTCGTGGTGCTCCCTACTGAAAAAAAGTGAATAAATGGACACACAAGACTGATGTTAAAATTATGAAACGTTGAATAAATTGTACATCAAGAAGTTCAAATTATACATGATTGACCATGCCATTTTTGAAACTAATACTAGAAGTACTAGAATTTTGTATATTAAACTGCCAGTCCTTTCACTCTGTGTACTTTCTACTTCAAATCTGTATATGGCCATAGTGAAGTCTCTTTCCAGGAAATAGCAAATATATTTGATAGCTTTCGTTAGATCATGGACTCATGGTCTAATTTCCTCAGACAAAACAAGATATAATCAAACGCCGTAGTTAGACTATGATCTGAAAAAAGCTAACAAATAAACTTGCTATTCTGTGGAAAGAGATTATGTTATTCTATTTATCAAACTAATAATAGTTGATAAAAAGTAAAAACCAAAAATCTTCAAATATATGTAACAATTTTTCATGAGTTTATTCAGAAAATATTTGTAACACATTTGAATATCAATGTTTCTGATCTGTTTGATGTAAGAAAGTTATTGGAAACCGCCAAATGAGCCTAAAATTTGATTTTATTGTACAATTTTTGTTCATATAGTAATTTACCGATTCAGCCTATGAGGCTTGATAAAAAATTCGACACTCATGACAATATATAAGTTGGATGAAGTACGAAAAAAGCGAAACTCATCGTTCAATTTTTCTTATGACAGGTTGTTGTAGCATCAACATTGAACCAGATGATACAATAGGTAGATTATTATTTCTATGAAACGATATCAAATGACAAACGCTGTCAAACTGGCGGTCTTTAGTTCGAACCTAGAAATAAAATAAATCCTTTCAGAGAGCATATTGTTAATAGTAATAAAACTAGTATGGATATTCTGGAGCAGTTTCAACCAAGAGTCACCTAGGGTTTCGCAAGTTTACATACAAGTTCGACTCTTCATTATTATATGTATATTGTTTAAATGTGATTAAATACACAGGCATAATTATTCATCACCAGTGCTCCGTTGCCTAATTCATAATAATAAATATACTGATATTATCAAACATACATATAATTAATAGCACAGGGGTTCCCCAAGCGTCTGAAATGTCTGATTGGGGTTCTGCTCTACCAAAATGGCTGAAAACCACTGTTATACTGAAGTACTCATGTCCAAGAAGTTTTGATCTACAATTAGAGCACCTGTTTGGTGAACTGCTGAATGTGTGCCGTGAAGTTTTGATGGAGTGCGAGATACTTTAGTGACATCGAAATATAGAATATTCTTTTTGTTAGTTACTTTTTTTATAACGTTTTTCCAATTAATACTTACCACCCCATTAGGATCAACAAGAAATAGATGTTTAGTGTGACCATCGTGCAATCCGCTCAATACAATTTTTCCAGGCGTCGTACTTGATTCACGAACTAAGAAATCGCCATCTTCTTTCAAATAAATTTCTGCATCATGTCGACTCAGTTTTCCATGGAACCAAGGTTCATGTTGTAGTGTTCCGATACCAGATGACTTATCCAGCATTAAAGTTTTTTCAAATGGTTCTGTAATGAGAAAAAGGTGGTGTGATTAAATATCAGCACCATAGGTACCGGTTAAGATTAAAATGATTCAAAACATAATGGCTTGGTGGTTGATATGCTCGTGTTAAAACCCCAGGCCAACTAGGCTATATTGAATAAACTCTGCAATGCCAATACAGTCCAAAATAAACTAGCTCACTGCTTTTTGAACCCCAATGTCTGCTTGTATGGGGCCTTCTTAGAGTGAAAAACATATAGAAAGTGTCATATAACAAAACTGATATGTTTTCGGAGAGTGAGAGTATTAAGTATTAAACTTTCCTATTTGTGCCTAGTGGTATCGGCCAACTGGGTTCACATTATTGCGAATTTGCAAAGTATGAAGGAGTATATTACATAAACCTAGAAACAACATGTTCGAATAATCGCAACGTACATATGTGGTTGCATAATAGGAATTTACAGAGCAGACCTCAACACAATTGATGTAAATGATATGGTTTTTCGCAGAAAGTTGGGAATACCAGGTATCATATGTCCTCGTATGTTCTACAATACTGGGAATTAATACAATACACTAAACAAAAATAATATTACAATATTCCTGGTGGTAATAAGCCATAAAATCTTATTGATGATATTCCCAGAAATAAAAGTACGGTATTTGAAGAACTTATTTAACAACATCTTGTAATGCAAACTGCAACTAGTCTGCATTAAGTTTCTAAAAATTTGCAATGTTTCACTATTTAAAATGTGCCAATTTAGAATTGTATATCATCAATCGATTTAAGAATATTTCTAGTAGAATTAAATAGTTCTAATAAAGTTGTTTTATTAGATCTGTAAAATACAAAAAAAATTTTTCACTTCGAAATGAACTCAGAGTGAGCAAAATACATCAACTTGAGAGACGCAAAGTTTATTTAATAGCAAATAATAAGCAATATCCCAAAAAGTGCATATAATACCAGCATAGTGTATGTAATAAGTCACCAAAAATAACTGACAAAGTAAAAGCTGGATTGAGGAAATGCTTGCATATTGCAGTTTAATAAAAATAAAGTGACTTGAAACAATCCACACACGGCCAGGAAGCAGCTAAGTAAAGGGGGATATAAAACTGTTGTTCCGGGAATGAAGAACACCAAATCTTCCAAAACATTACAAGAAAACCAATACATGTATCAGGAGAATCACTGAAATAACTTGCAATACAATAATATTGTATGCCCGGCAAGAGATTGAAGAGACTCACTCATATCAAAAGCATCCATTGAGGAGCTACTCTCATGCCTTGCCGGACGATGATCTTCGATTGATAATGCCGCTGCTATTGCTAATGCTCCTCCACCTACAGCTTTGGAAAAAATAATACTAATAAATATGAAAAGAATTGATTTGATAGGTGGGACTTCTATTTTACAGGATTTGCTATTCATTCATTTTGTGAAAATAATGTGGGTTTTTGTTGATATTTAACCGAAGATGTGCAGTCTGGGTTAGTTCAGTTACCAACATTAGAAGTCTGCAATTAAAATAACGTCGGAGCTCGAAAATAAGACCTTTGACTCCAATACTTATAAAAGCTTGTTAAACTAGGGCTCAAGAGTGAACAGACCTGTGTAGGACTATGTAACTCAGTAAATCCCCACTGCAATAGCAACTATTTTGGTTTTTCAAAAGAAAGATTGCCTGTGAATTCAAGAAGTAAAATTTTTACATTTGAATAAATCTTTTTATATATGTGAGGGCAATCAGATTCGAAAAAAGATTCTCCTGAACCAAAGCATACGCATCTCTAATTCTAATGTCTCCATCTGTTACTTGTATTAATATAATTGAAAGTAGAAACGAATAAAAATATATTGGAGAAATTGCACTTACATTTTTGTGGAGAGGAAGGTGGTGTAGTTAGATCGATTAAGTTACTTGGATGTCTTGAAGCACCAGATTGACTCAAATTTGACATTGGATTATTAAAAACTTTCGGCTGAAAAAGAAAATTGGGATTAAAATTTCAAATTGTTGATTGGGGAGCTTCAAACCTTGTTTTGTTTTACGACAATGAAATAATCTGTACCAATGTTCATCAGACAGTGCTATGGGATATGCTAGTTTATTCCAAATGATACTCCATACTTTGGTTCAGCATTGCCTGCCCAGTATATTACACCCAGAATGCCCAAGGTAAGGTTGCTAAATGTTAAACCTGTGATGTCAACATGGTTGAGTTCAATGATTCACGCACTAGGCTATCAGCCCTATCATGACATTTTTAATGAAATAAAAGTTATTTTAATGCTATTCCAATTTCAAGTAAGATAAATTTGAATTAAATTCAAGCCCTAAAATCAAATGTTTCGAGAAATAGAAGATCTGAAATTGAGTTTTGTCACATTACTGTGTTTGAATTCTTAGAACAGGTGTTACATGGTGCCCAGTTGAAAATATCAGTACAGGGAAATAGTATTCTGGGAAAACTAGAATCACACGGGGTCAGTAATTATTGAAAATGAATGATTGTGGTGCACTTTCAGTTTCTACCTCTAAGCTACAATATGGCCCTGGCATTTGTGGTCATTCATGGGACCTCCAGACGTATGCACACCAAGATGTCGCACAACCTGAACATAGTAGGTATGTACCGGTTAGGATTCAGGTTGTGCGACATCTTGGTGTGCATACTTCTGGAGCACTCATTCATGACATTGCTCTGATGTGGGTTTCCTTCACCTGTTAGTGAGTACATATTTCAACTTATTCATAAACATGAAATAAAGAAACCTTGAAAATCCCCAGAGATGCTCGGGAAGGGCTGCAAAATTTGCTAAAGAGCCATCAACAATATCTATACAGTGAAACAACAAAGCAAAAAAATGCTTAGGCCGTGATTTGAATCCATTCTCCTTGGAAAGAAAAACTCATACCACACTCTTAGAGAAGTTGTTAAGTAATTTTCAGATAAAAATGATTCACCTCTTGCTGTTGTATGCCAGTCTCACTTTGATGTACAAGACTAGTATTTATATAATTATGATCTTCAAAACTTCTTTGTTTTATTTGTCGATTAGCTGGTGTTGGGGGAGGCTGAGCATCTCCTGAGGCTTCTGGTCGTCCACCAACAATCTGAAAAGCAAAAATAAAAATATAAAACACCGGTTCATAAAAGTATTGCCAAGGGTTAAAGATTGCATGAAATACTGCTAAGCTTGCATCAAAATAAAAAGGTAAATTATCTATATTCAGGATATTTCTAGATTAAAACATCTGCAACTGATATATATGTTAGTGCATAGAAAGCAAGTCTCATTTTAGGCTTAATCTATTATTTTGGCTTGACAGTTGCCAGATTGGCATCACTACTCAGATGGGGTCCACAGGGTGGGTGATAACTATCTGAAAAAGAATTACTGGACTTCGTGTAGGACAGTTCACATTATGGCTGGTAAGCTTCTTCCACCATAAAGTCTGTGCATCTGCAACAAATTTTTGGTTAAGTATGCCCAAAATGAACTGAAAACTGAAAGAGAGACCATTGTTTACCAGATCATAGACTTTCCTCTCCCCTGAGATAAATATGGATAGAATATTGGGTGCTCCCGAAGTATGCGAACCAAGATGGCGGACATCGGAATGTAATATGTGTACTAGGTTAGGGTTAGGCCATAATTTTAGGTATAAATAATACGGGAGGCTCTTGGCTAGTCTTCGAACTGATAAAGGACTAAAATAAGGAAAATTGGAAAAAAATTATCGCCTAACCCTAACCTGTTACGTTCCGATGTCCGCCATCTTGGTTCGCATACTTCGGGAGCACCGAATATTGATATGTTACTTATGCAAACAAGGCATTAATCAATACAGAGTAACGAATAAATATAGCTTTTTATTTCAGCAAATCTTATTTTTAGGTATGCAAAAGTAAGGCAAAACCAGAATATCTTCGAAAATAGCAAAAACCAATAATTTCTTTATTAGAGTATGAAATACCTGTTGAGTGCTGACAGCTCCATTATTAATATTATGTTGCCCTTCTAATCTTTTGTCAACTATGCCGGCTTCAGGAGGTAACTTCCCTGGTATTTCATTATAATATTCTGGTTCATCATCTCCCCATCTGTAGGCAATACAAATTAACGTTTGAAAACTGGTAATATTGGAAGAGTTAGTCATATAGCTTATTAAGCAAGAATAGTCAAAACCAATAACCCATTATTCAAATACATTCAAGATAAATATTTTTGAATATTGATTATCCAGTGCATTCTAAAATGAATGACTTAAAACAGAAAATATGTATATATTGTGTATTCATGAAGATGTGATCTTATAGAGAAAAAGTAAGATGAACATTAATTGATCAGTTGGATCAGCAAATATTCAAATTTTTTTTAAGAAACAAGAGTTAAATTTAATATATGCATTCAGGCAATATTTGTTTGAGTGTTCCAAACACATCATTTTTCAATATTATTCACACTGTACCTAAATTTATATCAGGCTCATATTACAGAACAGAATATTAGTTATTCATTTGTTGTGAATGCTATTAAAGAGGGCTCAAATTCTGAGCTTCCAATAAATCCTTATAGAATAAGTTTAAGTGAAAAAATTTGCACAAAAATGCAAAAAGGTTTTCTGATTATTAATAGTAGCAGCAAGGAAGACCTTTTACATAAGCCAGTTCTTGAGGTAATTTTTTTGTTTACTCTCAGTCTCAAGTATTGAAAAAACAGGAACTGAGCATGTATGATAATCAAAGGCAACTAATTTTGAAAAAATATGGAGCGAATGTAGCTGTAGCAGAAATAAATAAGACCATTTGAATTCTTGACAACAGAGTTGGGTCAACATTCAACAACCACTGAAACTCGAAACATTCTGTGGCAAACAAATCCCACAAAACGTGGCAACTCACATCAACGATTATAAACTGACAAAACAAACAAAAGTCGTAACCAGAAACCAGTTGCTACTTTTTTTAATTGCGAACATTCAGAAGATGCTTTCTACTCTGTACAAAATTGTAAATTTTACCATACACTTGCCAAACAAGGACCACACATAAGCATACTATATATACTCAGGGCCAAGCTTAATATCAACATCACATACCAGTGGTGAGATCAGTCTTGCATTACGTATTGTATTGACGTTGCCAGTCAGGTTAGATAATGTTTACTGTGTATACAAACACATTTAATCCTAATGGATGGCAATAAATTTTATTACTTTATAAGTAAATTTCTATTTTAAATAGATGAAATAGGTCTTCTTTAATCTTAAAAACAAAATATGGGGTCTGCCTGAGGATCGAACATTCAGAAAACAGAAATAGAGGCTCGTCAGCACACAAAACTAATCTCATATTCTAATTCATAATTATGTGTAATATTTTAAATTCTTGACTTTAAAGACGATTTTCATCAACAAAAATTAGCATTTTAAAGAGCCTAATAGCATCGAATCGAATTTCCTAAATTTGTATCTTCAGGAATAATTTATAACAGGTCGATTTGGAAAATTATCACTTTGGACAAATGAATGCACAATATGATCAAAAATGCATTTCTCAGAAACTGAGATACTGAGATCTACAAATATTGCCCCACTACATGGCAGTGCGGTAATATCAGGCCAGCCTAATATCTTTCTGCTCGTTGCTGAGCTGTGATATCACCAGTACCTATTTATATTGTTGCAGCAATGAAAATGAATTTGCTCAGTATTAATTCAAAGCTTTTGATTAAGATATCGGATTTTATTGTAAGTTTATTGTAAGTACCAGTCCTGTGGATAGTCATTGGACCTACATGCCCATATATTTATTTGATCATGACCTCTTTCATTCTTGAAAATATTTCAATAAAAATGTTTCAAGATTTTCTAAACAGTCAAATAAGAGCAAGATGAAAACTCCAAACATATCTAAAAGCTAGTACTGAAGACTCAACACCAATTATTCTTCTAAACAAAAATAGCAATACTGGACCTTGATTTTCCATCATGAAATAAAGGTTCTGTGCGATCAGGTGGTGTGACTGCTTTAGGTGGATTCTTGAGGTATTCTTTGAAACGTAGTTCAAATGCTTGACCAATTGTATTTATAACATCTTGTGCTACACCATCACAACATTCTAGAACATGACATGCTGAAATAAAAGAGGGATGATTAACCAATTTTAGGGTAGGATTTACGGTACTCTCGTAGTGTCTACCAGGTTAGGGTTAGGCCATAATTTTATTCTGATTTTCCTTATTTTAGTTCTATTACAAGTTTGGGTACTGTCTGTGTTAGCCAAGTGAATATACCCCCTGCCCATAGGTTTCCGTCCCTTTACACAACTTGATGTAAAGTAGGCAAACAAAATTAGTTACCTCCATATTGGTAAACACACTTCTGGAGCGGCAGATTAACTTATTTATTGTAGGGTGAGAAAAAATAGTAGAGAATAAGATAGTAAGGTGGCTTAATAATATTATGAATCATGGCCGTCGTCTGTCGTCTGGCTATCAGTCCATGTTGGATGTAGGAATAGTTACTCAGCTATTTGTTTCAAATGTGGGTCAAAGGCCATTTAAATCCAAAGAAACTTTCATATGTTGAAATCTAAGGAGACAACAGGGAACTTGCTACTCTGAATTAGGTCTGGCATCTAATTTAAATTCCAGTTATTACAAATACAATCATTTATCAATGAAATCCTGCTTCATGTACTTATTCTGTAACATGTAAAATTATAAAAACAGTAAAAGCGAACAGAAACTAATTTCAGGTCTTCCGGTTTCAAATTTTACTTAAAAATAATTCTTTTAAAAACCCCCTTCACTAGACAGAAATAACAAAATTCAGTTATTCGGAAAGGCTTAGCAGTGTAGGCTTCCAGTACTGACTAGCGATTTGAGAGTTGTATGATAATGAATACGAGTTATTAACTTCTTAGTTCTGCTCAAAATAGCATTCAGTGTTTTTGAAAACATATTATATCAGAGACCTAAATACTAGTTATTTTAAAAATGGATGCATTTCACAATAAATAATAACCATGTACAGACAAAATACATTAAACTAATTAGATAAAACGCTTGTAACAGAAAGTTAGTTTCAATTATAGCGTACTGAATAAATCAGACAGTATAGTACTCAAAAGTGTACATGTATAAATGTTTTTAAATAGACTAATCAAAATCATATTATTTTCAAAAAATATGACTTCTAACTAGTTACTAATCTGACCTATTAATTAACTACCTAATCTTTTGGGGTTTGTGTCTCATATTCAGTACATATTCAGTAACTTGGAATCCAAAACTTTTTGATATATGAGACTAATAAAGTAATAAATGACTATTTCTACTCACATACCTCTATTATTAATAGGATCTTTTGCAACATAGGCAACAAAATCTAAAGTGTCAGGATCTCCTCCAGATGCGAAGGATATTGATTGCATTTGATGATTCGCGATGAACTGCAAGAAAAAATGAAAACTGTTCGGTAAAGTGTTTCACATAACCTGCTTCAAATAAGGCTATGAATAAGCAACTACGGATCTTTTGATAGATACAATCCATTATCAAATATCAATACCATGTAATCAGTGGATTGAGATTCGCAAGTATATACAAGAAAGAAATTGAGAATTAATTATTGAGGGAATAGATTACATGAAAAAGTATGAACATTGAGAAAAAATCATAACCTGGAAATATGATATAGATAGATTCAAAGTTGAAAATAAAAATATATAAACAAAACCATATAATTATAGGTGCCCCATGAACAAACTCAAAAGAGAATTTTCCTTGTTATATATGTGAAATCAAAAACCAACCATGACTTAATATAGCGTAATGGTTGAATCTCACTGATTTCAACAAAACATAACTTTCAACTTGACAAATAAATATTATATGGCTGATATGGATAACAGTAGCAATGATATTGTGGAAGCCAAAATATTTACTACTTTCAGATCAGATCGCCCACAACACATAATATTAATTATTGATATATCGTCAGGCTTGAACGAACCGCATTATTCACAATTCAACTGCAATACTGACAACATACGGATATATGACTAAGTTTAAAATTTTCGTTTTCTGAGAAAACATAAAACGATTGCTCGTTATCACGGTGATTCAACAATGGTCAAATGCAGTTAACACATGGGACAAAATATATGAAATAATAAACAGTCCGTAACAGAGTTATTTGAAGAGGAAGTTCCATAAAGTCAATAAACTCATTTGTGATAAAGCAGGGCCACACAACAGATTCTCGTTTGTTTATTAATATTGAGTTATCCAAATTTATCATTTGAAAAGTTTTGAACATATTTTCGGCAAACTCGTACTCCAAAAATACTTTGGTAAAAAAAATTTTGTTTAAAATTGTTCGAGTTTTAAAGTTTTGACTATATTTTCAACCTTAATTGATGCTCTAATGTGAGCTTAATATTATTTGTTACAAACATTTCATATAGTGAGTATAATAATTATTCCAAATTTATATCAGATCGCAAGAATATATTTGTTCCCAATGCAATAAGCATGAAATATATTCAAAATAACCTACCGGTATTACTCATTTTCTATTTAGCACAGCAAGGCAATACTTGGCAGACAAGTTTCGATCTAGTTAATTAGCAATATAGCAATCCTATGAAAATTGATATAAACTAAATTTAGTTGAATCTCGTCATAGAGAATCAATCAAAACGTGACAAGACTTTGGGGAATTTCCAACCTAACTGCAAATACAAATGATAATTAACAACATAAAAGTGCAAACCAAATAATTTTATTATGTTGGGATGTACATAGTCCTTGATCATACATTCTAGACTAAAATTGACCGTGTAAGCAAGTATTATTAAACCGATAAATCAGTTATATAATCGTACAATAAGCCTTTCAAGCTAATAAGTTTAATACCTACAAATTAAAATTGTTGACATTTAACATTTTCCAATATTACGTATAAAATTATTCTAAGCATATTCGTCAATAAACATGCTCATAATAGTTATGTTTATTATTGCAAATCCGATTTTGACGTAATAAATATAAATGCCAAAAAGTTACAAAAGTTGAACCTAATTGAACATCACAACTAGCATCACATAAAAGACAATTACGGTATATTTTTTTTATCTAACATTATACTACATCTCAAATAGTTGGAATATATATATATCACTTCAAGGTTCATTTGCAACATATGTTTCTCAAAACCAATATATACTACTATTTATTTTCCTTACCTAAATTCCCTATTTTCAATAAATGCAGAGATTTGAACATTATATTCTTTCCAGTTTTACATTTGTGTGCGCTATGGCCTGTTGGTTGGATTTAGGAAATGCAATGAAAAATAAAAGCAAGATTCTAAAAACTTTGTAATGTTACACATTATATACACATTATCAATTGCAAATTAGGGCCTTGGGGTAAATTTCATGAAGAAGACTTGAGTATGTATCCTAAATTTGTCAGAGTAACCTACTAAAAAAAAATTCTGCAATCAAAACGTGTAATTTCAAAATCCAAAGCTGAATATTATTACTTGAAAAAAAAAATAATGTGGAGAACCTTATTAACAATAGTATTTGGACTTTATAATGTGACAAATCTGTTTTCAATCGCAGAGATGAATAAATCATAGTAATAATAAATAACAAGTAATTATGCAGTATTTGCATTTGGAAAGATGTGTAAGATATTGGATCATTCAGAAAAGACATCTTTGTTTACATATAAACCTCCTATGTTGAATAATTTTGTGAATACTTATTACGCAGGTAGATGAATAAGTGAATCAATAAGTCTATAAATATTAGATTATTTTCAAATAGGTCCCATCAATGCCCCACACAAAGTGCTGCAAAAAATCAAGAATATCAACTATCCGAATAGGGGCGCTCCCGTAGTATGTGCAACAAGATGGCAGACACCTGAACATAGTATGTGTACCGGGTTTGGGTTAGACCATAATTTTATTCCAAGTTTCATTATTTTATTTCTATTACGAGTTCGGGGACTAGCCAGGTGACTCCTTTAGTATTTGTAACTGAAATTGTGGTTTAACCCTAACCTGATACACATACTATGATCCGGTGTCCGCCAACGTGTTGCACTACGGGTGTATCCGAATAGGTATACAGAATTAAAAGAATTGTGAGCTATTTTTGTTGCAAAACTTTTCAGAAAAATTATGTGACACTTTCGATTCTTTCCAGAATATTACAAACTGTGTATGTTTTGTATTGGGCACCGCAGCAGAATTAGAGATTACAGGAATTAAACAGTTACAAATTTCCATGTATTTCATAGGCAGTCTAGTCTAGTTAAAATTTTGATCAAAATATTAATCAAATGATCATTAGCGAGCGTGTATATAAATATTTTTATAATGGATTTGAAAAAAACAACAATTTTAGAAGGGCAACAGCATGACAATGTGGCTTTTTTCAAATGTCAATATTTGTTGATTTCTATAAACATAGGTGTTGTATTTTGCAACAAAAATTTCAAATTTTTAAAAATGTGTATCATTGAGGATAACAACTTAAACTATTCAGCTATATGTACCTTCAGACATAGTCTACAAACAAATTTGAATTGGAGGGAAAATTATAGTTGATGAAATGGAATGTTGAGAATACAGTACCTATTTGAATATTTGAACTACCATAAGTAATAAAAATTTTAGTTCCACTGTAACATGTCGCAAATTAGAATTAAACAATTTGTTATTTGATCAAATATACACTGGGGAAGGTGTTTAGTACAACTTTGTGACCAAATTATTATCATTGCATCACAAAATTTACTGAGAAATCAATAGATTTCGACATCTCCACTGCTGTGATAATTTATTCTTTCTGACATAAAATCAATCTTATTATCCCCGTACCTCTGTGCATTAGTATAATTGGGTAAATTAGATTTTAAACTCATGATTGATTCTTTTATTGGATGCATTCTGACACATGGTCATGCATCTCAATTAAGATGATCATTTGTTGCTACAACAAGCACGAAACTATCAGTTACACCAATGGCACAGTGGCAATTACATCAGAGCCGGCCCATTCTGAGCCTAATTCTAGGCAAACCATATCAATAACAACAAAGTGTAACAAAACTTGTGTTGCCAGTATTCCAAAGAACATTAGTAGCCGATAGTATGCAATATTAATAACAACTCTAAGCGCCAACTTTACTTTCGATTGTATTTGCAAAAAGAAGAAAAACTTGTACTTATCATTTGAATCACAAGATTCAAACCTAAAAGGCGATGGATGATTTATGACAGTATAACTGTCAACTGCACTTTCCATCGTATTTGCAAAAGAATAAAAACTTGAGTTTATCATCAAATTGAATTGAAGGACTCTTATAACTCTCAGTTGGTAGAGATTTGTTCAAGTTAACATCCACCATACCTCACTCATTCTGAGAACCTAGTCAGAGCCGAGAGGCAAGTTTAAAGATGATTAATTTTTTGTCTACTTGCACCCACTAAAATCATTTTTTGCAGAAACGAAGTTAGTGAGCTAGAATGAGTTATTTTCAAATTAAGAAACTTTTGTAATGAAAGATTGCCCGTAACAAATCCACAAAAAACAAATTGGTTCAGCCAGAAGATGATGGAAATAATTAAAGCAAACCTAAACGTGAGCATTTGGTGAAATTCAGAGTTAGATAACTCATGAGAAGGTTTCAAACTCCATGGTAGCTATTGACACTTCTGTGATCGTCAGTAACTCTTCTCAGACAGAGCTTTTTTCAATTCTAATTGTGTAAAAACTTGCAATAAGCTCATTCTCTTTAAAAAGTATAAAAACCATCAATACCTGTCCCGAATCAGTGACAACCAAGGTCAAACTTGCTGTTGAAATTGTTAAATTAATCAATGATAATGAAAACTGTAGATTGGGACGTTCTCCTAGAATTCGTGAAACTTCTTTCGGAGTCTTTTTCCTTCGAGAAACCAGTTGATGTGATCGTCTTGTGGCCATCAATATTCTCCATATTGCTTCCCTTTAAAGTAATATCAGAATAAATCATCAGGAAAAATTAGTAAATAGATCAAGCTATGGTATCAGCTACATTGTCTGATACAAAAAGTTTGGAACAGCCGTTTTTTCCAGAGTGAAGGTTTAAAACTTGCAAGTTGCAAACTAATCCTCAAGCCTGTGACTTCCACTTATAAAAGGATTACTGACAGTATTATATCTCTTAGAAAATGGTTTTACAGACTTCTCTTTGCCCTAGAATAAAGATGGATAAAACACCATTAATATCTAATTGTACCACAACAAATAGCATGGACCAACAACTATACGAAATCATTTCGGCCCGAATCTGAAGTAATTTGATCATTAATACCTAGCAGTAGATGCTTTACAAAGCCTTGTTCACTTTTTAGATGGTGAAGGCCATAAAGAACATGGTACACAAAAAATTTGAATGCCAAAAAAAATTGAGTTTTTTCTGCAATTGGCCTATATTATTGGTCTTACGTAAGAAGTAAAAAAGGCAGTATTTTACTTGCAGATCGAATCTTTCAGGCTGGATACAATAATAGTCGAGGGCCCGAGGCGTTAAAAAAATAGCTTCTGAATTCATTTCAAGATTGGATCTTTCATTGGGTTCATACCCGTGAACCCTTTTGACACCAAGATTTTATATACTGTGAATGACAATTACAATGACTAATGCTTATTAATATTTATTACATCACCTCACCATCAACAGATATGAAGAAAGATAAAACTTTCCTGTATACTTATCATGGTTCTTGTACACAAATTGCATACCAAATTTATTAACACTAAATGATCAGGCTCTAACAAAAAAGAAGAAACATTTTGACTAGAAACTCACTTTGTTGCCTGTGTCCTCATATCGAATTGTAATGTCCTCATACTTTGCCTGACTTCTATACATCCAAGATACTATAAAAATCGATTAGTCCATTAGTTAACAAGAGAAGCTATCTCAGAAATAAAATACTGAAAAAATCATCATTTCTACTTTCATTGATACGAGTTAATTAATACCAAGTTGAGTTATGAGTTGGCTTAAATAATGCCAAACAAAAATGGGGTCCAGTGTAGTTTCGTACCTCAAGTACTTCTAGTGGGCGTAGCAAAACAATTTTTGCTTATTATGTCAATCCTAACCCACACGTGACTGCGTCACTACGACATCACAGTGATATAATAGGGCCCTTCAAACTATACAAACTGCCATCCAAGACGCGCAGACGATCACCCAAATCGAGCAAGCTATTTCTCTCCTTTTCTCGCCCTTTCAGGCGATCGTAGGTATTGACAAGCTCTGGCAAGCTCTATGGCATGATTGTGAGTTGTGACATCGTAGTGACATAATTTTTGAATGGCATAGTCAGGTGGGGATTGACATGTGCAAAAATTGTCATGCTATGCCCACTAGAAGTAATTGAGGCACGAAACTACACGAGACCCCAAAAATGTAAGCATGACAATTTTTTCACGTATCAATCCTAACCCTCACCTGACTACACAATCCAAAAATTACGTCAACATGATGTCACAGTGACGTAATAGAGCCCTTCAAACTATACGAACTGCCATCCAGGACGCGCAAACTAGCACCCAAAATCAAACAGGTATTTCTCTCGTTTTCTTGTCTCAGTGATTACAATAGGAGAGAGATTGATAACGTCGGTCAGTTCTTTATCGCCGTGTCAATGCCATTTAGGGCAAGTCAGATGGGGGTTAGGATTGACATATTAAAAAATTGTTATGCTACGCCCACTAGAAGTAGCCTACTTTAGGTACGAAACTACACGAGATCCAAAAATGTAAGGTGAAAATGAAATTACAGCCCATATTTTGTTTTAAGTTAATAACTCTCACACGAAACGCTATTGGTACCCTATTTGGCATGACCTGCTTAGTTGAAATTTGAGTGGGTGTGATTTTACTTACTGACTTAACACGTCAAAAATTTCATTCCGCGCAGGCAGACTTTTTTAAAAAAAAACAATAAAATTTCCCATCATATTTTTGTTGGGTGATATATAGGCAGTTTTGGCGCTCATTTCATATCAGATATTTGGCATTTTTAGTCACAGCGTTTACAGGTTTACTTCGTTAGACCCCATTATTCTTCTATTCAGTTATTCTCATCGATACAGCGATAACTGGATAAGTCTGTAAGTTTCCTAAATTATTCATTCAGTCATTGCAACATACATAGAGTTTACTAGATTATAATGTAAAACATTAAAACCATAATGTGCATCAAATATTACCCGAACTGCATAGACGACACCAGGTCCCATCACAGAATTATCTGGATGGAGCCATCCTCTTGAAGGTTTATTCACAAAGCTCCCTGATTTCCTCCATTCATTAGCTTGATCTCCTTCGATTACCTTTTTATTTTTCATTCGATTCATCTCTTGTATTGTTTGCTTATTAAATTCACCAAAATCTAAGTCATATATCAAAATATATACCAACGTTTACCGGCGGAAAAGATAAAAACAAGAACAGCTGAGCTGACTACGTCCAGACGTCTGAGACTAACTGAGAAATGTCAAGTAAGATAGAGATAGAGATAATCTAAATATTGTTGATCTCCAGCGTCACCTCACGATGATTCAGGATAGAATTAAGAGCATGACATAACGATGGGAATTTTTAGATACCTATGTCATAAAATAACGGCCGTCAAAACGCGACCCAGTGTTTTCAATTTGCGCTTTGCCACTGCTTTTGATATTATTAGAAGATATTCAAGAAAAAATCAAGACATGTCAGTGCAATACAAAATTTCATATTGATTTATAAATTGGTACTGAGATTTTTTAAATCAATTTAAATTCTTTTTATTAATTTGAAAATCATTGTAGAGCTGCGTGAAATGCTAAATTTATATCAGCGATTTAAAATATTATAATGGTACTTGTTTAGACCAGTGGTCCCCAAACTTTTTGTACCATCGCCCCCCTACACTAGTTTATACAACTTCATGGCCCCCCGGCAATGCAAAAAAAATTGAAATTCTGAAACGAATATATTACAGACCAAATAAGAAGACAAATAATAGTTTATAGTATTTTTTTAATGAGATGGATGAGCTTGGTGTTCTTCGTCGAGTTTTTTATTATATCTAAAATTACCCCGTTTACTGATGGAAAGGCAATTTAGTTGTTTTGATAGCAATAGTGTCACGGCTGAAAACCATATATCAGAGGTCGGATATGGAAGAATCCAAGGTTCTACCTCCTCAAAAACCACTGTGTACTCTTGCCCTATAACATCTAACTTCCTAAATCCAGCTCGTTTCACATTAAAATACTGAAAACAAAATTAATTTTTCAAAACTTATATTAATGATTTAGGTACATGTCATTCATCCCTACAGCCTGACGACCTTCACCAAAATATGTGATATATTTATAGCGTCTTTGGTAAAATTCATCCCCCACGCCTCATCCTACCACGTCCTCCAGTCCGATCACCAGTCCATAGAAATAATCAGCCATTTGTTTTGGATTCGTGGACTCGGATGGCCCGGGGATCGGCAAATTTTAAGTCGCTCGCGGTACAAAATTATGATTGCTATTCTTTCGCGGATCGCATATATTTTTTGAAAATTAAAAAACGGAACATCGTGCAAAAACTCCGACAATTCGTGAACGCAACTCAGTCGCCCCTCATAAAAAATTATTACAATGACATTTAATGTGACACTGTCTTGTTGCTGCACCACGCTTGATAGGTTTACGACGCCAAGATTGGAAAATTTTCTAAATGGGCAACATTAATCCTAGTTCTTTGCTTGTTCTTTGTAATGTTCATTTTCAAAAATAATTGTTCGCACAAATATGTATACTTTCAAATATCGAAGTGAATATTTTTGCATGGTTTGTGAAATTTTGATAAAGATTTTCTTTAAGAAGATACATTCTTACAAAAATTAAGCAGTGATGAATCTCTCGAATAGAGTATGAATTTGATTTCCGTATTGCATTGCAATATATCCGAATATTTACTGCGCTATAAAACCCGTGCACTCAGCATAAACTTTTATGCGTGTTTCCATTTGTCTAATTATAATTAAATTGTAGACTCTTTAAACGAGTTAAACGTTTTAGAATATAATAAAATTTAGTCTAAACGTATCTCACGATAAATTCTGTTAAGTAAAAAGAAATTTAATTTACTCCTCGAGCTTAGATAATAAATAAAATTAAATCATCGTTAAAACCGCCGTTTGGATGTTTCCCCTGGCAAAGACTTCCTTGTTTACTTGGCCAATCAGCAAGATGCAAAAATAAATGTAACAATGCCCCCTTTCGCATCCGCTCAGACACATTCCTCACTCAAACAGACTTTCAGGCGTTGTCGTGAACATTACCTCATTTACACGATTTTGAATTATATTCGTTAGTTTTTAGTTGTTTTTCGGAAATTTAAATAAAATAAGTCGATGAACACTTTGTCCTCCTAGGAGTTTCAGTTTAATTACAGTAATCAAAAATTAGTGTAGAAAATTCTTTACCGGTACTTTTAAAAAACAGATTGTTGAATGGTATGAATTAGAATGATAGTTTGAAACAAATACTTCATTTTATAGGCAACAACTCGCGAAACCACTCTTAAAATAAACACCGAAATGAAGTGTGGAAAATATTTTCGGGGTTAAAGGTCGGGAAAAGATCCATTCAGTGAAGCGTCCCGAGCAAGATTACTACAGATTTCTCGACCACTGGGATACGCAAACTATCGTACCTTACTGCGAAGACGAGTCCAGCAATCTTTTCGCGTCTGATATTCGCCCCCGTGATTCAAACCTACGAAAGCACTCAGAGTACAGTAATCCAGTGCACGATGCGTCGACTAAAAACAGGTTTCGCGAAATCGCCCCCCTCTGTATCGTTTTCGCCCACCGGGGAGCGATATCGCCCACTTTGGGAATCACTGGTTTAGACTAAATTAGCATTCAGTTCATTCGAATCAGTGATATATATCTCGTCATATTTGTTCGGTTGAAATTCTAAAATTTAAAAGAAATATTTTGAACAACTGGTTGCCGGATACTTCAACTATGAAACCACTATAAAATTGTATGTGGAATTATCAATAATATTTGCTTATTGCACAGAACCGTTAACTTGTTTCCTACCAGAGATGCATTAAATGAATTCGTTGGATCTACTGAACTGGAAATATATATAGCTCCGCGTTTGGGTCGAATAAAAAGTTTCAATTTAAAAAAAGAAAGTAAACGTTTAACAATGTAACGAATTTCACACATTTCTGGCTTGTTGCCTGCGGCTCTTTTACCATAATATACTGCACGCATCTGGCATTATTAGTGACATATATGCCAGTGTTCATTCGTTGATATTTGAATATACTATATATATATATAACCAAAACCAAATTAACATTAACCAACATTGCAAAACAAATTAGCGATAGCAACTATGACATTTGCCCGACTTACAGAAAATGACGTTAGGAAAAATTTTCGGCAATATGTTGTGTTGTTGAAGCCGGTTTGAAACCGCCAAAAATTGAATTACAATTTTAAAAAGTCATATATACATGTTCGTTTTGTTTCTTGTTAGCTTTTTATAGTAGTTTTTCTTAAAATTATACAAGTGAGTGAAAAATCTGATTATTTTGTGAATATTTGAAGCATGAAAATCGTCAAAAATTTGCTTTTCGAAGTCACTCACAAAAATGAAAGTATCATTAATCGCAATGAAGCATGAAGTGAAAAATCCACATAACTCTCAATTGAAAACCACAGTTTTGTTACAAAATTTTGAAAATTGAATATTACAATGATATTTATAAATCCGATGACGGATCGGTATAAATCAGTGGTTCTCTAAGTCGAATCCCATTTTTTGGAATTTTTCAAGCCTCGCGCCCACCTCAAAAATAACTAGCTAACAATAAGCTACAAATAACAGATGGTAAGGCGAAAGTATGTTTCATTAAAAAAAATCACTTTGGAAATACGTGAATGGAACGTAAATATTGAAATAAATGAAAGTTTTAAAATCGTGCAAAATGTGAATATCCGAAACAGGGCGGGCGAGATCAAATCTAACAAATATAATATATTTTTATTATTAATTAGCTTCCCGTCCCCTCAAAATTTGTGTACGCGCCCCTTATGGAGCTTCCCGCCGTTTAAGAACAACTAAAGGAAACTCGACTTGATTCAGCTTATTGGGATTAATTAACTCGATTCACAAGTTAACTTGGTTGTGCAACTGTCGTTAATGCTGCCGTACTTAAGTGGCTTTAGTGCAACAGCTGTCATAAATATCGCCAATATCTTCAATGGGAACTGCACATTCTTTGATATAAAGTAGTATTCTTTAATGGATTATTCCAGTGACCGTCACTAACAATTAAATCTCAAGAGAAATGAATAACACCCACACTTGATTTCGCCCATCTGGAATGCTTTTTTGTCCCGAACGCATTTGTCTACTTTAATCTAGAATTGGATTAAAGCCATGGTAAAATGGCAAACAGTGTCAGAACACAATGGCGTTGCATTTCACTCTGAAGATAGATAGATATCTGAATTGTACGTTTGACAGTATACTCAAATAATTGAGACATAATTATTTTATTGTGTCAAATACGAGGTGCTCAAGTGCAGCAATTGCTGTATTATCAATAAGAAAACTTGTCACTTGTCGCAAAAATTTTATTTTTTATTATATATAAATTACGCCTCTGGAGCAAGATTTTCAAGATATCAAAAATTATAAAGTAAATTTTTATTCGTGCTTAATGATTATAAATATAATACTTACCATTTCACTGAAATTCCTGAGATTTAAAGTGTAAAAACACCCTTATAACTATTCGCGGTAACACTTCTTCTCGACACTTCAGACTCCTATAAATCAGGCAAGTCTAATTTTATCAAGGCCATGACCTTGGAAACATGTTTACCGCATGATGTTGGCCAATGTTCTTATAAAAAGTTCGTCATCAAAAATCGACGAACACGGTTCCGTGAAAACATAGGTTTCTATTATATTATTAATGCGCGTTTGTGGTGTGTTTTATTACGATGAGCAAGCTTTTTAATTGCTTTTGAGATAAACATGCCTTCTATGTTTGACACCTCATATCGTCATTGTTAAAGTTCGTAGGTTAAATACAATAACAGAGAAGATTTCTTTCATTTCGAAGTTTTGTTCTGCGTCAAACTGATATATATCATAAGCAAGAGAAGTTGACTATTACTATTGTTAGAAAAAGATGCGCAGAATGGTGAGTAAATTCAATTTTTAATTAGTACGATAACTATAGATATTTCCGAATTTATAAGACTCAAAATACAATGTCTAGTTGTCGAAAGATCAAGGTAACTAGAACGTCTGCAGTTGAATAATATATTATCATTACAGTAAACACTCTTTAATGTTCTGTTAAATTCTACAAGTGGCCATAGCAACAATATGTTTTACAAAACATTATTTCTTATGCACCGCAAAATAAAATAGTGTTAAAATTAAGAGAAAGTTATCTATTTCTTCATTTACTTTTTTGAACTATATTTTGTCAAGTAAACAGCAATCGGAACAAACAACCAACATTCAAATATCTAATCTTGTATACGAGTATTATTTTATGCGTATACAATTCTTTTTGAAAATTATCTATTCAATTTTTCTGTCAAGCTTGACTGTAGGTGAATTATTTCACATTGTAGTCGTTGTTAAATTTATTTTACAGCTTATAATTAGGGCGTTATCGTAATCCAATATACATGTGATGACATAACACTTCAACTGACAGATAAATGCGCACATAACGCAACGTGTTGGTTGAAAATAACCAAACGCAATTGCATTTTATATATTTTGGAAACCCGTACGTAATATACGCATTGTATAGAGAGGCAATAGAAATGGCCTCGAGCCGTTTGGTCTTATTCAAGGCGAGAATGAGCTAACGAAATAGAAACAGTGAATAATAACAGTGTACGTACTGTTCACGAATCACGATTGCTAACTTGTCAGCTATCGCGCGTAACTGCAATATGGATACGGAATATATCACTCTAAAATTATGGTAATATTTGCATTATTTTCCGATATTCTTTTTATCTATGCTTTCAAATTATAAATTGTTTCTTGTTTTTATGAACATGGCGATGATAGATGTGCAGATATATACAGGAAGTGCTGTACGTGTAAAACTCCCGTTAATTCTCGTGATGTAAAAGCATTTGCCTCCGCGTTGGCTGCAGAAGGATTAATTAATATGACCAAATTTGGGCGATAGTTAGATCATGTGATTATCGAGAATATTTAAAATAACTTCGAAAAAAATTCGTTGAGATTTATGTTGTCTATATATGAGATGTGCCCAGCTGAAATGACAATGTCTTCATTATCAGCCGATAAGTAGAAGGATCATGCGTGTAATCTTGAGGATTGATATTTTGTAATATGGCGTCTGCTTGAAACAGCTCGCTCAGCTGGCTGTCCTATCCTTTGAAACATTAGCAGCCATCTGAGAGGTTGGAACACGCGGATGAGTTTTTCACCGTTTAAAATACTAACTTAGGTATTTCTACTTAAATACACTTTCAAGGAATGTGACTGGGAATTCGAATATTTATTAAGATTGAACTCTGACATCATGCAAAGAGTGGGTTAGCGTAAATATTGAATAGACGTGCACCTCATGCCAAAAAAATATGTAACTGGGGTTTAAAATTAGCATAATTGCTTGATCGGGGTAGGATGCTACAGGAAATTACACTTGGTATGTCAATTTTTATTTTATCAGTATGCTAATTAAAAAAATCTGTTCATTAATATAAAGCATTCAAACTAAATACAGTAATACATTTAAGGAATTCTGCGTTATTTAGTTTTCAATACATTTCGCCTCAATTCAGTATAACTCTATTTTAACGAGGATTATAAGTTGTCTTTGTGAAAATTTGGGTACTCCCGCAGTGTGTGTACCAGGTTAGGGTTAGGTCATAATTTCATTTTGATTTTCCTTATTTTAGTTCGAGGACTGTCTGTGTTAGCCAAGTGAATTTTTCAGTACAAGAGTGACTATCCGTTGAAATCTCTCAAGATCCAGTGAAGTTGTCAAGTTCATGGCCTTATTGCCGACAAATGGAAATGTAAATCTTTTTTTCACAATTCAGCATTATACCGAGTTAGCAGTTACTTGGACATGATAGGTCCGAATTGTTCAGAAGTTTGTGCAATCAAACCACGTGTTTGGTTTGTCCGATTGCTTACTAGATTGAAACTCGAACACGGCCTTATCTTCTTGAGCTCATTTATATACCAAAGATTATAGAACTCTTTACTAATGTATATCCCCAGTTGCTAAAGAATTAATGAAAGTCGACTCTAGTGGTAACTCATACAAAGAATTCATAGGCGGCCTTGAATTGTCTTCAGGGGGCATGGAATAATAAACTTGTGTGCTGAAAATATCAGCATTTTCTTCAATTGTTTCGACACCAGGTCTATTTCTCTCTTTTATTGAGCAATTCTTCAAAATACTCGGCACGTATTTGGGATGAATTTCTTCATATATATGCTCCCTGTGAATTGTTGACTGTTTCCGCGAAAATGTAGGCGAATCATTCCTCGGTCGGTGATGCGGGTCAAGGAACAAATTTATGTGACTCTTGACCCCCGGTAAATCATTTCTTCGCTGACGTGTTTTTGGTTTATTGTTTTCATCGACGTATTTGTTTTTAATAACTTTATTACGACTTGCCTTGGTAGTTTCAGGTGGTAGATCCACGTATTCTGTTATCTTGGCGTCAGATTGCAACACAATGTTCTGCTTATTCTGCCTTTTACAACATAAAAACCACAGGATAAAGCATGCGAGTATGATGATTATTGCGATTGCACAACATAAAGGAACAATGATGTTAATCATCGATGATTTTGAGTTTGTATTCTGAGTAAATCTGTTGTTGACAGGAACAAATGACGTTGTTTCCTGAGGTAAAGAATCACAATATTAAATGATTGTATTTCTTACTTCTCTCCTAAACACATCAATAGCAATAAATACAGGGCTGGCTAGGTAATGTTTTCCAACCCCTTTTGGTCGCGGACTATTTTAAAAGCAAAATTAATTTAAAATTGAAAAGACACAAAAATTAAACAAATTTTTATTTTTTTCTGAATTTATTCATCCGGACAACAGGACTCCCGAAGTATGTAAACCAAGATGGCGGACATCGGAACGTAGTATGTGTACCAGGTTAGGGTTAGGCCTCGATTTTATTCCAATTTTCCTTATTTTCCTTATTCGTATTACGAGTTCGAGGACTGGTCAAGTTTATCCCGTAATATTTGTACCTTAAAAATTATGTCCGAACCCTAACCTGGTACACAAAGTACGTCCCGGTGTACGCTATCTTGGTTCACATACTTCGGGAGTACCCGGACAACTATAAAAATATCATTTATTGCTTAACAATACTTCCTGAAAGCGGAGCCAGAAACGTAGATTTGAAAAAAAATTACAAACAATTTCGATTCCGTGTTGAACTGAGACGGTGTAACTTAACAAAATTCAATTGCTTTACGTTTTAATTACTATTATCTTGTATCAAAATACCCGATGTAGCCAATATGACTGCAAAAACCTTTCGTGGACAAATTTGTGTCCGAGGCCTTGGGACTGGGAAACCATGGGCTATTAACATGGCAACTAAATAATATTCCGACGAAATTTATGATCCTGATCCACGGTAAGACAAGGTTGATGTGCTTAACAGTTCATAGATATTTTTTTCGACATATTTAAAACATCCAGAACCAATTTTCGTCATAATTGTATTTAATGATGCGTAATAATGTTAGGATGGTTAACTGGGGCGTTTCTCTGGATAAGTTTGGATGTACGAGGACATTAAATTTGTTTTCGAACCCATACGTCGCACATCGAATAATATTAAAGATATCATAACAATTGATCTCGCACAAAACAGTGCTTGAAAATTTAAAACTTTCGGATTAAAATTGATGTTCATTTTATAAATAGCAGTGGTTTTCAACCTTATCCATGAAGCGGGACCCAAATGAAACATCCCATTACGCTCGAAAAACTCATGTCCATGTGCAACAGTTCAATTGTCTTTTATTGTCCGAATTGCATGAACTTTAAATATATATAAAGCAAACCTTATGCTGCATGGCAAAACAGAATGATCTTTTCGGTGTAGCAAGTTTAATTATTAATGGCGGCAAACCTAATAGTTTTGCTTTTTGCTTATATATATATATTTAATCATTATATAGTAGTCTATATTAGTATATCTATATACATATATCGATATATATACTGTATACTAATATAGACTCTCGACCATCATGGACTGTACTGGTGGAACTACAGGGTCCCGCGGAACTCTGGTCTATAGGTTGCCCTTCAGTTAGTAGGTCATTAAAGGCTTGTCGGAATCTTAAACATGAGCAGATATACTATATAATAATATAGACATTGTGCTTTGAATGTAAACTTGCGGCACCCGTGGACTGTACTGTTGGAACTATAGGGTTTCGCGGAACTCTGGTTTAAGCCACTGGCTTATAGATAGTTAGTAGATCGTTAAAGGCCCGCTGTAATCTTAAAAATTAGCAAATGCTTACCTCTTCGCTTATCAATATGAGACACGAGTTTGAAATGCCAAATATTTCTATATTTCCTTCCGCTTGATAAAACGCAGACACAGCAGCCCGACCAAAAATCTTCAACGTGTCATTTTTAGATCTCGAAATATCGTTCGAGTTACTCCAAGGCGTAAAAGACATTATATTTCCCAAAATGCATTCACAATCGGTATTTTGTTTTTCATAATTGTTTGTAATTTCCTTTTCAGATAGAGAAATATCCCACATGTTTAATCCGTACATTGAACCATGAAAATTGTTGAAAAAATTACATTCCTCTAAATTGCAGTTTTGCTTTTCACCGACGACAATATTTATAGTATCTGGTATTACAAACGATTTCAATTTGTGATTTACCTCGGCACCTACAGCTTCTCCGTTTACGTACAAAGCTGCGACCGCTTCTGAAGAGCTAATTGTGGAACATATTTCGTTCCATTGATTTGAAAGAAAAGCAGATATCCAAAACTCGAATTGAATTCCCTTTTCTAATGTCAAAAATAAGGCTATTTGTTTTTTGTTACCCGAAATCGATAATATTTTCTTGCTTTCGTCTTTGTCAAAAATTGCGAGCAATTCACCATCAAAGCTCATTTCAGGGTTTGCTGAATTTTTTATCCAAAAACATATTGTAAGACTAGTGATTTGCTTTTCAAATTCCCATGGTATCTCTACGTACATAGCGTTGTTTTTTTGATTTTGTAATTCTGTCGATGTAAAATGAATGAAATATCTTTGACAATCTGTAAAATGAATACACGCAAGGTGAGGCTCACTACATGCGTTTTATTTGTGATTTAAGCTTAGTTCACGCAAATGTACAATTAAACAAAAATAAGCCAGTGGTTAAGTTAACCCAGTAGTGTGGTTCGAGGGGTCGCGCAAACCAATTCTTAGATCGTTGTTATAATCAGCAAACCCGATCTTGTTTTAAAGCTATAGGTTTTGCATAGTTTTGTGAAATAAAGGAACCTGTTGTTAATGAGTTGCAAAAGAAAACACATTCTCAAAATTTTGATTCCGACAAATGGATTAACTCCTCAAATTTGTATACTGTATTTGTTTCGGAACCGACATAGGCACCATTTTTAATACAATCTACGGCGCTCCAGAAGTGTGTGTTCCAATATGGAGGTAACTAATTTTGTTCGCCTACTTTACATCAAGTTGTGAAAAGAGCATGAAACCTATGAGCAAAGCCTATGGGTGTATTCACTTGACTAACACAGACAGTCCCCTAACTCGTAATAGAACTGAATTAATGAAAATGCGGATAAAATTATAACCCATCCCTAACGTGGAACATATACTACACTACGGAAGTACCCAATCCACTACCTTTGCATATTTTGATCCAAGTTTTATTTAAAAAATCGTTTTCGTTTTCTTCATTTTCTAAACTTTCTATCACGCGATAAACCGAATCATTCGTTGGTAGTGTAGGCCCGAATATTCCAAGACACTTTTTTGAAGTTATACAATCTTGCTTTGTCTCCTCAAAGGATGAAAATCAAGTTTTGACGAAGTGTGTCGCAAATTCGGTGATAAATTGTGAGGAGATTGGCGCCACGTACATTCGCCTAAAAATTGTAAAAAAAAAACGAGTAGTACATATATAGCAAAAACATAGGTTAGGCCCTTTCGAAACGGTTTTATATTGGATATTGTATAGTTTCTCAACGTGTGGAAAGTTGTCAAAATAGCTGACTGACGCCATGAATATTTAACGCTCATATATATACAATTACTTTTATTAGAAGTTTACCTCGAATTTTTAACTTCTTACAGTGCAATTTCACTCATTTCTCATTTTTCAATTCATAAATTTTTATCATTTCTGAGTGATTGCCGGAAAAAATTCTTTCTTAGAATGTATATATAAAAAATATGAGATAAATAATTACCTGCATAAACTTCAAATGATCGGTAAAGACAAATTTCCAAGAGTAAGAAACTTGACAAAAATCGCATGATTACAGGTAAATAATACTTAACTCTAGTGGAATTCTTCTTAGAGCGAAAGCCAGCCAAACTTCAACCATACACCCTCTTGAAAAATATTATTGTTGATCCACGTTAAAGCAATTGAATTTTCATCACAATTTAGCTAATGTAAGTAGCCTTCTATGACTATGACATAATCCATGACATGCGAGTGAATACAAATTTTGAAAAAAAAAGAGTGGTTTACTATCAAAATTGGATTCCGTTTGATATTTTACCGTGAGTCATTCGTATTCGTGACGGGCTAGTGAACAAGAAAATTATATGAATCCTGGTAATTTTCTGCTTCTCATCGCTATCACATAGTCAAATAGAAATATATATAGGCTCAAGCCGCTAAACAAAAATTAGAACCAGAACTCGTATCGGGAAATATATCATTTAGTTGATCAACGACGAAGACTGGTTCTATATCATTGAGTACCGTTATATCTTGACCAACAATTTTCTGTTGTCAATGATAAATGCGTAATTTCTATCTGTTATTCGGCCTTAAAAGTAGAAGTGCGTATTTATATGAAATGTACCATCGATGAAAATACATGAATAAATATCATATATATATATATCTTTGTTCAAATTCGGGATTAAGCGTAGTTTAGCGCAAATTAAAAGTAAAACGAAATCGAATCCGCACAGAAACAACAGTTCGTGTGTTAAACATAACTAATATATATATGATTGAATATTTTACATATTGTATTTGTTAAAAAAAGTTTTATGATTTCATATTCTAAATGCTGTTTATATGAATCAATTACTGGATTTTATTTTTCTATGCATTTTACTTTCGTTTATGTAGTATCTGCCCATATTGTTACATAGGTGTTACGTAACACTGGAGGTAGATACTACTTGCTGCAATTTCGAGAGCTCCAGTTTCCTTATCTGTTGAACTGAGTTTAATAACGAACATGCGCAGCTTTTTATATTTTAAAGGAAAGTCGAACGATGAGGAAAAAGGGTAGACATTGCCTATATTCGTCAGGCATACATGTTTACAAACTTCAAAATGCATAAAGTACATTGTACACATTAACGATCACAAAATAGAGTATTGAATTTTTTCGCGCTCATGTCATAGAACATAACACTGTATTTGTTGTTCATTAGAATGCGCAAGGGTTATACATGGACGCTTTATCTGACACGAGAAAGAGGGGATGGGGCGATTAGTTAGTTAAATTGTTGTTGTTGGTATTTCGTTTTGTTATTCTTGTTCTGGTGAAAAAAATTGCTTTTCAATTCAACTTTGTAAAAAAAAAAAAATTTTAAATTTTTATTGGTCAAAGATTGTTTTTTCCGCTAGAAGTCTATTTTTATCTATTTGAAAAATTTCTGTGGTCTCTACGGGATTTGTTTTTCAATTTGAGGCTTCGTGAGATGACGATCTGGTGAACAGACAACCGGTACTGTAAAAGATTTGATATGGTACTACTTCGCTTTGGCTTTCGTGTCCGTATACTAGAGAATTGCTCTCTTGTTTTTTGCCAGCCCGCAGAACTTGAGACGAAGATGGACGCAAGGTTTCAGAGTAATGATTTTGTACGGTCGCGAATCTGCAGTCGCCCATAGACAGAACTGGGAAATTGTTCGGAAACATCCGTTTTGTGTCCATCCAGTTGTGTTTTGAATTTAGCGTTTCATAGTATTATTTCTACCGACTGTTTCAGCACATTTGAAATGCCCAAGCGTCAAACGAGGGAAACGCAAACTATTATCGTTACTTCTGAATTTCTGATTGCGCACTTGTATTTACTCATTTGTGTGCGGTGGGCTGTAAATGCTACGCTGTAACAAACATCGCTGGCCTGCCTGTCTTGAAAGCAACTTATCTCGACAAACCTGCAGAATAATATCGTGCTGTACAAAATGCCTATAATTCTCATTTTTATCAAACTGATTCACCGGTGTTAAATTAGGACTTCATGTTTCAGAAAAATATGCTGAAAACAATGTCGCATTATGAAACTCGTGCTATACATTGCCGAAGTTCAATACAGTATCACCAGAGGAGGAAAATTATGAAAGTGCCCATGTATGGAGGACACTCGTTATTTTTCTTTCGGGATTAGGCAGACACGACATAGACCGCCAGGGTTGGGACCATGACAAAACTTTTCTCTTGTTTTAGGACAACAAATATAGAATGTAATAGAATCGAAAATCGTCCCATTTCTATTCCGAGGATTTCAATAAAATTAACAAACAAAATTTAGGCGCCATATTTTTATACATGACGTTCTGTTGGTTAAAAGCAACGCTACCCAAGTTCCCACTCAAAATTTAACGATTGAAAATCAAATAAAATGAATATATTTTAATATTTTCGATAACTCATTGATTTTGTTGCAATAAAATGTATTAACGTCAGTCAAAATATACTATTCAGAATTATTGCCTATTGAATTATTATTAAACAGGTTCTACGTCAATAACTGGCCCATCTTAATTAAAAATAAATTTAATCATATAATCTATGAATTCGTCTCATCTTGGAGTTTCTGATTTACTGAATTATTTGAATAATGTCTGAGGCCCGATAGACGAAATCATTCGGATTCTTTGATGTATTTCTTGATGTAGTCGCACAATTTTCCAACTGCTGGAATTAGAACGTCATCATCGTAAAAAGCGTAGCAGACTCGAAGATAATTGAGATGCGATTGCGATATTGAACATCTAAAAAAGTGAGTGAACAAGAAAATGGAGTGATGTTTTAACAAATCTAAAATAAACCCAAAATGGCGCTCTAACAGTATGTGCACCAGTATGGAGGTAACTAATTCAGTTCGCCTACTCTACATCAAGTTGTGTAAAGGGACTGGAACCCATGGGCAGGGGTATGTATATTCACCTGGCTAACACAGACGGTATTTAGCAACAGAACTAAAATAAGGAAAATCGGAATGAAATTATATTTATTTCGAAGATAAATAAAACACAATCGGTGTTAGCCAAACATCAGCAAATCAAAGTTTTTCGAGATAAAAATTTAAAAAGTCAGCAAATTACATCGTTTTGCTGATGATCAATGCTAACCAGATATGTCACATACGGTTACATTTACCTGATATCTAGTCTTGTCTTGTTTATAAATAAATTCTATACAAATGTATGTTTACGAATGAAAATTGCATATTTTTTGTTTGAAATCCACCATCATGGTGTAATACCTTAAGCATAGATTTATTTTCACTTAAGAAAACTCAAAAATGTCAGACAATCATATCATAGTTTTGTATTTGCTACAAATCAAACTATATTCCTAATTATAATGAAAAATTTATTTAGAGCAAAATGACATCGTGACATACCTGCTTCCAGGTATGAATGTAATTTCTTCTTTACATTTTTCGAGTAGAACATCGGCTGACAAATGCCGTGGCAAAGCAATCCATAAAAATTCCCCTCCAGTTGGATAATTGCAAGTTACGCCAAAAGCAGATAAACGATCAGTGATCAGTTTATTCAACTCGTGAATGAGCTTCTGAAAATCCAAATACACTAAAATTATTTATGTTTATAATTTTTGAGGATTGGGAACTTGCTAATAGAATATTCTGAATCTTTTGTACAAAGTCCCCACCACTAATGCAAAAATGTGAGATTTAAGAAAAACACTCCCATCACGTTTTAAAGTAACAAATTACTAATTATCCAATTAGAGTTAGCAATGATTTTTAAAATTTAAATTCCCATCGTAATTCGCATTCCTAACCGTAACTGGATAATTTTCTTATTTTGAGCGTTTGCGCGGTTTTTTTTGGCGGGGTTTTTGTACAAAAGATCCGAATTATGGAACAAAGCGGCTCATGATGAGACATAGAAAGTTTATGAGGCGCATCGTGCTTAAGGTTAGGAATAAGCTTGTCATTGCACCTCTGATTACCCTTGCTGCGTGGATTTGTAGATTCAAATTTCGTTGGGATGATTATGTGTGAGAATATTGCTGGACATCTCGCCGCCGTAGGATTGTTGGTCGCCTGTCAGCTTTCCTTTCCCTTTTATCTTAGCAAACATTGAATTAGGGTAATATTTTATAATAACACCAGCCAGTTGACAGTAACATGAGGTAAAGAGAGTTTATTTGTTAAGCCTCGACGACAAAATCATTTTCTAACAGACTGAATGTTTTGTACCTGCATAAAGAAATATCGTTCTGCAGATACCGGAAGTTTGAGGTCGCACGAATGTCTAAAATGTCTTGCTTCTTATGAGTTATAACTAGTTATGGGCGGTCTAAACTGGAATAACTTTATAGCTAAAACTTGAAAGAATTCAGCTTTGAATAAAAATGTAACGTTTTAATTAACTGGTCATGTTCGGTCGAAACTGGAATTACTTTTATGTATAGACATAATTTTTTTAATATGTCGCTTCAAATGGCCATGAGAAAGTAGAATAAAATTAGTTCACCGAGAGTTTTTTCATTTTTGATTAAAAATAATTTCTTTACAAACGTAGGCGTTCCGTTAGCACATTACCCGATAATGAACTCTGGTCTTTTTGACGTGATCTTGTATTAGTCCAAGTTTAAAAGCTGAAGCAAGTATTCCACTGGTATATTCGTTCCATCCACTTCCACTATCACTGAGAAAGTATGTTTCAAAAATGCGAAACATTCTTCGTGGCATTTCGAACCAACCAACACGAAGACCAGGTGCCAAGAACTTTGAAAATGAGGATAGTGTGACCACACTTTCTGAAAAAAAAGAGAGTAATACTAAGGACATGAAGATCAATCATATGATATCGCAATATGCACCGGAGGGATTTTTGCTAAGCGATCACCGGAAATTAACAGAATTGTGTTATACATAATTAATATATATGATTGATTATTTTACATATTGTATTTAGTATAAATGTCCTATTGATTCATATTTTGAATGCAGTGTGTATGAATCAATAAATTCATTTTACCTTTCTATGTCATTTACTTTCTGCTACGGAGTGTCTGCTTCTATGGAGTTAGTTGTTTACAAATAAGCTTACCTTTATAATCCTCATCGTCTTTATTATCATGCCAGAACAACCTTGTGGGGGGTTTTGCTAAAATTGGATCGTCACAATCAGGGGATGAATACGTCAGAAGATTATACACGTCATCAGAAATAACCATCAAATCATATTTCCTTGCCAGTTTGATTATTTCTTTGCATCTTTCTGTAAAAACACATAACACTCATGACTAAATGATTGTTTCGTTCAATTTGTCAAATAATTTTTAGAAAAAAGGCTATTGCTTTTTACACCATTTAAAATAATACGCTAAAAATTATTAAAATCAGTAAGGGATACTTTTCAATCTTAGTGCCTAAAATTGGGAGATCCCTGAACTTGGGCGTATTCAGGACTCGCATGACCACGGGTTCTAACGTCATAGAAGAATTATAATTTATATTGTTGTATTTTTGTGACACTGTTTTGTTCTATGACGCCACGTTTTGCAAATGTTCGTTTCATTGACCCTATCGAGTACATATACATATCTATAATAAATTATAAGCAAACCATCTGAATAGACATATCCAGTGGGATTCTGGTAAACAGGAATTAAATATAAAGCTGCACGGTAGGGATATCTATCGTTAGGTTCCGGTCCTTTCATATCTTTCAAGTGGTTTTCCAATTCATCCAAATTTAATCCATTTACGTCCATTCCAATACCGATGGTTTTCGTCTAAAATGGAGACCAAAAAAAATCCCAAATTTGAAGAAAATACTGAAAGGAGTGCTGGTAACGTGTTAAAATATTTTTCTTGTATCTCTGTTTTGATAAATGAAAAACCGTGTTTTACGATACTACCTGTAGACACGAGTATAGATTGCATCAACAGCGGGTGAGATTCACAAAAATAAGATTTAGAAGAATGAAGTTTAATATCAGTCGCTCCAAATGAACTAGTAAATAATTTGTAATCTTAGTTAAAATACTAGTTAAACTCACAGAAAACATCGTGTTTTTGTTCTTCAAATCACATATTAGATTCCAGTATGACGGATCCTCGACAAATAACGTTTCTCCTCTTTGAAAATAATAATACAAAAGGTTCGACAATCCTTGGCTTGCTCCGTTATGGACAAATATATCTTCACTGAAAAATGATGCAGGAATTAGTATGAGTAGTTAAAAATAATAATATTCAAATAATACAAATTCCGCATATACTGAGAATAATATGGTACTCCCGTAGTATATATGTGTACCAGGTTAAGGTTAGGCCATAATTTTATTCCGATTTTCCTTATTCTAGTTCTATCATGGTCATGGGTTCGGGAACTGTCTGTGTTAGCCAAGTAAATACACGCCCTGTACATAGGCGTCCTTTGTCCCTTTACACAACTTGATATAAAATAGACGGACAAAATTAGTTACCTTCATATTGGTACACATACTTCTGGAGCGCCGAGAATATAACCATATTTGGTATTTCACAAAATAACATACTGATACGTCTCATCGCTAATAACTTCACCTATATTTCATAAGTACTTTTTGAATGATTACCGGGCCAGGGACAAATTTAAAATAAGTGTACGTGTTTATTATTTTATTGTTTGTATTTTCAGCGTGTCTATACGGCTCTGACGGATATCCTCACGATGCTCACAAGCTCAAAGCTATACTTAGATTACAGAGTGTTCCGTCGTGTTTTTAAGTATATATGTCAAGGGTTAGATGACCCCCAATTTGGTGTTCATATATATTTATTGCTTGTATAACTCTCATTCAAAGTTTTGGAAAATTTTCTGAGTTTCCGTTCTATTTGTTTGTATTTTCTGTTGTCATTTTTTTTTGCAGCATGACCGAGTTCAATACAAATTATCTCATGATACCTGAATTTTGTCAATGTTGTTACACACCGAGCCGCTTAAAATACATGAGAATAATTGCTGGAAAGCAGTCCCTAATTTATATATTTCGACCCAACTCTCAGTGCGGAGGAGGTATTATCTATAAACTTGATGATTGTCAAACACGAAATACTTTTTAATGAGGTCAATGGTCATTGACGTAATCAAATTACCGTACATTTGAGAGTTACGTCACGCCAAAAAGACAGTTTCCTGTTCACCTTTTCACGGGATTTCTATAACTTTCCGAGAGATATTTTGCCAATTCTTGCTTCAGTTCATAATTTCCAGAACAGCAACCATATTGTAATATTTCTTCATTTCTTGGGTTTGATTCGTCAAAATGTTTTATCGTGGCTTCCTACAAGACGTATCACATACGAAAGAATGGGTTTGTAGCTATATTATGTGGGAACAGTCTCAGATCAAACAATATTTTCATAAGGCAATTCTATCATTATGGTCTCACCAATGACATTCCCAAGTTTTTACAAATGTCATGAACCCGAGGTTTGTCGCACACACCAATTAAAATTTTATCTTTCTTCGGGCAAAATTTATTTTTTATTTTTTTATTGTCGAATATAAATAACTATATATATATATTAATCAGATATTTCGCTCACGCATTCATTCCGATTTGAGTACCAAGATGAGCCAAACCGGAGTACAAAATGTACGTTTTAACATTTTTACACAGAAATCCATTCACGGGCAAAATGTATGCAATCATAATTCACTTATTTTTTTTTAGTTGCCATTTGAAAATTGATAAAGTTAACAAAAAAAAATTAAAACGAACCTTCATCATTTTCGCAACATTTCGCATAGAATGGGCACCTGGTGCTCCAATCTGCAGGCAGACTTTTTTGCTGTCGCCTCCAATACCAAGACACTCTTCGAATGAATTATAAAACTTTGGCATAATTAAGTCTGTGTATATTGAAATTAGCAATTATTGTAGTTCTTGTCAGATGCATGGCGTATATTCTATATTGGTTGTTCCAATTTTATCAGTCTGTAATTGGGTCTGTCTTGAGCTAATTAATAGAAATTCGCTTATTACTCTCTGCCTGTCGCATAATTTCCCGTAATTATTGTGATAAGCTGTAAGTGTTAAGCAGCTGAGTCGCGAAAATTCGTTGCCCAATGGGGAATTACAATAAAACACAAGGCAAACACACGGTACGGAAATTCTGTAAATGCGTGATCCAACGCAATATTTTCCTAACATGAGGTTGAGGTATTGGCGATTTTGTGATATTGAACACATTCTCTAATAAAATCTGTATTTCTGACAAGCTTATCGCTAAAGACTCCATAGACCAGTGTCCCTACGCCGTACGTCAATACTGCTGCAATGAATTCATACACCTCGCATGTGAACTGTTGCTGACATCCCGACACACCACGGTATCGATATGAGATTTTTCTTCAGTATTTATAATTACTTACTCTTTTATATTGCTCTTACGAGACGAATAAACATACATACATACATGAAGCGTGTGCATGTTGACCCGGCAGCATAGTTTTGCATTGAAATAAGCCCATCTGTCTGTCTCGAAAGTCGAAACACAAGATATGAGCGATCGTTCGTTGGCTGTCTGCGTGCAGTGAGCCCACAAAACGCCTACCGCTTACGAATCAATAGTTGGCAATAAGTTGAACTGCAATGAGAGACATATGAATGGTTTTATGCCCAGACTGCAAAGTCGTAGAACTCTGTTTGTGAGATCAGGAGAGAGAAATAAATTAAGCAGCTGTCAAAGTTAGTTAGCCGTTACCCAAAGATTTGAAGCGTGGATAAATAAATGTTTAGGGGCAATGTTGTCTGCTTGTGTGAATAAAATTATTTGAATAAATCCATTTGTACATGTTTTTGATGTCAAATGTGAGGTATTCTAAATTACAAAGTTAGTAAGTTCAGAATTCAGAAATATGCAAAAATGGTTATGCTACGCCAGCTAGAAGTACCAAACTACCTGACTACGGTATACTGCTATACCCAGACAGCCAGATGCCAGGGGTCTCATGTAGTTTCGTACCTAACATGCTTCTAGTGGGCGTAGCATGACCATTTTTTTTCACGTATCAATCCTAACCCCCCACCTGACTACGCCATCCAAAAATTACATCATTACGACTTCACAGTGACGTAATAGCGCAAACGAGCACCCGAAATCGGGCGTAGCATAACAATTTTTTGATATGTCAGTCCTAACCCCATCTGATTACGCCATCCAAAAATTAAATCGCTCGACATCACAATCACGTCATGGACTTGCCAAATATACCCACGATCGACCGAAATGGCATTGGCGCCGGCGATAAAGAACTGACTGACGTTATCGGTCTCTCTCCTATTGGAATCGTTGCGACGAGAAAACGAGAGAAATAACTGTTCGATTTCGGGTGCTCGTTTGCGCGTCTTGGATGGCAGTTCGTATAGTTTGAAGGGCTCTATTACGTCACTGTGACGTTGTAATGACGTAATTTTTGGATGGTGTAGTCAGGTGGGTGTTAGGATTGATACGTGGAAAAATTGTCATGCTACGCCCACTAGAAGTATGTTAGGTAAGAAACTACATTAGACCCCATAATTCAAGTTATTTGAAGCAATACCGGTACCCAGTGTACCGTACCGTACCGCATTCCTGCTATAGCATATGCATCTTAACATTGTACATGCAGACATGTGTGCAATGCCACACATAGTACTGTAATACCAGAATACCGCAACTGTAATACAATTATGTTAACAAAATTATGGATAATATTATGAGGTTTCTCACATTTCACCATTTGCTATGGCAGGGGTCGGAAACCTTTTTGGTCAAGAGAGCCATAAAATATAAATATTTTCAATTGCATTTCCGTGCGAGCCATATAACATTTCTTCACTTAATCAGGCCTGAAATGTTTACTCAAAAGTCAACGCATACAATGTCAGTATACACTTGATGTGATTATCTGATGCTGCATGTAGTCGCTGCGGGCCTTGAACGGTTGCTCACATGCAGCCCAAGTTGAAATCTACGATACTCATCGCCCTTTTTCGTTTAGGTATCTCCGTAGTGTTTTTAAAACTCTATCGCTTTGTGATGTCACAATATATGTTCCAGAATCCCCTTGTTTGTCACAATGCCTGTCTGGTAATTATCTTACATAACATAGACATGTGCTGGACGCGCCTTCTCAAACGTATTGGTCATTTCCTGCCAAATTTGGCTATAAAAGAGTTTGAAATCTCGTAACAATAGTAAGCTTAGTCTTGGGATATTAGATTTTTTTGGGAGCCATATGCCGTCACCAAAAGAGCCATATATGGCTCGCGAGTAGAGCTCGACCGATATCACTTTTGGCACCGATACCGATAACGATATATCGGCCAACTAGTGACCGATAACCGATATCGACATACCGATATCTACAACCTGAACCCGCAGTAAATACAAATAGAAAGAAACATTCAGTTTCAGTCAAAAAATAAAGCAGTCCTACACAGTGCTTGCATCATTAATAAAAGTTTCACAGCAAATAATAAGAACACACATTAATGCACAAAAGAAAAAAGGCAGTGGCTTGCACGTAATTTACGGAATTATTTCGAGTTCGGAAGGGAAGTTACAAATTACGTAAAGTCGTAATTATTGGTCGAGCGCTTTCCCATTTGAAACGTGCTCCTTCCAAGCAGTCAATTCCGTCGCTTGTAAAAAATTAAAAGTTTAACACGTAGAAGAAGTTAAGAGTTCCGGTATTCGCAGCCGTTTTGAGCCGGCATGACGCGTTGCCACCCCGTTTGAGCGTTTGGTTTCACGGTCAAAACGATATTATTATAAGCACTATCACTGTAATACAATTAACACCGACAGACTTTTTTGTGTCCACGATTTGGTATCTTTTTTATTCGGCGCTGATAATGATAAATAGGAATGTGTGATAGTTGATTGTAATTCCGGAAGGCGTATTTTTTTTCTCTCCGTGAAACAGACATGAAACGAATTTTACCGCCGCTATAAGCGCTCAAAAGGAGAGAAGGCTAGGCTACTTTCTTTTCCCGACTCAATCACTTTAATTAATACAAATCACAGCGCATTAAAAAACAAAATAAAATTTATTAGCATTAATTTACAACGAGTTACAGGTAAGAATTTATCGCCGGCTAAATAATTAATATTTAATCTAAATTTATCGCAAATAATGTTATAACATTTAGGCCGCGAAATGATTTGATATAAAATGAAGCTTGGTAATCGGAATATCGTCAATAATTCAGCATCAATAATTATTATAAATTGCAAACTAGGTAGCAAAGTCGGATAATGTAAAAAACGGAGCAATAACAAGTCTTCGTCGCGAGGCAAGCGCAGGTATAATTAAACGAGAGAATACGCTTGTCGTTGATTAATAACTTAAAAACCCGAAATTTTTATTCAATACGAAAGTCGATTTTAAAAAAGGCAACTATCATTTCATAAATATCCGTATACCAGTGTCGGTAATGATAAAATTGATCGCATAAAATTGGGACGGTTAATTTGCGAAGGTGATAAAGAAAATCAAAGCCAACACAATAAAACAAGATAAAAATCAGAATAAATTTAATTTTAATTCACTCCTTGGTATTTGTCTTTAACATCTGTCGCCGGCGTGTAGTACTGTCGGTAATATGAAAACCAAACTTCGATGTCCCATTCGGAAAAGAAGTGGATTCAAATGGTTTTTATGATAGGTTTAAACGTGTGAAAAAATATCGCAATTACGGGGTCATTACGTAATCAATTTTTCCGTAATTACGGAATTGATTTTTGTCGATTACGTGCAAGCCTAGTGGGGACGCAAGATATTCGAAGGCGAGGATTTTGCGCCGCACGAAGAGATAAAAGAGAGAGAGAAATATAGAAGAGAACTCTCTGTTCATTGAAAGGCCAAATGAGAGAAGCCAAAAAAAGAAAACGCTCGGCCGCAGATATTTCCCGGGGAAAAATACTCATTTTTTAGAACGTGGAAAAGCGACTAACGCTGATATATATCGGCCAGATATATCGGCCGGTTGGGCCGATATGATATATCGGCAAACACGCAATATCGGCCCGATATATCGGTTGGCCGATATATCGGTCGAGCTCTACTCGCGAGCCATGGGTTCCCGACCCCTGTGCTATGGTATTCATAGTAACTTAACTATAAATATATATGCATATAATGTGAACAAAATTTTCATTCCACCGACTACAAAGATGAGTAATTTCATGGTGAGCCATGGCCTCTTCATTATTCTAATTCCATTTCCCCCTTAAAGTGGGACCATTCTTTGTATCAGACTCTCCATACCATATAAAAGTTGCATATCAAGCTAAACTTATACCAGACCGGACCCATTGTAGATAGAATATACACCTCATTGTTTTATTGGAATGACATATGTAATTTTGTGAATTTGGCTCAAATGTAAATAACTCTTGTAACCAGGATTAGTAGTACTGATAGTACAATTGAATTTGCCCTGAATATGTGTATATATATATATATATATATTTGGGATTAGTACTGATAGTACAATTTGAATTTGCCTTGAATATGTATATAAACATAAACTTGAGATTTTACAGTAGTGAAAGTGCAGTATTAAATGACCTCCTGTCTTTTTAGTTTTCAAATATTCAATACACAATGCGGATTAATATAGACACCGTGATTTTAGGAGATAAAGTGATATTGATACCTTATGAAGATATTCATGTTGAAAAATATCATTCCTGGATGCAGTCTCAGGAAATTCAAACTTTAACAGCTTCAGAACCATTAACAATCGAGGCGGAATATGAAATGCAAAAATCATGGAGAGAGGATGATGAAAAATTAACCTTTATTATTGCTGATAAGCAAATGTGGGATGATTATGGTAAACAATGTTTTATATAATTATATTATGTCGAACCAATGAGGATAATGTTAATCTATTGAAAACTTTCCTCTTTAATACGAGATTTCCCAAATCAAGGTCTCGAGCATCCAAATTACGGTTGAATGAGTTGCACAACTACTAATGTGCAGAAAGTCCAGTAATGTGGTTGATCGAGTATAGTTTCTTTATTAGGCAACAGCACCACATACTTTCAAATGTCATTCAATAATGGCATCTTATTCTAACTAAATGAATACACATTAGTATAATAATCACAATTTCAGTCTTAAAAGTCCTAAAAATATTTCCTCAATGGCTGACTTTTTGTTTCAAATCTTCAAAGTTGGCTCTGTCACAGATAGAGTCATTTTCAATAAATAATTTTAGTCAATTCACTATCCTTCTGTTCTTGGAACAGAAATAACATTTATGTGATTTTAAGCTAATTTTTATTTCACTGTCAGATGTCAATTCCCTAAATAAAACAACACTTTTAATAAGAATATGATTAAGAATATGCTGTATTGAATACTTTATAATTAATTTCAATTGTATGAATATTTTGCCCATCTTTTCAGATGAAATGGACTTCATATAATGTACTTTTGTGAGTTGTAACCAAAGCATTTTTGCCTATTACAGTTTTTGAACCAAACAAATCATCACAAGATGCAACCAGTTCGAACCGGTTAACACCAGTTGGAGATCATATAAACATAGACCAAGCTTCACAAAGAGAAATACATTGCATTATAGGAGATGTCAACTTATTTTTGAACTGTTATCCTGGTGAAAAATCAGCAGAAATAGAAATAATGATTGCTGAATCAAACGCAAGAAAAAAGGGATTTGCAACAGAAGCTTTACGACTCATGATAGCTTATGCCCTTCACTATTTGAATATTACTAACTTCATTGCCAAAATTGGTTGCGATAATATCCCAAGTATAAAGTTATTTAAAGAGAAGTTCGGTTTCTCAGAAATTTCTCGAAGTGAAGTATTCAAAGAAATAACCCTAGGTAAAAGGATTGATCCAGAATACACATCAAATGGTAAAAATATTGAAAATTTTCATATTCAGAAATTTTCCAATTTACTCTTTAGTTATAAGAAATTCAGAGTGAAATAACTGATAGGATGCAAGTTATTACTTATCGATTCCAATTCCAATCGGTAAGTATGTTGATAGGTATTTGTCTGTCTGTTAGATGCACGCGATATCTCACGAAAACGAGATTGAATCTGCTCCAGATTTTTCATGTGCATTCATCATATTTGGACCAGAAGCCTATTGATTTTAGGCGAATTATGTCGTATAATTAGCGAGTTATTAATTAATTAGTGATGGGACACAAGGTGTCACTATGGAGTAAGAGCGCTGTTTTGGGGGATCCCCTAACTTTTGATCGATAAGTCCTCGGTCTCTGACCGATATTCTCGTTTTACATGTTGTGTCAATTTTATCAAAATAGGTCATTTTTTGCGGTTCTGCATTTTTCCAAGAGCCAGCAACATTGGCTTTTCATGCAAAAAACAATAAGGTTCACTCTGGCAATTGATCTTTTGGGTTGTTCATGAGTTGGAAACGACTAGATCCTCAGACTGGGTCGAGAGAAGATGCTGCCAGTCGCGAATGACAAGATCAACTTGTGCTTATATTTGTCAGTCATTCGTTCTTTCTTAGCCTAGACCTGGGGGACAGTATATGACCCCCAAAATGCAAGCTTGCGTTTCATTGGAAATTTTTTAATTTGGGTCATTGGGATTTTGCACGTGTTCGTCTGACGTGGCGCTTGTTAAATACGCGGGCGCTGGATCTAAGTAAATTTCGAATGTTTGACCGATCCCAGGGAATTAGATTTTCGTGGAAGTCGCCTTTTTTTCAAACATTAGAATGGTTTCAAATTCTGGGCAAAGTCCTATGGGATCCGATACTGGAACAAAAATTTTGCTGTTTTCTCATAATTCCTGGGAGCACTATAATGACACGTGAGGAAAGAACGCGTTCAATTGACCTTCGACCGTCGTGTTCAAACATTCCGTTAGGATTCGACTGACGAGTTAAAGGTTCCGGATCCCCTAATATTGTAGGAGTGGCATTCATTGGCAAGGGATAGGAAGCCAAGACTTCTATAAGTGCTAAGGGTGATAAAATTAAGGGAATTTGTTAGTGCGTCCTACGGCAATTTTCTCACTCAAATTTATCATCTCCTTGATATAGGATTTGGAGTTGAGTTTGTTTGTCAGCCACACATACGTTTATTTACATATTTAATCGTTGGGTAAATTTAATGGGACATTTTGAAAATACAATCAGGATAAGATACTCGCAAAACTCTATTTCGACTTCTAAAAATAGAACAATATAATAAATAATTTTCATCTTGTCCTTGAATTTCTAACCTTGGCCGTATCGTAAATTTAACTTTTTGTTGTTCGCACTCGCAAAGCGGAAAAATATGTCACATACACTTTTTCATAAAATTCATGTTCGTTCGATATGTCTAGTTAATCGGATCAATGTCTTAAAATTGATTTAAACGTATTCTTTAATGAACAACACATGCCTTTTGCAATATAATCCGGTATATAACGGTCTTCAATTAATAAAGTGTCATAATATTGACCGAGTCACAAAGAAGTGCACCAAGGCTATAGTAGTCAATATAAATCCGAACATTCTCCACGAATCAGCTCGAGTCTCATCACCATGAAGTTGTGGCCAGTCTGTGGATAGATTCGGATATAGCGGGCGACCACTGGTGTTTGAAATAGGTTCGCCACTTTGGTATCCATGTCCGTGTTTGCTGGGAAGATCTGTTGAAATTTATACATACATATATATATATACATTAATCAATGGCGGGATTCAGTTCGCGCGAACCCCTTCTTAGAATGTTGTGATATTCAGCGAACCCGTTCATGGTTTTTGTTGTGGACTTTAGAGTAGACGATCGCAGCAAATGATTACGTGCACCACAGCTAACAAGTAGCGTTATATTTTGGCCTTTCAAAAATCATCTACAGTACAGACACAGTATTCGATTTAATTAAATCATGTCGTGTTCATGTAGCTCATTAAAGACATACATACATTTTCTGGAATGAGAGAACGCGTTCTTAAAATATTGCATTCCACAACTTATATATATATATACCGTGTTTCCCCGAAAATCATATAGGGTCTTATTTCAATTTTCTTACGAAAATACCACTGAGGCTTATTTCAGGGGGATGTCTTATATTTTCATTTATCAAAAACAAAATCACAAAATGGAGAATTACGAGATTCAATAATATACAAAATATGAAAACCGATATCCATTTACTTATAATTAACACGTTTCTATTCAAAATAATTGCAGAACATAGATTATCAATCATTTAAAACGCGCAGGAGAGATTTTCTTGCCATCGACTAGGTAAGAAAAAAATTTCGCTATTTTGACTATAGGTCTTATTTTCAGGGTATCAGGGTAGGTCCTATTTCTGGGGAAACACGGTATGTAGATCTGTAGCTCATCAAGGAAAAGCCGTAAAAAGTATGACACGCATCGGGTTTTGGCTAAATTAAATTTTAACTGGAATTTTTTTTATTCAACTAGCTTTTAAAATTTTGTGTTGGTTTTCAAAATTTCCAAAATTATTAAACCTTGTCACGGCCGTTCTCGGTGATGGTGACGTATTTGTTTGTAGAATTTCCGTATTTTACTTTGTATGACGTCACCCACTGTTCACATGGGCAGTTAGGTCGTCCTTGTGTGATTACTCCAGCCACTGATCTCATTTTACCCAAGTCTATCTGAATCCATTCTCCAACCCGATCTATGACGAAGAAAAAATTGAAGTTTTATTAGTCGTGGGTGACGCGATGGCCTAGCGATTAGCGTTAGGGCGTTAGACTTGACTGTGTTGGCATCGCAGATCACACATCTCGAGTTCGAATCTCCCCCCCAACGCCTGGTCAGTTGCGCTTTATAGCTTATAGCGCTTTTCTTGAGACCTAATATGTATTTATATTTCTTATTTTGCAGTCACAAAACTACCAAATACTTTGATATCGTGATCAAATAGAAATTATTTGTAGCAAATCACAAACGAAGCAAACGGAAGTTTAAGAATTATTATATCTAAAAATTTAGTTCCAGGGAACCATTACATTTAACTACAATATTAGTTATAGATGAGACTAGCGCATTTGACATTTGCAGTGACTTTCGTTTTCGTATCTTTAGATATCGCTGTTTTGTTTTTCAAATAAGTTCTGCATATAAACTCCCCAGTATATACGTACTATATATTGGATGCCAAACGCCATATGAAATAGGAATTTCTGATGGTTGCTCGTCCAATCGCGCATATCTACCTTGATGCTTTGAATGCGACGAAGAAACAGATATCGCAGAATCGGGAATTTCACGTGACTTCATTCCCATTCCACAATAAAGATCTGAAAAGTTAGAACATGAAACTGATTAGGCTACTATTTTTGCGTAGACATTGTTCGCAAGTGGAGCTTGCTAGAAAGCTCGGAAACATTAATTTGCTATTCACGACGATTTCTAAAGAATATTATTTTTGTCATTGTTTCGGGCATATATTTACAACGAAATCTGCTTTGGGATCTGTGCATCGCACTTAAACATAATGACCGAACGATATTGGGCAATAATAGTCTCAGATTTTCGAATGAAGAATGGTTTGTTTACGCAAAAGATTTTATATTTTCAGCATTTCTATTCTTGATTTTGTCGTGAAATAAATTGAACTAATTAAAATAATTGTATTTTTGTAAGAATGAGGTAACAGTGATATCATACCTTTTTGCGTTCCGGCCATCATCTCCAGCAATTCTAAAAAATTACAAAAGACTTAGGCAGCCTGAAATTTAGTTGAGTTTGGTCGAAATAAATAATTCGGAGTAACATAAATTCACATAAAACATGTATAACGATTTTATGGGGGGAAAACTAAAATTTTGTCAAATTTAGTAATATGTACAAAAGTAAAAATGTGTGATTACAGTAGTTAAATTAAACTTACTTTCCAAGTGAGCTACTTTTGTCACCAGTTCACCTGGTGTTCCAGTTTGTCCAACCTCACCCTTTTCACCCTTAAGACCCCTCAATCCTTCCTGTCCGCGCTTTCCGGGCCGTCCGGAACATGTCGTTCTATCGCACGGTGCCTGCTGCCCATTGGACATCAACGCATTGCAAAATTCATAGACATTTGGAATGTCGCACCAAACGCTATGATAAGCAATTGCATTAATACATAAGAATGCCACGAAAAACTTCATATTAAAACAGAAAGTCGACGTTCGAACTTGCTAAACCAGCAAATGTAATTGAAGAGTCAATTGTAATACTTATATGCTTGCTAAATCCTAGTTGTTTTTTTGCTGTTTATCAATCATCAGACAGATCATAAACCTATCTCAAGTACTTAAAGGCCAATATTTATAGTTCAAAGACGCAAAATTAATAAGCCGAACAATTTGTTTCAAGAAAACATGCTTTTAGTGAAGTCAGACGTAACGGTAAACAAGATTTCGTATATATAATTGTTGTTTGTGGTTGTCTTTCATCTCGCTAGTTCAGCGCCGTTAGAATTTTTGTTGTTAATTTACAACCGCACAATTTTTAACTTTTTCAAATCTTTTGCAGCAATTACCGTTAGTTTTTGTGCAAAAACTAGCGAGTCAAGCACCCTCTTATATGCTGACAATTTCTAGTAATAATTTTTCATTCGCTAATAATCAATGAATAAATAATTGATTTCATTTAAATGATTACAGTCCGGATACGTCATTTCATTTGTCATGCAGTTTAATATTCAAATTCTGAAATTCATATTTATGTTTCATATAGTATGACAAACCTACAGGTAGGATCATGCCCTATCAGTGCTTAGGACTTTGGTGCCATAAATGTGCCATTCAAAATATAAACACAATAAACCACGCAATATATACAATTTTAAACCGGTTTTATTCTGGAACAAGCTTTTACGATTTAAAAGCGACTTAAAGGTAATACTAGTTCAAAATTGAATGTCGAAAACCTTCCCTGTGTGAACTCGCCCCTGCATGTACATTACTCGCGCTGAGTCAATATTAAAACTCGTTTAAGTATAAATGACTAGTAGCAGTAGATCATTTGAGAAATATGCCTCGAATATCCGTGATTTTTCGGTACATCAACCCACCCCAAACTTTTACGTTTAAAAATTCGCAACCTACCCACGCTAACTATATTCAAATTATTGTATTTGTCATATTAAGTATGTGTAACAGGCTTGTTGTCATAAGTAAAATTCACATTATATTGTAAAACCTCTTCGAGATGCATGATATCATCAAGCAGTAGGGTCGACCTTAAGTAACCCGAGTCGGTCGTTATCTTATTTGATTAAAGTTAATTAATTAAGTGATATCGCTTTATCAATTTAAGCGGGAATGTAGAGAAGCGCTTCGCTTTTCTCGACCAGTTACAGTGCTACGCGATGACGAACGTTTAGTCTGGTTGACGTTTTGGGTACTTTTTTTGGCACGACAAAGAGGTAAGCGAATGTTCTTTGATAAATAAAAAATGATTTAATAATCCGCTGCTGTATTTCTGCTTTTCTCATTACTATATTTTATAAGTGGCAACTTAAGGGTTTTCTCAAAATCAGGGCATTAGCGGCCGATAATCGCGGAGTTAAATGACAATAATCAGAAGGGCTTGGATCTCTCAGATAAATGACAATCATATATGAAGTCTGAAATTCAAAATAGTGATTCAGATTTTTAAAATAGTGGATGAACACAAAACGTCAAATGAACTTATCTACTTCGGGTTCTTAAATTGATTACACGAATAATTGAGGCATTGCTTGTTTTCACGCAAACTGACGCTATACACATTTTACTGGCATACCGCTTTAATGAGTGCTGTGAATCTGTTGCAATCACGGTGGGTGTCGAAATCAAATATAGGTTCCATACACTAGAAAAGCAATGTGTCAAAGGTTTTGTTTATCCTGATACAACTATGAATATCATGTAAACAACAACCGTTTTCATAGCATTCAATTTTTTAGCACAAGGCAGCTTATTTTTCATTGTACAAAGTTGAATGTATACGCAAAACCTTTGAAACTTATTATATATTTTAAGAAATTACAATTTTGTGTTCGATTTATTATTAAGAATTTTAATTATATTTAGTAATTATATGTATTTATATTGAGATCTACTACATGGTTCGGTAATTGTGTGAAACATTGTTGTACTAAAAAACATCGGCCTTAGACTGAAGAAAAAACATTTGGAAACACATGAAGACAGTCGCCACATAAAGGTGAATATAACACGCTAATGTTATTATCTACGGCTCAGCTCAGAATAAATTCGTTGTTCTGTGCTTTCGAGATAACTCGAAATAACATTATGTCGAGCAACATTTCAACTCGAGATTGATTGTGGAACGTCGTGAAATATACAAGTAATTGAAACTTATACCTATTATGATTCTGATCTAATAATATTGCACAATTATGCTTTACAATTCCCACTTAAATTTTGCGTCCTATGTGCAACAACAAAAATGATTTGTATAATAAGAACAGTTACAATGAGTTTACACGAATAGGTATTCACATTTCCTGTACATTAGCTCTAGGATTAGTAGCGTAAGTCGTAAGTTATTTAAGAAAAGGCTGACAATAAGAGAACATGTCATGTATTCATTATTTTTCTACTTTAATATCAAAGTTGAAACAGCGGGCGCAGATGATCGCGCCAATGCTAGTGAAAACATTTTTGACGTGTATATTTTTCAAAAATTCATCCTACAAATGATAATTTCATCAGTACAGTGTTATGGCATATTAGATTCGCTTTCCCAATCGACTGACTCATAGAGACTATAGTAGCACTTCAAAATTTTGGTCGGTCATACTACCAGAATTACTGAGTTTACTATTTCTATTATAGTGTTTTTATTTTCCAAGTAAATGAAAACTAAGAGTCAAACTAAATGCCTGTTATTAGCCATACAGATTTGTTGATTTAATTTAATTGTATCGTTTTGTAAATTGTTTCAATGACACAGCTCATTTTGATATATTTATAAATTTTCAGAATGAAACAATAAATGAAATTGAAACTGATTTTTTATTTCCGAAAACGATAGAAATTCCAAAAAGAAAACAAAGAAATCCTATCGGAAGAACAAATATTTCACTCGACTTCCACATGTGAGTTATATGTTCTTGTTCAGTGGGTATTTTGGAAAAGTTTATTTACGACTGATTTCCATAATTTCTGTTGATGGCATGCAGCGACGCATTATGCCTATTTTTTCTATTACTTGAGGCCATTTTGACTGTTGATTAGTTAAATAAAAATTATACATTATACAAAAGTATAATAATTTACAACTTTCCAGTTCCTCTGAACCATCCATAATTTTTGTGTACTTTTTCGTGTAATTTTTTAGCAATATTTTCGTAATTATGTGTCCTCAAATAAGCCATGTTGTGTGTATGCAACATCAAGAAAGACGCGCTGTCAAAAATATTATGATTCATCATATTTTCCCCGCAAAATATTGTAAATTTAGGTTTTATGCTTAACTATTGTATTTTAAAAGGATAAGGAATAAATCCGCCAATTCAATCTCTTTCTGAATAATAATAATTGACCTGAGTACTCAGGAGATACTGTCAACGATAAATTGGGAACACGAACGTTGTGACCGGTGTCAAATAATCCAGAAGGATTCGATCTGATGGTTATAATTCTTAACAGATAAAACAAAAACTAATCTTTCGTGTCATTAATTGTTTTTTCTTCCTTTTTATGTCAACCAAGTCGAAAACAGTGGCAGTGAATGCGATTCTTTGACAATGTCAGTTCAGAGGAAGGATTTGTAAGGCCCAGTTTGGGTATTCACTGACGGACCAATTGCTTTGCAATTTTTAGGCTCAAAATTGATTTTTTTGCTAGAAAGCTATTACTTTGATTTGTTCCTAAATTTTCTGTGCGATCTGATATTTCAACTAAAATGCGCTGTATAATTTTTAGTTATGGTACACGTTTCTATGATATCGTGATGGCTGTCTTCCACTTTTTATGACACCGTGACGGATGATACCGGTAGTCTACTGGGACAGATTGCACACTACCCATACCTATACTAATGCGGTTTAAATTTGCGTAACTGAGACTATATATATGCAAGTCTCAAATGTTCCGAGTATCCTGTGTTAATTGTGCATTTATTATGTGAAACTGCGCTGCATGTTATTTCTTACTTCTTTTTGTTTCTTTCTTTGCTTCTGTTTTCTTTTTTATTATTTCACTTTCGTCCGAGTTAGTGTCAGTCAGAGATGCAACGTCGAAATCGTTACGCATATATCTAAATCAGCATCAGATTGAAAGTAGAGGCAAAAGGCCTTAAGCTGGCTATGGTAATACCGTAAAATACTTTGACAATACTTGGACGACGAGGCGCCATTATTGGGATTGAAACACACTCATTGCGATTATTAAAATACTCATTTAACCTGTAAATAGGTAAACCGAAAAACTTTTGACTCGGTTTCGTTAATTTTACAAATTTATGATTTGCGTAACTGAGACTATATATATGCAAGTCTCAAATGTTCTGAGTATCCTGTGTTAATTGTGCATTTATTATGTGAAACATGTTATTATGTCAGTCAGGGATGCAACGGGGAAACCGTTATGCGGATATCTAAATCAGCATCGGATTGAAAGTAAAGGCAACGGACCATAAGCTGGCTATGGTAAAACCGTAAAATACAAGGACGACAAGGCGCCATTATTGGCATTGAAACACACTCCTTGCGATTATTAAAATACCCATTTAACCTGTAAATAGGTAAACCGAAAAACAATTGACTCGAGTTCCATAGCTGATTACTCCAAGAAATCCAAATTTTTAAATATGTTTATTTGAAAAAAAAAATTTTTTTTTAATTTATCTTTAAATTTTTACTAAAAATCCAGTGAAACTCTAGGATTCCGGATTTTAAACGCCGTGAATATTAGAATCCCAATTGCAATCGTGTATATTGACAAATATAAATACCGACTCCGACCCATGATTATTTAAAAGCTGACTTAAAACCCTAAATTTTGAAGTGTTACGAAATGTAAAATAACTTACTTTAATTAATTTTGGAACACTAAGTTAGGTGAATCGAATCACAATTTGGACCATCGTACATGGACTGAATTTTAAACGAAATGATGAAATGTGTAATAAGCAGCATAATTCATTGTATTTACACAAATTTTCACTAAGTAGGCGGCTCATCCCCAATTTACTAGGTCGTTGATAACTCATATATTCTTTTAAAATTAAAAGTGGGCTTACATTCACAAAATTCTAAATAATAGGTGTTCATAAACAGACCTCATATATACATCGAATTAACTTCGCTAAAAAGTTTTTCAATAGCAATATTCACACACATTCACTCCGCGCATTACTGCATGTGATGCCCAGAGAAATTATTTTTAGCCTCAAAGCCGTTGAACTGCAAACAATCCATTCAAACATTTGACCGGTACAATAGAAACCCGACCGGGCCAACGGAAGTGTATAAAATTTAACAGGGGAAATCACTAAGCGCCTTCTACCATCCAATCTATTTTTTAATGCATTTTTGCTTACTACACAAAATATTATAAATACCGTATTTCTCCTTGTATAATACCTTAAATAATATTTAGGAGAATAAATCTGACCATGAAAGCGCGTATACGGTTCTTTTGAAAAAAAAACTCCGGGTCTTATTTTGGGGATCTGTTTCTTTTTTCCATTAATCAAAACAAATCAAATTTACAAAGTATGGAATTACGAAATAAATTTCGATGTAAATTTATCTGAATTTCGGCCTTTGGACTAGGTCTTATTTTAGGGAACATGGTATCGGTCTGGAGAACTTCTCTCCATTGGCAAGATTTTATTTAATACCAGGCGTCCGATCACCGTACGAACGTCCTGAGGCTCCACGGATTTTGTGGTTTGCATGTTTTCTTTATATAGTTCGTTTGATTGGGTTTTCTATTTTATCATATTATCCATATCTTAAAGATTAAAAACTTAAAAATATCTTAAAATGTTTGACCCGGTTTAAAGTCACTGGTCCAAGCCATGGGATTGCCATCGCGGTTCGCGGGCCAAATGTGCGGCTTGCGTAAAAGTGCCAATTGTTAGCAGTGTGAGGCTTGCTAAACAACTTTTTAATTTAGTTTAACTTGGTACGTGAAAATGATTCCAATCCCTTTGCGCTTTAAAGCCTATAGTAAACTTTATCTGAATCCAATTCATTATCAATGACGATACAATGCCCTAAATCAGCGGTTCCCGAAGTTTGCACTGAGTGTACCGCGAAAATTAACAGAATTGTGTTAAACATAACCAGTGGCGTAGCAAGACTCTCGTGGGCCCCCCTGCAAAAATATTTCGTGGAAAGGACCCTAAATAAGCTAAAACAACTCATTTTTTTATTTCGTCAAAAAGCATAACATGTCGCTTTTAAAAGGCAATGGTAACCTAAAATTTGCCGTTTATCTTGGTTACTCTAATTTTTTTCATACGTGCTTCCTCTTCTGCCTCTTTTCGGCGTTTATGTGGGCCACTGAGAAGTTTTGCTTTCGACATCATTCTGACAGTCTTCGTAATTTTGCCGGTGCGATCAAACCACAAGACTCCCTGGCATTGTTACGTAACAAAACGATTTGAGCAGAACTAACATCAACGTTATAAGATGTGCATTATTGGTTTTGCAATGAAGCTTTTGGTTTTGCGGCTCAAATTTCTAAATTCCAACCGCTTGGGCCCCTTTGCGCTGTGGGCCCTCCCGCGACCGCGAGGGTTGCGGGGGTGGATGCTACGCCACTGAACATACCCAATACATATTGTATTTATTATAAATGTTTTATTGTTTCCTATTTTAAATGTTGTGTATATGAATCAATAAACTCATTTTACCTTTCTATGTCGTTTACTTTCTGTTGCGTAATGTCTGCCTCTACTGCATTCATATACGTAACAATAGATGTAAACACTACTTGCTGCAATTTTTCGAGCTGCAGTTTAATTTATTTGCTGAACAGAGTTTAGTGAACATGAGTCATTTTTTAAGCATTTCAAAAAAAAATAGTAAAGAGATGAGAAAGAAGAGTTGACTTTTTGCCTTTATTCCTTAGACCTACATTCAGATTTACAAAGGGCATAAAGTACACATTAACGTTAAAAAGCATAGGATACACAATGACGATCACAAAACTGCCCTGGTAATTTGGCAAAAAGTTTGAGAACTGCTGCCCTAACCGATAGCTTGCGATAAGCAAACAAGGCATGTCATCAAATCAATAGCCAAAATTTTTGTGTCTGCAACTACCTATGTTAAATATACGTGCGGCCCGCAATTTTACCCAGTTAATTGTATCTGGATATCCTGTATTAATTGTTGCGCACCTCTGGTCCAAGCAATGGAATTGAATCAGTACAAATGAAAACATTCTCCACGGAGAAATTCAAGTCTCATAACGGCATGTCTATTCCATGTTTGTGGATAGATTCTGATATAACGACCTGTTACCGGTGCTGGAAATATATTTGTAACTTTTTCTTTTCCGTCTTTTGTATTCCCTGTGAATATCTGCAAAAAAGTAATATAAGTAATGTGTTGCAAATGATATTACTTACCAGATCAGTTATAGCCATGTCCACTCTCAAGATATTGAAATAGGATGTTTAGTGCTAGTAATGTTGGCAATGGGAAAATAAACCCGACATTCATTCCCTTTTCAAACGGAGAACAAATAAAGATATTGTGTTTTTGACAATTGTTGGTTAAATTGAATCAACATGTTGCCTTAAATCGAACTTATAGTACCATCAACAATATTATGGTTAAGTTTTATCGGGATTTTAATAATGGCAGGGTATGTACAATCTACTTGGTTTTCCTACACTTCGCAGGAAGAAAGACTCCGTCTAAATTATGTAATTATAGATGTTCAAGCGAAAATAAATTGATTAATAATCTTAATTCTATAGTTTAACTGATTTTTGTTACATTTTAAATACAACACCATACTTCAAAATCGATACATTTGAAATGAATCCAGTTTGAGTTAATGACATGTTTATGTCCTCTCATTATGCAAAACAGTTTCTTGGATTTTATAGCTATATTGGGAAGCAGAAAAAAAACTTCAGTTTTGTGAAATAACTACCTCATAGCTGTTTACCCGACCGTATCAATGCAAACAGGATTTCATTTGTTTAAGCCTTTAAGGGCTGCGGGCGTTTTCTCTCCTGATGATTTGTCGCCGCGTGCACAAAAAGTTTGGTAATTGTTGCTTTAAACTTTGTAGTGTCAGTGATTCTTGACATTTCAGGGGTCGCCTGTCACTTCGCTCAGAAATTATACCCTTCATTTCTGAGTGGGTTCTCGTGACTTTGCTTTTAGAAAATATTAAAAACAAACACTACTATTTTACAAATAGGGATGCTATTACCTTGTCCCGTCCGTTCTCCGTGACAGGTTGTAACTGGTCAGTTGAATTTCCAATCAACACTTTATAAGTTTTCACCCACTGGTTACAGCATGTCGGTCTCCCTTGTGTAATGACTCCCGATACGGATTTTGGAACCTCAAAATCGACTTGAAACCATTCACCAGTATCTAGAACGTTAAGAAAATTTTAATTTTGTATTATTTAACTGTACAGTAGTTTAAAACTCATGAATTTACCAACACACGACAGCAGAGCACCACCAATATTATGGTGCTAATGTTATGTAAATAAAAAGCAAAAAAGTTAATACGAATATATTCAATAAAGGTCATATCCACATACTGCCAACTTTTTATCCTTAAACATAGTGGTGGGATTCAGGACATTCGCTGCGATAATCATCGAACGCGTTCTCGTTTTTTGTTTTAGACGAGTAACGTGCACCGCACGTATATTTCACGTTTTGAAAATTATGTTTGACTTTCTATTTGTTATTCAGAGTACTCCTAGTTCTTTCAGAAGGGTATCTTACTTGATCTTGAATGCCAAACGCCATATGATGCATTAGTCGGTTCGTCCAACCTTCCATGCCTTCCATGGTATTCTGGAATCCATTCAGAGGAAACGCTAATGGCGGAGTCGGGTATAGCACGTGATTTCATGCCCATTGCACACAAATTAACTGCAAAATTGAAAACATCTTTAATAAAGAGACATTATGGATTGGATATAGCACAGAGGCACTCGTTCTTGTTTTTTGTTTCAGAGGTTGGACGAGTGCCGCGCAAAGTGCACCGCGGTTGACAACTAGCATTATTACTTATCGATTTTATTACTTATCGATTTTAATCGGTAAGTATGTTGATAGGTATTTGTCTGTATGTCTGTATGTTTGTTAGATGCACGCGATATCTCATGAAAGCAAGATTGAATCTGCTCCAGATTTTGCATGTGCATTCATCTTATCTCGGACCAGAATCCTATTGATTTTGGGCGAATTATGTCGTATAATTAGCGAGTTATCAATCAATTATTGATATAGTGATCTAGATTTTTGTAAAACGAGAGAATTTTGAGACCCGCCGAGTGTGTGTGTGCGATGCGCAGTGCGCAAGTTACAAGAGCGGATGAATCGAAACTGCAGTTTCTGTTTTGGGGGATCCCCTAACTATCGATCGATAAGTCTTCGGTTTACAACCGATATTCTCGTATTTAGCATTTCGACAGTTATGTATTAAATATAGGCTACATGAAATGTGTCATGTTAATGTAGCATGCATAGTTCCAAACGTACATCTTCTGAAACGCGGGAACATGTTGTTAGTAAGATCGCTACAACAGAGAAATTCTCAAAATATTAAATCCCAGCACCGGCCAGAGGTTATGTATGCCTCTTGGCAAAATGTCATTAGTCTGTACGTCATTTTCATTTTTCAAAAGCAACGCACTAATGGCGCTTAATGGGTATTTGCATATTATTCATATATTGATTTTCAAATCAATTTGGCTTCACTTTTATCATGTCTGGTAAAGATTTCGCTTCAATTATATTTTTATCGTTACAAGATAACGATACCGTTGTTTTCATTTTTCGTGTATTTCCTCGAAATCTGACTTCATACACAAATTCTTACAAAGCAAAGTCCAAACAATACTCAAATACAAAAAAATTGATGGGAGACCGTCCAAGACGTAACATCAAAAAATTCCATGAAACTTACAAATTTCTGTTGGTAACATAGTTGACGATATGACTTTGATTGCATCTGAAATCGAAAGAATATTGTTTTAATGAATATATATATATTCGTGTTGCGCAATTAGAAATATTATGTTAAGTTATTCAGCTATTTTTTAAGCATGTAATAAATATGCTGTCACATTCACACATGATCCGTGTTAGGTACATGTACATAAGCTCGCGATTATAGGTTGAGCCACTAGTTATCCGTGTCGCGAGTTTAGTACTACCAAATCAATCGCTGCAGTTTTGAGTCATTTGCCGAATCCGAGTCCTTGTAAGTTTTAGTAAGAAGTTTACATTATCACTTAAGCTTAATTTTATTCTGTTGCGCTAACTCAATATTATTTTGAAAACTAGATTAGGATTTAATTATTTATTAACAACATTTTACTTTGACATAAATAGGTCCGCTCGCCCAAAATTCTATTCGTCATATGTTAAGTCCCTGTGTCTTATTTGCCGAGAGGATTTGAGTCTCTCCAATACTGTGTGCCATGAGGCTGTTTGTTTGGGCTAAATTAATCCTAATTCTTCGCGGCTCCGTGCTGAAGATAAACGAAATTAATTAATATTCATAAAATTTGAAATAATTTGTACCACTTAGTTGTCGAATTTTTACTTCAAATTCTTCCGTTGAACCAATGGGACCGATCTCTCCTTTGGGGCCTCTCAAACCTCTTGGGCCCTCAGCTCCTCTTTTACCGGGTCTTCCTTGGCACGTAGCTCTGTCGCACGATGTCCTTTCGCCCGACATTAACGCATTACAGAACTCGTAAACATTAGGGATGTCGCAAAATCCCACTGATATGGCGACAACAAGCACAGCTAATGTTAGAACTGACTTCATTTTACTTGACGTTGAAAACAGACTGACTATACATTTCAAAAAGCTCAAATTTATAAGCAATTTTATATTTTTTCTTATTCACATTTCTCTCGCTTGAAAACCATGGTTATTTTAGAACAGGTGAAATTCGCAAAAGCTTTCCATGAATATGATTTGATTCGTTATCATTTCTAAGGTTATATAATTAGTCTAGACATATCCGGCAGTCTGCCACAAAGTCTAGACATTATACTGAATTTGAATGATGAAACAAATGAACTTGAAATGCCCAAACACGTGGACACAAAGTGAAGACGCATTGCCGGACGAATGCCTGGACATCGCGCCAGCGACTTGTCGAAGCCGACCAAGACCATAACTTCGGCCGCAAACAAAAGCGACATGCACGCTCTAATTGGACTTTTCTAGGAAATAAACTGAAGCATTCAAATTTTGGGTAAAATACCCAATCCCAGGCAATTAGAAAAATAAATAAATAAAAGTTATAGCGCTCTAGCGCTTCAACCATTTTGAGCACCAAGAAGTTGAAATTGATTGGACCGTTAATCACGGAGGCAAGACAAGATCAACAACAATAGCAATTTTGCAAAACGATCCGGAAACCCACTTTGTGCTCAAACATAAAAGCATCGATCGTAGTTATGACATCGCGCTTGGAATGGTTGCTGAAAACTCCGTTATCGAACGTCTTTCACTGGAATCCAATTTGAAATATCATTACAAACATCGGAAGAAGCGAAGAAATATTACTGATTTCAATATCCACTCAAGTTGAACTACAGACCATCTTCTATTTAATATATAGTGTACATGTATATGTATAGTGACTTGTGTTTTGTGTGACGCAATAGTACGAAGTAAGGACAAAAGCAAGCATGACTGAAGAGTCAACAATGAAAAGTTCAATCATATTTTATCGACTATGAATACATTTCAGACTGAAGACACTTTACTTTCAAAATAGAAGATGGTCTGTAGTTCAACTTGAGTGGATATTGATATCACTAATATTTCTTCTGTTGTTTGTAATGATATTTCATATTGGATTTCAGTGATAGACCGCGGTAATTTTAACAATTACCGCTCCAAGCGCGATGCTCTATACCAGTGGTTCCCAAACTTTTTAGAGTTGCGACTCACTATTTATTACCACAGCTTATGGCGACCCATTTAACTTTTCATGACATAACACAGAACACAGCAATGGCTAATCATCGCAAAACTACCGTGTATCCTCGAAAATAAGACCTAATTTGAATTTTAAAAATGATTTTAATTAAACCCTACTCTAAAATAAATTTAAAATGTGTGGGAAAGGAGGTTCAATGACCAGAGGTAAGGTGAAGATCACTCCACTATTCAAGATTGTGTGATGTCACAATCACAATTATGATATTTGTCACTTGATTTTTGTATAGAGAATACAAATAAAAACAATGGATGTCGGCTTTCATATAATAAAAACTGAAAAATCTCGTGATTTTCTACAATGTAATTTTATTTTTGATAAATGAACACAAAAGACTTTTTTCAAAAAATAGAACCATAGTGTTATTCTTCGAAAGAAAATAAATCTAAATTCTGTCTAAATTTCGGGGAAACACGGCAAGAAGTGCTGCGCAAAACTGCTATGCGTAAAAAGGCCATATGGTTATTTTTTGTGTAGCAAATTTTTGTTCCTTTGAGAAGATTCTAAAAAGGAAACTTTCACAAATTAGAATTTAAATTCAATTTAATTTATTTTGTTATTTTTGAAGATTTACGTATTCGAGTCGCCACCGATCTTAAGAACCAGTATAGTTAATCAAAGCTTTCTACATCTTTTCACGACCCACTAAAATTATTTTTGCGATCCATCAGTGGGTCGCGACCCATAGTTTGGGAACGCTGCTTTATACGATTTGAATGTAACTTGTGGAACCCCTAAATATCTAGGCTGATCTCTAGCCTTCCGCGTTGAAACCACTGATAAACCATAGATACTCGTTGGCTAATCTATATCGTTTGGTTCTTACCAGCTGTGCATGTATTACGACAAACGTGCATTGTAGAAACCATTCTCTAAAAAAAATTGAAATTAATAAAATATTACGCGATTGTGATATAATGTCAATAAAAGCAATTCACCTTTGTTTTTCATTTATATTTATCTAAGAGTCAAAACTTAATTTGGGGGTTAATTTTATTATTATGCCATATATACATAAACGTGATTTCAGCTTATCTTTATTCTCTATATTAAACAATGGAATGCCACAACTAAAATTCAAATACGCGCTAATAGAGAAGTCGTATTAAAAATGGCACTCAAGTGTGCTATGATTCATATTGTGAAATACCTAAATATTATTTAATGCCGAAACTTATCTCCTTCCTAGGTTGTTTTTATTATAGTATATGAGTCAGGATTATACAATGCTCATTTTTGTATTCATTGGCTCCCGTATGGTTCGATATAAAAAGAGATCGTGCAAATATTCTTTCGATAGAATAAACAGTAAAGAAAGATATTGACCGCACGTTTTTCGGTATAAAGGGATAATAAAAATAACAGTTATTTCAAAACTGAAGCTCCATATGTTATCAGATTGTTATACTTGTATGGTTTGTTTATAGGACTTGTCGTGGCCAAGGTTTATCCATTCATTTCGACGGTTATTAATTAATATACATAAAAACCTGTTTGAAAACTAATGTTCACAGTGTAACTTATTTCAAAATTACAATTTCATTATTTTTCATCCTATTTGTATTTGTCTAACAAATGTGGATGAAATTTTTGCTAAAGATTCACAATGACGCGTGCTGCAGACCATATTTTTTCACATATTTTGCTTTGTGAGAAGAACGAAATAATAGTAGCAAAAGATTAAATATAAAACTCGACACAAACCGCAGGAACAAAAATATAAATATTCTGCAATAATTAAACACGATGTGCGGATCATTTTGCTAAACTGTTGTTGTTGTGAAAAAACGCTGCTTGATATGTCGGCAAGTTGTGTCGGTGACAAGAGAATATAATATAAAAGGACATTTTAGAATCTTGTGAGCAATGAGCATTTTCCAAATTTAGAATTTTGCATTGAACATCTCATCGATGTTCGAAAGCACTCACATGCGCATACGTACTTTTTCCATAATGAAGAGTTTCAAATCTTTCACAAAATGAAACTATAGAAAGACTTTTGCAGGTATTAGTAAGTTTTTTGGTGGTTTTTGCATGTATTAGCTTGATAAATGACAAATACTGATCAATGTGTCTGTACAATATGTGTTAAATTGCATTGTTTACCTATTCTTGGCACCATTGTGGCCCGCAAACAATGCAAAAATAATTTTGTGGCCCCCGGAGCCGACAACCTTGAACGACCCTTTAACTCGACCAATCGATTTGAATTTCCAAATGAAAGAAGTCGTGGGAAGAAAAAAATTTTCTCTGTTTTTTTTTGTTTAGAGTTTTCTCCGTCGAGGTTTACGGGCGCGACATTTTACGAAGAATTTTGTCGTTTTATTGCGTGATTGCGTGTAACGAAACGTGGCTAAAGCCCGACCAAGTTGGCGCTCAAGCAAATTCATGATCACGAGAACACTTGTTGATCTTCATGTCCACATATTTGTGCACTTGCTCTGGTTCACTAATTTTTAATTTATGAAAAAATAGTACTTAATATTATTCGATGAAATTGCAAGTATGCGAATGACCTTCTTACAGCTCGTGTTTTGTATTAGTATAATGGTTATTCACACAAATGAAATATAGTGTACTGGCTGGGAAGTTATGCAATGCAAAACCATCGCTTTTCGTTTCTGATGCAATAAAGGATTAAAAGAAAAAAATGCCAATATCAATATCAGCATGTTTCATTGATCGTGTCTGTTTATATGGTAACTTTACAGTGTGCATGTACTGTACATACTATTTTTATGTTTGTTTGCATTGTGAATATAGCAGTGAAAAACGTCGACTGACGTCAATTGTACATATGGTGGCTTGATTTAACTGGAACATTTATCTAATATTGAAATTACGATCTCATTTTCATATATTTTAACGAGCTAGTTTTAATAAATGAGAAGTGCCTTTTTGTTTTTGAAATAAAATCCTAATTTCAAAGTAAAGTCACTCAAATGTGATAAAATTTAAAAAGCACCAAATAAAGAGAATCTTTGGTATTACAACAGAATGTTGAACGAAGAATCGGACAAAAAATTACCTAAACAATATCGTTTATAAATTCAAGGAATTAAGCAAACGTAACATTTATGTCAACGCTCTCAATCATCAGTTGAGCATCAGTTGAACGGTATTTGATGCTATTTTGACGATCAAATTATTTCTCACAAATTCTGTTCTGGCTGCATGGGTTCTTATGAAATATTGTGACGAAGCTGGAATTGAATTTGACTATGTTATCCCAAGCTATTGTTGATTTTGTTAAAAAGTATATCAGCGACGAAGTGAAGCGACGTAGCGACGTAGTGAAGCTAAAGTCCAGACATGGACAAAGTAACCCTGCGGGCCAAATCCGGCCCGTTGGGTAATTCAATCTAGCACGCCTGATGCTGCCACAACCCAACCCTAACCAAATTTTGATGTTTTAGCTAAAAATAGCTCAATGAATTTGTTGAGATTGCGGTTAAATTTAGTTTTCGCACGATGCATATTGTTTTCCACCTTTGTTTTGTAACACTGTAAATAGTGTTCATATAATGTAACCTATTACGTCACACTTACATGGCCTGTCAGACTAGGTGGGCAAAATTTTTGGGACCTGGTTAAAAGACCTTGCCCACCCCTGAGCTAGACGCACGACGTTATTATTCTAATTTTGCAAAAGTAAACGTAACGTTAAGAAAATTTGTGTCCAAAAATCTGGATACAATATTCTAATTTCAAAAAAAAATTTTAATTTGTAAACTCTAGTTAAAAACATATTCTGTAACGGATACCAGTTCGGATAAAGTTAGACTCAAATATATTCAACAGTTAATAAGCCAAACTGTAACCCGCACATCCGAACGCCCTTTTATATCTTCCTTTGGATCAGTGGTTGGCAAACTTTATGTACTTGCGGGCCGAATATTCACTTTTCCCGCAGTATGCGGGCCGCATTAGTTTCCGCCTATAAACAATCGCCACATTTAACTTTAAATTATGGTGCACTCGCACCTAGTATTGCTGTGCTAAAAGTCTGCCACAATGAGACGTGTAGGTGGCCTTTTTATATATATTAGCAAACAATATATTGTTTTTATTTACTCATTAACAATGTGAAGGATGATGTTGTTTCCGTGTCCTTCGTTGCCCCGCAGCACTTCGTACTATATGGCGATCTAACAAGCGCGTAAGAAATTTATTCTTAGTGTAATGCATTTCAGATGCTCACATCAATATGTGCTTCCGAAGTGCAGATCACACGTTTTGCACTGTCACACAGATGAGCAGTGGCTCGTATTTGCGATGACACGTTTAACGTTAAATCTCTCAATAACTGCGTAGCTGTCCTAGCATATTAAGCTAACTGGTTTTAAAATGCGCAAAAAAACAACATGTTCTATCCTCGTCGCAAACCTCCTCCGTTTCCCAGATTAAAAATCAGAAATAAACTTAACTTGTAATTACAACTAACAATGAGGCGTTCATCAAGTAAACGAGTTCCAACTGACGCTACTTATTACAAAACAAGCGACGTACAATTATGTGGACACAATAAATTTAGGATAAATGTATTTAAAGTTGTTCGAGGGCCGCAAAAAATGAGTTTGCGGGGCGCATTTGGCCGCGGGCCTCAGTTTTCCTACCCCTGCTTTAGATCAAGGATTGATTGACAGTATTTACGTACTAAATTAAAATCGTTATCAAATTGACTTCACGATTATTCGGATATTCCTTGGGATGGGCATTGAAAAACATATGGTTAAATCACGTCAGTTTTCGTTCTATTAGTAAAATAACCTTTTTATTTTAGACTTCTACACTTCACAGTTATAGCATTAACTCCAGTCGTGAAATGACTTTTGACATGACTGCCACGGTTCTAATCAAAGTAGAATAAAAATGCATTAAACCTATTTCAGTAATTTGAAAGAATTTCCCAGTAACTATCGCGCTATAAACTAGTACAACAATACAGATTGTAGATGCATCTCTACTTGGTTTGAAACAAACGAGACTAATAACACTGAAGTTCAACCAAATTGACAACATTTTTGTGCATTTATTTGCATTTGTGAGTTTATTTATTTATTAGAACACTACCTATTCTTTTATTATGTAATCGAATAATGTTTAAATTAGCATATACATATGGCGGAAACAAGCCGATGACGCAAATCAAAATCTCTATATATTGGACAGAATTCGATAGACGATTATTTCACCAATTGGTAGTTTAAGTCGCTTGAAGATAAGAAACTGCAAAAACGGTAAAAATTGTTTTCTTAACGCTAGCGAAGAGAATCTTTCAAATTATAATTTTGTTGAATTATAATTTTTTTAAAAATCTTTCAATAATTGTAAGATAAGAATGCGTGATTTATCGGTTTTTATTACAAATTTTAATGATTAAAGTTTCGCTATAGAAGTTTATTGAATAAATATATTTTAATTCATGACAATAATACAATTGATTCTGAGTTCCACTTTCCTGAGTACCTTTCTTGTAATCTCATGATCTAATTGAGTTTATTGAATAAAACTTTTGATTTGTTGGCAATAACAGTGGTACATAGATTCGATATGATTATGAAATAAAATTAAAAATGTTCGTTATGTTATTTACAGATGAACAAAGCTCTCGCCCTTCTTCTCCTGGTTGGGGTTGCAATGATTCTGGAGTCTGAAGCTCTAAGAATTATCAAGTGAGTGATTTTCGTACGTTTCCAATTTTTTGATATGAATTCAATAACCGATATAGTTCGATTAAGAGTTGTTATCCAATTGAAATTCAAGAAATTACCCAAAAATTTCATCAAAAATTATCATGTCATTCACGAAAAGAATATTTCTTCAAGCTTATGTTTAATTTTTTTAAGATCACCTTGATAAACTATTTGGTGCATTGATTGTTTGATTCTTTTTACAGGCCCCATCCTCCTATACTGAGGCGCAGATTTTTCCGTCGCCGCATCATTGTTCCTTGGAGACGCCGAATTTTCAGGAGAAGGTTTTTCAGAAGGAGGATTTTCAGAGGACGAGTTTACGACGAACGCCCTATCGATGACGAGGAAGGCGACCAATTCGAAGACACAAATAACTTCGAAGATATCATGGACAATCCCGAAGTGTTTAATCACGACATTGATGAACAAGGTAATGCTATCGCAATATTATTTGATAAATCAAGATCACTTCGACTTTTTTTGATTATATGTGCATTCGACTCTAAAAAATCCAGTCAGTCGTGTGCGAATGTGTGTTAAATTAATTCTAAAATCAAAATTACTTCGACTTTCCTTGATTCTATGTGTATTCGACTCTAAAAAAACGGGTCAGTCGTGTGCGAATATGTTTTAAATTAATTCTAACAAATTTATTTGTTTTCAGATGTTGCTGATCTTTTCCAGTAAAAGCGTCAAGGCCAAAGTACAACGAAGATAACATTTCATAAAAATTTGATTATATTGAAATGGGCATTAAATAAAATTGATCATATACGCATAGTTGAATAATGTTATTGGAAGGCACGATGTTGTATCGACCCTTTCTGGGTCGGTTTGGGTGTAGGTGGTTTATTAAATTGGATTAAGTTGGTGCAGATTGAGCATTGTAACCTTAACGGAACAAAATACAAAAAACGTTTACTTCGCTTTAAAGATTAAGTCCGTTTTCTGACTAACTAAAATGAACTAACAACTTGCTGATTCGTATCGGAAAAACGACAAAGTATTCAGTAAAATTAATATATGCTTATTTATACAGAAAAATTAAATTTGAAGGCCGTGGTTCGACATATGTTTATATGAGTTTCGGTCTAAACTCTAAACAGTTTGTTTTAACTCCGGAAAAGTTTCAAAACAAACCCACCCGTTACTCTTGTCTCTAAATTCTAAACAAATGAACAATTTGCCATGCAATTTTCACATTCCTTTTCACCGTTACACCACGTTTATTTGATTGATGACAACTAGGAATATTAATACATGTCTATTTCCAACATATACTGCGACAAATCCATTCTACAAATTGATTTTTTGTTGATAACTTTATAAATAAATAGCAAATCCTAACTTATCTTTTACAACCATAATCTCCTTCGAGCCGCAAAATAATACTTTTGTTGCGGTAACTGACGCTTTTATGAGCTGGCAGCGCTCCATTTAAAGCGCATCGCCGGCCAGCTGTAAGTATCGTACATGTCAGCTAATATATTGAGATCTTTATAATCATATTACTCATAAAATGCTACTCCCGTAGTATGTGTACCAGGTCAGAGTTAGATTATAATTTTATTCCGATTTTTCTTATTTTAATCCTATTACGAGTTCGGGGACTGTCTTCCTTAGGTAAGTGAGTATACCCCTTGCCCATAGGCTTCCTTCCCTTTTACACAAGTTGCCGCAAAATAGGCGAACTAAATTAGTTACTTTATATTAGTACACACACTTCTGGAGCGCCCATAAAAGCATGTTGAAAAACGAAATTTTAATACATCAAGGCACCACCCATGCACGCAAAGTTGAATTGAATGTTGACCTATATCCTGATTTTAGGTACCATTTCTAAATATTCACAGAGCCCAACAGAACCCCTATCCATGAATATTTTCATACTCAATTGTTTGTTAGTATGCAGCAGTTTTGCCCCGCACATGGGTGCGGACTCAAATGTGTCCGAAAAGGCCCTGTTGCGTCAGCAGACATATTGGCTATACATCGAGCATTTTTATACAAGAAATGGTCCGCTGCTGAAAAGGTTAGGAATCCCTGCCCTACAGACTGGTTTAACTCATTCCAATATGTTATTTTTGGTAATTGAAGCTAAAATTATCATAAAACAATAACACATGCGATCATGGATATAGTTTATTTCAATATATCAAGCTTTGTCGCTCATAAATTTGAATAATTCCTGCTACAAAAAATTATCCAACTTTTCCTATAAAGTGCTGTACACTTCAGAGTTCAAACAGGTCAGCGATATCTGAAAATTAGAATAAAATAAGATAACTCACAAGTCGAACGTCACCACCCTACATATTGTTGTTATTTTTTCCAATTATTTTAAGCAAAATTATGTGTTCAACGCAACGGCCTAAGCGATCACTAATACGTGGAGTTGAAGAAGAGATAAAAAAAAATTCAAAGTACAAACGATATTATCAAAATGCATAGGAAACCTACGGCCCCGACAGAAATGGAATCCGCCGGGCGATGTTTCACCAAAATTTAACGAAGATCACTATCTGTAAGTTTGTATGACAGTTGGATCCTACCATGAGCCAAGTTTTCATCGAGCGCATTCGCACGTTCAAGAATATTGTCTAGCTGCTCTATTTCTTCGACAGACGGTTCCTCTTCGTCCCCTTTCAAAAAGCAACGACGTTTTCTGCGCCTCCACGACCATCTTGGCTTAGGTCGTGGTTTCTGCCAGGAATGGGGCTTGCCAGGACTGGTAAAAAATCAATGAAGTTCTCAGTAAAATCAATATAATATGCTAATTTCTACAGAAAATCTAAATTTAGAAGCTTTAGGTTCGCTTTACGATTATCGGCTTTCTTCTCCCATGAGATGAATATGTAAATCTTATTCCATTCTACTTACTTGTAAACAATAGCTTCTGAGCCAACAAGCAAACATATCGCAATAAAGAGAAGGATCAGGACATTCCTGTTCATCTGAAAAAATACATAATTGTGGTATAGAATAGTCAATCTGAGAACAGTCAAGTATAGGTTCGTAATGACGTTAAATAAACAAAAAATAACTTTTTAAATATTCAATAATAGTTAAATACATATGGTAGATTTGGCCGAAGAAGTATTAGAGAGTCAGCAATTACAACTTCTTTGTAAAGTGGAGGAAAATTGTTCCAAAATTTAGAAAGAAATATTTTATACAGATTTTTTTATTCTTCCGATAAACGACTTTTTTATGAAAGATTCTTTATGAACAATAGTTCATAATAACAACAGTTCAATGTAATACTGTAATGTATCTAAATGAATATCAATTAAAATATTGTAAAAATAATCAAATATATTAAGATAATGTCTACAAATAAATAATTATGTAAAAATAATTTACCTTGAAGTTCCTTCTTTGTTTCGTTTGGTGAAATTGGTAATGAGTTATCTATCACCGATGAAAGCTAGGCCTTCAATGTGTATATTACTCACATGTCACCGCTTATGTTGCATTTTTTCTTCCAATACTGTGACAATATGTAGTAAAGTCACTCCTATTTAATAGTAATAGAACAAGGCCACTTGCAACTATCGTTTAAAATCTTTTGTTCCAGGTCAGTAAAAAGACTTTTCTAGTCTATTGATTCAAAAACTTGAATACCAGTGAATCAAATATTGTCTAAAATATTGAAAAATAAAACTATATACAGTGAATTTAACAGTGAAGAAGAAAATGTTTACAATGCCATTTGCATAAGGAATCACATCTATTTGGCGTAAATTGTACCGTGTTTTAATTACTAATTATGTTCAAAACCACGATAAAGTAGAATCAGGCATGACTATGTTTTTGTTGTCAGCATGCAAGTTTTGTGTGATTTACAATGATTAAATTTGTTCAGAAAACAACCAAATGTTATTAGATGGATAATACATTATTGTAGTTTTTTGGCTGTTCCATTCAAATACCAACAGTATGCGTAACCTCACGTGTTATCCACTTTGTTTAAATTAAATTAGTGTCCATAGTGCTAAATATAAACAATATTCTAATGAAGTCCGATATTTAGAAGTGTGAAAACTACAGTCACCACACGTTTTAGCTTCCTTTCACATTGACATGTTTGTGATTGGTTAAATATAATCACATAAGCATATTGTGTTTTTATTTTGTTCTCACTGGAATAAAATTTGCAACAATCCGACCGTTTTCGTGAGATGACTACACACTCGTACGCCGATAACATGCAAATAGGAAGGATGCAATGGAATGCAGTAGAAAAAATCTAATGATTCACTGGCATATAGACGTACTTTAGTTCATTCAAGATTTGATTACTACATAGTTATCATTTTGATCTTCCTCCCTCAATTGTGTTCAGAGTGTTTATGCTTTGTAATTCAACGCTACTCTATACTATTACGTAAATTTGTTTAGAATCGGTAATTTGTAATGAAAACAGTAGGCCTATTATCTGTAACCAAATGTTGCTGTTTTATACTTTTTCAAAATTTCAATACAAAGAAAAGATTTAACATCAGGAAATATTGTAGATTATATGGGCTACAAGATAAAAATTCTGACAAAACATTTGAATTACAATAAACGCATGGCCCGACTGAACCAAATAAAATAGGATTTATTGACCTAGAATATTTTGATTATCAAGCTAAATCGTGAGCAAAACTTCATTGGATTAAAATAGGACAAGTTTATCGTTCGATAAATTATTATTTTTGTTGCTAAAGCAATACTGCTTCTTCTTCAGTTATTACTTTAGTTTTCTATATAGTTGAAATTGAAACGAATTTTTAAAATTCTTCAGAATATATTTTTGATTATTCTCAGAATATCTTTGTGCTCCATGCAGCATGTTGTTACTTATCGATCTTAAGATCGGTAAGTATATTTATAGGTATTTGTCTGTATGTCTGTCTGTGTGTGTGTCTGTTAGATGCACGTGATTTCTCACGAAAGCGAGATTGAATCTGCTCCAGATTTTGCATGTGCATTCATCTTATCTCGGACCAGAAGCCTATTGATTTTGGGCGAATTATGTCGTATAATTAGCGAGTTATCAATCAATTATTGATATAGTGATCTAGATTTTTGTAAAGCGAGAGAATTTTGAAACCCGCCGAGTGTGTGCGATGCGCAGTGCGCAAGTTACAAGAGCGGATAAATCGAAACTGCAGTTTCTGTTTTGGGGGATCCCCTAACTATCGATCGATAAGTCTTCGGTTTCCAACCGATATTCTCGTTTTATCCTTATCTTGTATTTTTTCCTGGTTCAGTTGTTTCGCTCAAAACGTTTCCAGACTTTCATTGATGGCGTAATGGATTTCCCGCATGATTCAATTCGCATAAATACGAAATTGTTTGTCGTTTGCTCACGAGATATATTTGAACCGTTTGGATGCCCACTACTTTATAATCAAAAGAGCGTGAAATAATTTGGCAATATTAGGCCATATTCCTTGGCGAGTCAAAATATTGGCAAGCGGCACGATCACTACACGTTTCATTTCTTGCTCATAAAAATTTGCAAGAAAACTGTTACGTGTTGAGCCTCAGACGTGGGTTGTCCGAAAAGACGCTTTGAAGAAGACCAAATTTGGTTACATCTTTCCCCCAAAGAACGAATGCATTGAATCATTTGACAATAGAAGACCATCATACACGTAGCGAATTAAAAGAAGGGAAAGTGACGCCAGAGACCTCGGAGTACTACGAAAACGAAGTAAACAATCTCGAGAGGGAGCTTTTATAAGAAAAGTTTTGAAATTTACAAATTAATAGTATTCCACACAGTCGTGAATGTAACAGTTGTGCGTTGAAATGTTAGAATTAGTCAATTGAATGGCCTTCCATGCAGAAGGCTATTAGACTGCTAGGAAATTTGATTTTCAATCTAATCACACGAGACTTGTACTTCCATTCAAATGTAATGATTTGCTTAAGCATAAAACTGATGTCTGAAGGAGCTACATGGCTGATTTACACAGAACATTACAACAAACCAGTGTGATTCGAAATTTTAAAAACGAGTTTTTTTTATATCGAACTTACTAACAACCGATTACTTAATTTTATAAGATGTATGCCACTACGTAAGCTATATGAACGTTTTGCATGATCTAATACATAACTTTCCAAAAGCGAAATATAACGCTAATCGTCAGTTGCGTCGCACGTCACCAATTTCTGCTGTCGTCTAACGCAGAGCTTCCCAAACTTTTGAGCTCGCGGCCCCTTCTAATTTTTTAAAATTTTTCACGGCCCCTAATCACGTTAATAATACCAAACAAGAAACTACTCAATAAGAAATACAATCACATATTTACTCAGATTAACGTTGTCGTTACTCAATTATTCAGTGTTATGGGTGCGGATGCATTTTGCTGCATAGCAAGTTCTGCTGTAGCTCAGTGTTTGTTTATGCAGGCCTAATTGATAAATTGGGATGTGTGGCCACCGACGGCATGGTCCTCATCCATAATTTTTCACTCTCATTGATCAAACTTACCATAAGGCAAATTATCAGGCAAAACACACCTATACGAAAAATATGCTGCCTAAAAATAAAACACAATTTTTTCATTGTTAATATATGCACTTTATGCCATTCGAGATTTATAAACATGTAGGCCTAAAGAATAAAGGAAAAGGTTAACTTTTAGCGCTCCCATAGTATGTGAACCAAGATGGCGGACACCGAAACGTAGTATATGTACCAGGTTAGAGTAGAGGCTATAATTCCATTCCAATTTTCTTTACTTTAGTTCTATCACGAGTTCGGCGACTAGCCAAGTGACTCCCGTAGTAGGCCTATTTGTATCTGAATTTATGGCCGAACCCTAACCTGATACACAATACACATACTACGTTCCGGTATCCGCCATATTGGTTCACATATTACGGGAGTACCAATTTTCCTTTCTTATCTCTGTTTAAAATGTTAAAAATCACGCATGTTCGATAAACTCGGTTCAGCAAATGACTTAACTGCAGTCTACGAAATTGCAGCATGTAGGTAGGGTTTACCTCTTCTGATACGTAACAATAGACCCTACGTAACAGAAAGTAAACATCGAACGCTAAAATGACTTTGATCCATATACTTGTCATTTGCAACAATGGAGAAACAATAATACATTTACAATAAATAAAATATGTGATATGTTTCGAGGCGAACAGCAATTAAAGCCGGCATTGCTATGCAAGCGCGATGATTCTACCGTGTTTCGCCGATACTAATACCGTGGAAGTGCGTCGTTTCATTTTAGGGTGTCGCTAAATTTTGTGATTCGCGAATCTATTAACCAACCCATATCTTCTACTTTTACTGAAAAAAAAGAAGATTAAATCGATCTTACCTGGTATGGTGTTATAATAAAAAGAATTGTTTCTGAAATATTCGGTTTTCTGTGGATAAAGATTATTTTTCCTTGGCTCAAAAGTGTCGCGAACTCCCATCCTCTTTGCGATTTTGTATTTATATGAAGCAGGCTTTTCTGACATGGTCCATTAAATGTGATTTCACTGACTGTCGTTAGGTTTTGTTTGTTCGTTTATATGAAATTCATTGCAGAAAAGGTCTTTTATTGAAAGGTATCAATCAATACGTATTTTCACAGGGAGTCGCAACTTGAGCATAATATTTTTGGAAGGCGTCACAATACAATGAAGTTCGAAAACCATCGAGTCCAATATAGTCGATAGCGAGAAATCTTTTCAACTTTTTAAATGGTAATAATCTATATGTAGAAGTTATTTTAATCAAAACGTATTCATATTTTGTATATTTAAAAATATCGCTATTCTCTACATTCCCCCAAAATAAGCCCTAGTGTTATTTTCGAAAGAAAATTGAAGACGCTGTCCTATTTTCGGGGAATCAGGGTATGAAGATGTATTCACTCGGAATCGTGAAATATTGTTTTACACTATTTTTATTAATTGTATTTGGAATCAAGAGTCTGAAAAAAGCACAATAGATATAGTACTTTGTGTAAAATTGGTGTGCTTTTTGGGGCTCTTAAAATTCGTTTCCCGGCCCCGGAAGGGGCCGAGACCCCTAGTTTGGGAAGCCCTGATCTAACGCATGGTGTGCAACCTTTATTACAGGAAGGCCAGATTCAAGTAACTGGGTGAAGCCGCGGGCCGTACCTTTATTTAAGATAGAATTTCTAGTAGTTGTAGACTTTCAGGCATAACAAAATTGTTTCTTTTTGTTATTGATCAGCATTGGTGGGGGTCCTTGCAGAAATGGTTGAAACGCAAATATTTCTGAAGAAATTGCTATTCAAATTTATTGTCACACCGACTTTAAACGAATTCATTAAGAAACACATTTTATAACATTGTGTATTTTGCAGGATTTTGCTAGCTAGTTTTGAAATGCTAGTTTTGCTAATATGACAGTGGCACTCGGGTACTGGTATAGACTTTGCATCGGAAAAAGATTGGAATTGCTCGCAGGTACCAGATTAACTAAACTAAAAACTCGTTTCGCGGCACATTATTCAAAATTCGCACTTCTCAGTGGGACGCACAATTTTTCCCTGCGGGCAGCAGTTTGCAAACCCCTGGTCAAACACACACAAAAAAAAACAAGAACGGGTTTTCTGATTATCACATTCCAGCCCCTGAATCTCACCAATGCTTCTAACCATCAAGCATTGATATAATCGAAGTAAATATTTTCAACAATAAGACAATAAAATTGACTAAGAATTTTTCGGAAAGAAAACTTTTCTCCGCGACTAATCGATCTATCAATGTTGAATTTCTAGTACATTACTGTAAAGGACTGAAGCGGCTAGCTGGTCACTCAAATTTCACAAACAATTATTTTTTTTACCATTTATAGTTTTTTTTTTCTACCTGGCCCCCGAGCCATTTAAAACACTCAATAATATTTTAAGTATTTCTCAACCAGTGCGAACTTCTACTAATTTCATGAGGTCAAATTTAACCAATAATTCTATAGGGAGATTTATTTGTCAAGCTGATAGAAACTGTCGCAGCAAAACACAAGGCCAAGGTTGAAACATTAATACATGATGAACGAAATTTGCATTGTCAATGTTTCATCCTTGGCATTGAGAAATAGTAAGAGTTTCAATATTGAAAATCTCCTTGAAACGATTCTGCTTTTTTGTCTTCTACTCGTTGAACAGATCTGCGATATCTTTAGAAAAATAAAATGAAAAATCATTAACATATTATTGTTTCACACTTTTGCTAATAACTTGCAGTGCTACGATCGGTTAGCTCACCCAATTTTCTACAACCGTGAGTGATCGATAGGTTTGCTTGATAAATTTCCCACAACTGCGATATCAATATAATTATGCAAAATCGACAATAACCCGCCCAATCCAGTAAATACAATATGAATTGCAACATAATTGATCATTTTGATACTGATACTGACTTGATCAATGGCATAAATCCGATAGCACTGATCCGTTGGCCAATATAGCCAACACACGCACCATTTACCCATCATGACGGAAAATATGGAAGTAAATCAATTGGTTTTATATTTGACTTCTAACAAGTTTTTATGTTAATAATTTTTCAGCTTTTTCAATAGTCTTGAGTTAGGCGATAGTTCCCACATTTGGATAATTGCTAAATTTTAAAATGCCGCACTGAAGTTCATAACAGTGGTCGGCAAACTTTATTTACTACTGAGCCAAATATGCACATTGACGACAACAAGCAGACCATATTGATTTCCGCCGGTAAATAATTGCCAAATTGAACTTCATTTTATCACGCACCCTCAACTGCTATTTCTGTGTTAATTACAACTAACAGATCGACAAGTAAACGACTGAAATAAGATTTCGCTTACGCTTATTACTACAAAACAAAGCCGTACAACAGCCGTTTTACGACTTTTATTTGGCGCAGATAATGATATTGTGAGCAATTTTTCCTTTTGTGCATTAAAGTTGAGGTCGTTCGGGGCCACCTAAAAATTGTTTGCGGGCCGCATTTGGCCCGCGCATTGGCAGACCACTGTTATACAGTAACGACAACACGACAGTCAGATGTAATGAACGTCTTATAGAGACAGTGTTAACAGTGGCGCTAAAAGAATTTTACCCTCCGCAAGTTTTTGATCCAACTTTTTCGCGCGCTCAAGTATGGAATCAAACTGTTGTTGTTGCTCGGCGCTTGGTTCCTCATCTTTTTCTTCATCTCCTTTGAGGTAACAGCGTCGTCCTCGGAATTTACGCCTTCGTCCCCATGGCCAACCAGGCCTTGGATATCTTCTTCGAATTTTTCCTGGGCCCGGACTGGATGGAAACATAGTGAATTTGAAAAATATGCTTGATTGTGAATAAATTTTAAAGGAAAAAGGGACATCTCGAAGTATGTGCACCAAGATGGCGCACAACCTGAACATAATATGTGTACCAGGTTAGGGTTCGGGTTGTGCGCCATCTTGGTTCACATACTTCGGAAGCGCCAAAAAAAAATATACGTATTGCTTGTTATGGGTTCTAACAGTTTTCAGCCTAGTTACAACAAAATAGCAACTTCAAAATCGAAAATACAACAAAATCGTGTCAGCTAGATGCACAAATACTTTCATCACATAAAACGTTAAAACCTAATAAAGCCATAATACTAACCAACCTTCAAATTAATCAGTGGAAATAAAGAATTAGTCAGTGAATCATTGTTCCGTATTAAGACGCTTCAACTTAAATTTATCAAAGACAAAATTTATCGCGAACAAAAACAATTTTGTATTCAGTGAATTACTGTATTAAAATAGTGTCAATCAATAATTTAATTTGTATTATTATTTTCAAGAAAAACCAAACTTATTATTTGACGCTTACAGCTTCCGATTCCAAAATCAAACACAACCCAAGTAGAAGCAAAATCAAAAATGCCTTGTTCATCTTAAAAAATAAGATATAGAATTATCTTATTTGGATCAAAGATCTTTGATTCGGAGCACGTTGTAATCGTCAAAAGTTGAAGTTACACCGATAAAAATCATTCCAGAACACATTGACAATTATTTTGAAATCGAACTCCACGTGGAGGCTGTAAATTTTGAACTTTTTTCAATGTCTATGTTTACATGTTGTCTTTACTTTCAAATAGGAAAGTTACACAACGCATAAGTCTGCACGACGAAAACTCAATCCCAAAATATAAGAAGCCGACTATTCCGAAAAAAAAAAATAAATATTGGAATGTTACTCAAAGGAAAAATTTATTATATTTCCTAGCTAACCTTGATTCAAACTGTTTGACACAGTTAGTCCACTGGATACACGATGAAATTCTGGATGAGCATCACAACCCTTGTTTATATTGATAATTCTCAATTGCGTCACTGCCGTGTCATTCGTTGCATTGTCTCTCATAAGGCAAAAATAGACGCATGAAGAAGATGGCTCACTCTCATTTTAATCATACATTTCCGGTTTAATATGCTGTTGCGGACATGAATGGATTTGGGTTCATGTAACGTCGCTAGAGTCACGGTCGAAAATTGTACTTCATTCCGATTTTTTTTTTGTTTGTAGGACTATCGAGAAGCATTTTGCTGTTTTAAATACGATAAGCGTATGATCGGAATGCTTGAAACAAACGACACGAGCGGGGCTAAAGACACTATCTGGGGTGGTAAAGTGCTGAGCTAATTTTTATATTTCTATGTGGCGTTTTATACCTTCTCTACAACCAAATCTTATTTTCAGTTATAAATAGGTTAATTGTCGGTGAATCTGTCATCATGTTTTACTACCGAAGCGAAAAGGGCAAATAAATAATTTGAATAAAAATGGTGAATTTAAAAAAAAAACTAAAATCAAATTTTAGATAAAAGAGTAAAATAAAAGCATGCTTGTTTGAAGAAATGACACTATTAGAAATTTGTTAAGTTGCCGAAAGACTTCCTCGAAATCGATTTCACAATCTACACCCTACACGGAGCAAAATTTTGTAAGCATTGCTACCCGCGTTGCTGATATCGCAGTCTGTGGTATTTTATTTACTACTATTCTTTCTGCTTTAATTAGGTCATGGGTCATTTGAAATAAGCCTAACATTCAGTTGCAAGATTTTTTTAGATTTCTAACATATGGTGCGATAATGTACAAGAATAGCCTTGGATGCTAATTCAACAACAAAATACATCTATAACAATCTCGATTCGTGCAATTTGTTGTGTGTAACAGATTATATTTTATCTTTTCGTTTTGTCTGTTGTCAGGTCAAAAGTTTACTACAATAAAACAAATATAATGCAAATATATATTATATAATAATATTTATCGATAAAAACAGTACCACTGTTACTAGGATTACTAAACGCTATGCTACCTTTTATAGGGGTTTTGTATACTATAATATTATTATTATATTATATAGTAAGACAAGAGAGCTACGCACAAATATATGGACACGTTAGACCAGAGCGAATCAGTCCTTACCGGTACCTTTGACGCTACCGGTACCCTCAAAAAAGTTCTGAATTTCCAGTAGCAAGAATTTTGCAGAATCAAAACGTACAGCCAGTCATGACACTGACTAAAATCCGTGTTCCCATGGATAAAAAATAATGCAGCAAAATTTTAGACGAAATATCAAATTTCATAGAATTCACGCAAAATTTTGAAATAAATAAAAGTAATAGCCTTCTAGCGAAAAAATTAATCTTTAACCACTGAAAATTTCAAAGCAATTGGTCCAGTATTCGAAGAGAAAAGCGACTTTTTAAAAACGTGTCAAAGAACAAGAACAACAACAACAACAACAACAACATAATATTGAAACGATCGTTATGTCCACTTCGTGTCCAACAAGCGAAACGCAACTATAAATAAATATCCGTTGTTAGTGATAATGGTTTTAAATTTTGCATGTGGATAAAATGAGGATACAAGCGACAATCCGATAACTTTTAGTGCATGATGCAAAATTTCAATTAACTCTTTCAATAGTCGCTACTCGTAAGATTGAAATTTGTTGCCAGACAATCCCAAGCTTTTTTTCCGCATTTCCGTTTTTTCACTGGAAATGCTTGAGCAAGATCAGAACCGAATTTTAATGTGGTGGCACGAACTGCAAACCATTGGCACCGTCTAAATGCCACTATATTGTGGCGGGAGCGTACTGCACTTTTGTAGTTCGTGCCATTTCAGCATTCCGAGTTCTAGAGATTGGATTTCTGTGAGGTTTCATAACTACAGAACTATAATATATTATTAGGTCTGTAGGTATTTCATTTAACGAGGACCGGGTGTGATGATGGAGAGGTGGGCTCCGTTTAAAGAGCTGTGGTCAACTGTTCAAGAAATCGTTCTCAGAAAAAGTGGATCGATTCATCATTTCAAAGCTCTTCTTCGACGCCACAGACCTGACTTCTTAAGCCTGCTTAAAAACCCTGTAAGCATCTGTTATTGGTATTTTGATCTCGAAGCTCTATAGACTAGTGGTTTCCAACCATGCTTCTTCTATTCAGTATGACACAGTTTCAGCAGTTGCAGTTTGCAGTTGTCCAATTTCTAGAATATCCCCCACATTCAGACATTATAAGACAATAACTATAAAAGTGAGTGCAAACCCTCCCTTGCGAAATGTTCTGGGCCTCCGTACAGTCGTACTGTATGGAATCAAACGGGCAAACTGGCATTGCATAATGAACCATCTGATCATTCAGCCATTGTTTACCTTGAAAAAAAAATCTAATTTATCACGGTTATTTGAATTACTATTACCAAGACAATCTTTCGCGATTTGACACATCTGTCATCGTGTCATACGGCCATGTTTCATAGACAAATAAAGCCTGTTTCATTGAACCAAATGTTGAGAAATCCTGGAATCGGAGAACAGTGCCATACTGCCAGTACAGCATTGCAGCCAGACAGTTTGGGGTTACCCAAGTTTACATTTGAATCCAAGAGTCCATATCTAGATATAATCACATGCATATGTAACGTTTATCTGAATGTTGTTCAAATATAATCAAATACACAGGTTTAATATGTGTGTTCCACTATTACGCTTATGCCTTTGAAGACAATCACATTAAACCGTTAATCTAAATTTTTTGATTTGCCTAGTCTAGTGTATGATGACATATATGCAAATGCACAGGAGTTCTTCAAGCTGTCATGGTTTTGCTCCACCAAAAAGGTTTAAAACCACTGTTTTTGACTATATTCCCTTAATCCAGGAGTCTGGAACCTTTTTGGTCAAGAGAGCCATAAAAGGTAGATATTTTCGATTGTATCTCTGTGCGAGTCATATAGCATTTCTTCACTTAATCAGGCCTGATTTTTACTCAAAAGTCAACACATACAATGTCATATACATTTATTGTGACTTCTGATGCTGCATGTTGACGCTGAGGGCCTTGAACGGCTGCTCACATGAGCACAAGTTAAAATCTATGATACTCATCACCCTTCTTTCGTTTAGGCATCTTCGTAGTATTTTAAAAACTAGCTTTGCTAGTCTGATCTAAATATGACAAATACTGTAACTGTAACTAGTACGTAAAAATGGACAAAAAGCTTTTTTCTATTGCTCCGAGACTACCGATTTGTGATGTCACAATATATGTTCCAGAATCACATAATTTGGTCACAATGCCTGTCTGGTAATTCTCTTACAAAACATAGACATGCGCTGGGCACGCGTTCTCAAACTTATTGGCAAATTTGTCTATAAAAGAGTTTGAAATCTCGTTACAATAGTAAGCTTAGCCTCAGAATATTAGATTTTTCTGGAAGCCATAAGCCGCCACCAAAAGAGCCATATATGGCTCGCGAGCCATGGGTTCCCGACCTCTGCCTTAATCCTTTCATACTGTAACAAGATATTATTCAGCCATCAGATATCTGGATATTGCAATGCTTCAATACTTGGATATGCTGTAGTAAAACTTCAATTGTAAGTAGGGTAGTCGCTAGACAAGCAAAAAATTGGAAGGTCAGATCAGATGAGATCTCAAATAAAATGCTTGCTTACTCCTTTCCTTTTTCGAAACGTTTTTATTTATTTTTGGTTATAGGTTGATATATTTTCTATTTGACTCAATTTGATTCTATATATACCTCAAAAAAGGTATTCTGTGCAAAATAAACAGCTGTTTGACAAATTTTCTGTTTTTCTAGCGACCACTCATAATATATCATCATAATATACTTCTATTTTTAACAGGTGAAAAATGCTGAGCATCGGACCAAAGTACAAAATGCAGTGAACGAAGGTTTGAGTCTCAAAGGAGAAAGTTCGCCGCAGACATTCTCTCAAGATTTTATAGATGAATCTCTTATTGTCAGTGATTTGTTCAATTTGAATGAGTTTTCTGCCGTTGAGTTATTATTGGAAGGTAAGGTTGTATAAATCAATGTATTTGTTAATAGCATTGCCTATATTTGTAAAACAAGGTACAAACATTTATTCTAATAGTCAACTTGTTGAGAAAACATTCAAGAAATTAACTATCTGTATTAATCGATGTTAGACGATTCGTTAGTCAACGATTCGTACGGTACTCACCATTAAAAACAGTAGTTTCCTAACTCTAAAATTTTAATTTTTCAAATTACCGTAGATATTTGAACCTTGGGTGTCGCTGCATGGTAACCAGCTTTGGTTCCCCGCGAGTTCCCTTCCCCAGTAAAAAAATCTATAATTCATTCGAAGTTTAAAACTGATAAAGGTTGGATTTAACCATTCAAATAGTTATTTGGTATTTTGGATTAAAATGGTAACCTTCGACCGATTACCCCTTTCTCTACGCCTCAGTGTTAGTAGATCAATATGCTCTACAAACACTGCAAAGATATTGTTATTAAAAATTAAAATTCTTGTGGTTCAGAAGTCTTCACACTTACAAATATTATTCTGTTAAGTTCTGCCTAGCCCAACCAAAGTCAAACTTTTTCAGAAAAGCAATATCAAGAATATTCTCAATAAGTTGTACATTATTAGCATCTGTGTGCAAGGTAATGCCAGTGATAAGTTTACAGATGTAAATAAAGTGAACAACTTCAAGTGGAATGTACGCTGTGATAAATGTTTTGAACAATTCAATTTTATTCTGAATTTTGGATTACTATTTTTTCTAATTAACATAGGTGAGAGGCAACAACCTCACTATCCACAATTAACACGAGGATTGGTCGGTGTTCTGTTGTACTGGGATGGAAGAAAATGTTTGACAAGTTCGTTAAAAACTCTCATGCAATGCAGAAAAGGACAAACTTGGACTTTGGAAGTCAGGTGATTGGGATTGGAATTTGTACCTCTGTTTTTTATTTCGAATATTTCATCCATCACTTTATAGCTCATCCTCTCGTGTTGTCATCGAAACATTGCAGAATCTGGATAAAATTATTGTTATCTTTTATATATATTTATTATTACAGGCCCATAATTTTGTTTTTTTGTATTTTTTGTTATAATTTGATATTGATATGTAATTATTTCATATTTTGACATTTTTCTGCATTTTTTATTTAACACTACTTATATTCGATTATTTTCTTTTATTTGCCAAGTAAAATATTTTTGTGTTCAAGAATAGTTTTGGTACTGTAGAATTCATTATTGTTTTCAATTCCATTTTTCTATTTCAATATTTTCCATTAAATCAAGAGAAGCCTTGCATTTATCAAAATTTATGCAATTTGACAAAAATGAGAATTGTAACATCTAAATATATTCATCTTCTACAGCTAAATTATACCTGAATATTTGGAAGCACACTTTTGTGGGATATCATTATTGAATTGTGTTTAATAAGTCTAAATTCTTATGAATTAAGCAATAATCAAATCAATTTAGCAGCCTTAATGAAACATTACTCTTAAGTATAATAATGCTTAACAAAGATTTGATATCTAATTTTCCTGGTGTTAAATGGAGCTTATTTCAACTAAACTAAAGTTTTGGTCACAGAACCGCAGATTCTCATTGCAATTGATTTGAATTATTACCGACACAAGCTTGGCGATCTGATGCATCTGTCGTAATGCCAGATGCACTCGTTTTAGAAACAAATAGGGTTTGTTTCATTGAAACGAATGTCTGGACGTCTTGGAATCAGAACTGTGCTTACAGTCCTGGGGTTTCGCAAATTTACATTCAAATGAGGAGAAATATTTTTTAACAAAGTCTTTGTAAGATTTTTTTTATTCTGACATATAATAATAACCAACTCTTAATTTTATACAGTGATGAAATGGTCGAAGCTGCAACAGCATTCACAGACGAACTTCTGGAGAATGGTTTGACCAAACAAGTATTGAAACTGTTGGATGAAATTCAGGTTGACAAAGAAATTGAAACATTGTCAAAGCAAAGAGGTTTAGGAGGAGTTAAGCATAGGAAACAAGTGAGAATCTAAACCTCTATATTGACAAATACACGTTAGCAATACTAGAATAGGAAATCTACTAACTAGACAAACGAGAATATCTGTCAGAGACCGAAGACTTATCGATCGAAAGTTAGGGGATCCCCCAAAATAGAAACTGCGGTTTCAATTTCGAAAAATTCTGCAAACCCGAACTGGTTTGTTTTGAATAGTTTTTAGCCAATATCAAAAATGTAGGAAACAATAGCCAACTCCCCATGTCGTCGTCGAAATACTACTCGAGGAAATACTTTTATGAAGACATCGATAAGTAATAATAGCCACATCCGAAGGTTGCTTATTGACTTTTTGTTCCCTTCAACAATCAGTCTGGACCTTAAATTTTGGTATGGCCAATACCAGTATGAGGTAATTTGCTTACAATAAACAATGGAATAACTGTTATTTCTATCCTGAGTATTGAAATTCAACATGCTTTTATTAATTTGTTCATTTCCGGTCGAATACCGGAAATTCAACAGGTATATCAAAGCGTTTCTTTCTAGATGTACAGGAACCTAATTCTGACAAGGCCAGACCGTTTCGCTTTTTTCATTTTCGGTTACAATCCTTAGTTTTAGAAAAAAGAATACTACATGTATAATATCTAGCTTAATAAGATGCTGAACATTGCATTCAAAATAGGACATTGTTCTGACATTGCAGGATGGTTATCGCAATATTTTTCCATCTATCTCTTTAGGTGCGAGACTTGATCACTTGTGTCAGGAACGATTTAGCAGAGAGTTTATTCAACTACGCCGGCCAATCAAAGCTTTCTTTGAAAGATACTTTATCTATTCTGGATCATCTTGAAAAAAATGTAGAAGCATCATCAGATGGAAGATTATCTTTTGATATTTTGTCTCTGCTTCATACTGTGTTCTATGCCTTCACTTTGCCACAGGACATTCCCATAGAACAAGATGACAGAGGTATGAGTATGATTAGAAAAATTTGTTTTCTAAATTTTGTACTTATGTATTGTGTGTACCAAGCTAGGGTTAGGCCATATTTTTATCCTGATTTTCCCTATTGTAGTTCTATTACATGTTGACCTGTTTGTTTTAGCCAAGTGAATATACCCCCTGCCCATAGGTTTCAGTCCCTTTTACACAACTTGATGTAAAATAGGTGAACGAAATTGGTGACCTCCATATTGGTACACATACTTCTGGAGCGCCTTGGGTTTTTCAAAGATTGATAGAAGGTTACCTGCGGAATGCTCATTACCAGTATGTGGAACTTAGAATGCATGATAAATGGGATTTCACACACTGCAAACATACAACATCTTTTGATATAGGTTGAAATGAAATGAACTAAAAATGTTATTTATTAATTAAATATCCTAATTAAATATCCCATCTATTGCTAGATTAAAATTGTTGAGAATCGGATAGAGTTGGTTAATTGGATATAATGTTTTAGACAAAATTTCACAAAGATTCACATTAAAAATGCAACTAAATTATGGACCGTGCCAAATTTCAAGTTCTATGAAAGTAAACATCCAGTTTTAGACCTATTGCACACAATTTGGGTTAATGGATTTAAAATTGAATTAGCATCTTTTATCTGTTTTATATACCATCACATTTAGTCGCTGTATATCAGATAATATTTTCGTAATTTATATATTTCAAGGATTAGAACTTCTGCTGAATCATCCTTTGATTGCTGAGAAAGATTTTGTTCAGAATGTTCACAAGAAAATAATGAAAAGAGAGTAAGTAAAATTTCCAACATTTTCGACTTGCTCCACAGATTAATTCATGGATGTGCAACTTTTATTACAAGAAGGGTCAGATAGAAATAACTGGCTAAAACTGCCGGCCTCACCTTTATTTAATTAGCACAGGCTTGCTAGTAGTTGCAAGCACAAAATATTGGATAGGCCTATTGGAATTACCAAAGTAAAAACTCGTTTCGTGGGTCGTGTATCATCCAAAATTTGCATTTCTCCGCGGGGCGCAAAATTTTTCTTGGCCCGCGGCCCACAGGTTCCACATCACCTTTCGAGTAACAAGAGGAAACTACCTAGCTCAAATGAGAAAAATTGAGTTGTTATCAGTATGGAGCATGCGATAAATCTAATTCTAAAATGAATCCTCTTGTTAATTTGCACAGTTTAAAATTGGCCTTCACTTTTTGAGTTCTTGACTATATTAACATGATTATGCACATTTGCAGTGAGTGGAAAATCCCGGGCATCAAAGCTTGCATTCAACTTGCATGGTCTCTTGCATTACGTGCTTTAGCTCAGATACCAATGGCAGTTTTGGAAAATATGCCTGATACTTTCAATTCTACTGGATTCACTGATGCTTTGGAACAAGATGAAATGATGTTGGAATTTGCACTAGGTGGAAAAGTATTCCAATTTCTCAAGGTAAGAGCCTATAGCCTATAGGCCAGTGGTTCTTAAACTTTTTTGAGTGCGACCCAAATCTGAGTTTCACGAATACTCGCGACCCAATCCTAAATAACGCAAAATGTGTTTTTAATGTCAGTACAGTTTGACTCAAATACAGACAACTATTTATTAGAAACAGTCCATTGACTCAGTGAGATTGATGAAACTGAAATTTCCTTTTCATTATATATTCAATACACAGCTCTATTTTACTGAGCGCAATACGCAAGTTGTCACGGGAATCGATGCGATTGCGAGCTTAGTTTTAATAACCGTCAGTGCCAAAAATCCTCGCTCGAACAAGTAGTGCCTTGTCGCGAATTGTAATCAAATGTGCACACACTGCTTCGTTCGCGGTAAATGATGACTAGAGATGAAGTCACATTTTCTGTAGATATTGAATAATTTAATGTTGAGATGCGATCTTTTTCATTGCGTCGTCTATTACAATTTACATTACCAAAAAGACACCCGTTTTTAGTTATTTTAATCCACTAAGACGACATTCCGCGAGGTCAACACAACGACAAGCGACGTGACTGGCATATCAGAATTGTGATGTAACAATGAGCTCAAGACAGTTCTTTCCGTGAATGAAACTTTATATTCCATTATTTTTAAATATCAGAGTTTAGAAGCTAAATTGAAACATTGGGAAAGCTGAAAGTTCGTCCTTTTCCTCTTAGATTGCCCTTGCATTGACGACCTTGTCGCGACCCACTTTTAAACCTTCCGCGACCCATGTTTGGGTCGCGACCAGGGTTGTCCAAAACAAATTGAATATTCGAAAACATTCGAATATCAAAGTATTCGAATACCTTTTTGGCTGATTTTCGAATAATTCCGAATAGTAGCCACTCTTCGCCGTCAGCGAGGTGTTTTACTTCTAAGTGAAATCTTCATACGATTTTTGGCGCTTTGTAACGTATTGTAATCACGATGAAATAGAATTGGCACTTTAATTATTTGTGATATTCTGTGCGAGTGTGCGCCTCATACTGTTGCATGATTGGCATTGCCGCTATTATCTTGCAAGGTTCTAATTAATACATTGATTTCCTTCACGGCGAAAAATTTAAAATTATTTAAAGCCATAATTGTTACAACACCCAATAAATTAGTCGGAATTATTAGAAAATATAGTTTATACTTTTTTTGCTTTTCGGCAACCGATTTTGATAATGATAGTTAGAAGTATCGACTTTTTACTAGGATCATTTTCTGTTGCGCAAAATATTTAGATACCAGCAATTAAAATGCCTTGCCGTTTTAATTTAATTCTGTTTAACATAACCCGTGATTGCGTCAACTTACGAAAAAAATAAAAGCATTGCTATCGTATATATATTAAAATATCACAGTAATCTGTGGACATAAAATGTGTGGAAAACTACCCATTATAATTGATTCTTGATTCGAAGTTTTGTACTGAAAGTTTTGTTACTGAAATATGAAAAGCAATACTACTCTGAAATATCAGGCAATCTGCGGACATAAAATGTCTGGTAAATAGGCAGGTTGTAGATAACAGTTATTCCATTGTTTATTGTATGCAGTTGATTCATGCCCTAAAATATGCTTTTTACTCGAATTTATTTTTGAATGTATTCGAAATTTCATATTCGGAAATAATGATTTGAATGTATTCGAAATAGTGAACTATTCGGTATTGGCCATCCCTGGTCGCGACCCATACTTTAAGAACCACTGCTATAGCCCCCATAGGATAGGATTTCCATATTTATTCTGGGAAAGAGTAAAACTGATAGGATGCTAAGGACGGTATAATTGTATGGCGGAACCATGGCCTCTTGTCATAATGACTGACCACGATTAGAAAACACTCTTTGAATAATCTGTATGCTCAATTTTTCTTCCATCACATTATGCAGAAACACAAGTTTGTTCCGCTATAATAGTATATATTGCAGTAGAAAAAGCAATACTGAAGAACGTTGATGATAAAATTACAATTGATTTAGAATAATAATTTTTTTTTAAAAATTCAAACTCTTTGATCAAAATTGTGCTTTTTTGTTTGGTAAAGCATTAAGAGACAGTTATCTGCCATAGAAAAACTTCACAATACAAATTTACAAATTTTTATTTTGTGGGGTGCAAATACAGTTGTGGCAATTCTTGGCCTTTTTCTTATAGGTATGCAAAGATTATGTTTCAGATTTTACTGTAGGTCAATAGGAAGCATAATATAGACTGAAAATTGCTTATTTTCCTGAACTCATGGATAATTTATACATCACATCAAATCTCCTAATAAATGCAAGCGTTTTACCAAATTGCTCTTAAATTCTGTTAATATTGAATCGTACAGTAATACATAGTGAAAATATTTTAAAATAAAAACAAATCAGGAATGAAACGAAATAACACAAAATGTACATAAACATTGTCATAAACAGACGCAAGCGGTGATAGGTTTCTGGCAGTAAGTTGAGGTCCTCTTTTCCAATAATATGGTGGCATCACGCCTGAATAGCAGTCAACGTTAGGTATAGTAACATTTAACAGGTGTATATACTTCATTATTTGGAATAGAAATACTCGTAGATATCTCAGTTCACATTAATAACCAGATATGGACTTTGTCATGGATATATTCAAATTCAGAATTTTCAAGAGAAATATGAAATTTTTACTTTTTACTTTGCTCATGTCATGTCTTTAGCTTTGGTCTACACTTTATTGGTATTTTTGTGAGGAAATTTGACAATGATCATATTTACTAGTGGTAAACTATCTGATTGGATTTTTTTTTTACTTGTACTGTGATGATCCATCATGCATTTCCTTTGTGGGTCACAGAGAAGTGAATTCTCAAACAATGTTTTGTGCAATAACTGAGTTGTCTTCGTATTTTTCAATACTAATCATTTCGAAATCTTTTCTGTTGTTATTTTTTTCATCATTGTTGCCATCTTTTCTATTACTTGCCTGAAAACCAAAGTTTCGTTGCCTTAATTCATTTCTAATATTGACTATATACAGTGTATACATTGGTACAGATTAATTCTATAGCAGAAATGTGATCATCATTTTAATTTGACAAACTGGCATCAGACAAGACCGCTTAGATACAAACGGTTTTGTTGTGAATTGATAGAGGTAACTTGAAGGCAAGCAAAAATTTTTGAGAGATTTTTTATTTGGGAATCATATAATTAATTTGTCGACATTTATTCTACAAATGTGACCATGTAGGATTTTCCTATTTATATTGCGGAGAGGAAAGCTAATATAAAAGACTTATTAATCATAAGGCGAAACACTACCTCAGCCTGTTACTTGTACATGTCGGGTATGGAAATATCAAACCAGTTATTTGTTTCAGATTCATGGACTTGTAATGTATCATTCCAGTTTTATAAAAAGCTCAATATATTAAACAAATAATGTTTTATCAAGAGACACTTGATTTGTACGAGAGAATTAGTAGTACAGGTAGTTCATTTTAATATAGGATTTAAATTCCTTACCATACTTATTACTTGAGTGTAGTATGAAATTGTTATCAGAAGTTCCATTCCCAATGTGTATCTAAATAAAATTATTTAGCAATTAAGAAAAAATACAAGGATGCTTCTAAGTTCTAAGCTTATTCCTAATCAAAATTTCGGTACTTCCTAAGTATGTGAGTCAAGATGGCAGACATCGGAACATAGAATGTGTACTGGGTTAGGGTTAGGCCATTATATCAGGTACAAATACTTTGGCAGTCGCTTGGCTAGTCCCCATACTCGTAATGGAACTAAAATAAGGAAAATTGGAATAAAATTGTGGCCTAAACCTAACCTGTTACACAAACTAGAGTTCCGTTGTACGTCATCTTGGTTCCCATACTTCGAGAGTAGCAAAATTTCTTCATTTTGAATATTTGACTTTTCGCATTCACCCATCTGCCTTTAAATGGCCCTTTTCTTCTACTTAGTACTAGTAGTGAATAATATTCAAGATGACTCATTATTTAGATATTATATTGTTGTTGACTTACAAAATGAAATATCTCAGATCAAGATTTTCATCTCCCAAAAAATTGGCGGCAATCGTTGTGATCATTGTTATTATTGAAGCAGGTATCCATGTCATAGCAAACATCTGTAATCTGGATCTTTCTGTCATCTAAGATAAAAAAAAAGGAGAATTTTATTTCTGCAATTCCAGAAAAATATTCCAACCAGCAAATAACCACTGCTGGGGTCTGCACAGACTTGTACGTTCTTGAAATTTCGAGATATTCAGCGAACTTTTTCTTGTTTCTAATCTGACATGGGCAAACTATGGCCTTCGGGCCAAATCCGGCCCGTTGGGTAAATCAACCTGGCCCGCCTGATGCTGTCACAGCCAAACTAAAATCAAATTTTGATGTTTAAGCTGAAAAATATTTCAAGGAATTTTTGTTGAGATTGTGATTAGTTTTGATGTTTTAGATGTTAGGCGGCCACAACAAATTGGTGACCTGCATCTGGTGATTAATTAATGTTAAATTTAGCATTTGGAAAATTGTGTATTAGATGCAAGTAAAGCGGGCCATGCTAATGTAGATTACGTAGAGACAACCACAATGTTTTGTTACATTCTTGTACATTTCTTATTAAAGCCTGTCATGTTTTTTGAAAGTTCTACGTATTTTTTGAGATGTGGGAACCTGTTATTAGGGATTTCGATACAAAAGAGAACCCGTTCTCAAAATTTTGAATACAGTCACTGGTACTCCCATAGTATGTGTACCAGGTTAGGGTTAGGCCATAATTTTATTCCGATTTTCCCCATTTTAGTTCTATTACGAGTTCGGGGACTGTGTGTGTTAGCCAAGTGAATATCCCCGGCCCATAGGTTTCAGTCCCTTTACACAACTTGATGTAAAGTATCAAACAAAATTAGTTACTTCTATATTGGTACACGCACCTTTGGAGCGCCCAGTCACTGTATATTACCAGCTTTGACATGGCAGAGAATATAAAATCTTTTTTTGGCAAAGTATGAAGCTGATTATAATTGATTTACCTTTGATGTATCGTTTACTGACAATGAGACTGCTTCACTTATTACTTGCGTGATTCCAAATGATGTTGCCAGCCTGTTCACAAAAAAGAGGATTTGTTTCGAAAATTTATTCTAATAGTGTTAAGATTGCATACTTATTATTATTAATAAGCTATATGGTTGTTTAATCATATTTTGTTTGAGTTTCGAAATCCTGGGGTTTGTTTTTCCATTTTGTACTGTGATGTAACACCTACATTTAAAACTTGTTTTCATGAGTTTAACTCAACTTCTGCAAAATATCAGATATTGATATATCAGTCATAATTTACTTCAATAGGGTTTTGTTATGTAATTCGCCATTGTTCTGTTTTTATTTTGAAGGTATTCACCTGGTTTCATACTATGTAAAGTAGTATAGATATGCTATACAACATACACTAATATCTTTCTTTATTAAAACTTGGAAGTATTCAGTGTATGAAGTTACCAATATCAATAATTAATTAAATTCTCTCAGAAATATCCTTGAGCAATTATGTACTGACCATATTGTTATTGAAAAGAAAGTTTCAAAATTTTCATTCTTCATCAAATATAACAACATGATGCTTGTTATTCTTTGTGTGATTGTCAGTCCTGTTTGTACTTTTGGATTACATCTCTGAATGAAAAATATGAGATATAATAATCTTACTTTCTTGTTGCTGATTTATATTTAATAATAGCTTGGATCCATAATTGACTGTAGATTTTTGCATTGTAAAAGTGTCGAATTGTAAATAGTGTAAAAAAAAATTTTTTTCAATTCAGAAAGACTCGAAAACACTTGCTCTTAGGACTTTGAAAGTTTTTGTCTTTAAATGTTCCTGAATTATTATTCTATGTACGGCTATTTTTACGTTTTTATTTTAACATGGTGCAAGTGAGATTTCAGGACTTTTCTATTTGCAATTACGCTAAAATTATCTCAAATTAACTTATGGAAGGAATCGTTTTTAACAATAATTACACCTACTTATAGAACTTATTGCATAAGATTATGCAATCGTATCAAGTTCTAGTATTTTTTCTTTCATTATTGAGTCGTTTAAAAAAATTTCTCACCGAAAATCCGATTGCTGTAATTCCTAATATTACAGTGAGCACCATATGAACGATTGTTACAGTGTACAGTTCACTGAAAAGAATAAATGTTCAATTTATTATAACTATTATATTAGGTAATGAGATCTTATTAAAAAAACTTGCTTAAAATGTTTTCAAGGTGGTCAAGTCCAAAATTTTCACTATGCTGTAATTAGAAATGGCTTTTCGTCCTTTATGATTGAGCCTTTTATATTTGTTTGCCTCAAATATAATGTAAGTGATATATATTTTGATTGTTCACATTTGTAGCCTTGTGTGGACATGGTTTATTGAAAATGCAGCAAGCCAAAAGCAAGTTGCTAACAAGGAAGATCCCAGTTTATTGTAGAATTTTTAATTTAGTCAATATAAAAACATTTTGTTTTAACAATGCATTCATGTAAATTTCTTTACCTGTGCGATTCTTTCCATGTTTCCTCACTGAATGTGTTGATGATGATCTGATATGCAGTAGCGGGAACACAAAACAACAAGTCCAATATTGCGAACAAAACAATCGCGTATTCTGGGCAACATGTTACATCCAATGTTTGACCCCTGAAACATTGAAAAATTCTGAAATTTAATATGAAATATTTTTATATACCCTATACCTGAATGTTTTCTCTATCATATTAGGATACATTTACGATGATTAATTTATGACAGTCCTTGGTCTTATATATTACCGGTATATTATTTAATCGTACTTTATAATAATGAAAAGTTTGGAACTCTGGAAGTTACAGCTAGGAGTTAGAAATTAATAAAAAAAAAGTTAATCTAAAACCAATCGTAATCATAATACTTGTTGTCGAATTTATGCTAAGTCATTTAAATTGGAATTGGACAATCTAGATAAAAGTTTGATTTCAATTAAATCAATTAATTATCAACAATCTAACTATTCCAAATTTATATTGGTAATTGAAATTTCAATGCCATTAAACGTGTTTATTTTACTGCTAAATGGTATTATACTCATCCTATCAATTCATATTAATTGCAAGTTAGAATCCTGTAATGTATACCTGGTAATTATTTGGATATCCTTATTTGTAACTTAGTTTTAGATGCGTTACCTTATAGACTTCAAATATCCAAACGTATACTTCATCTTTGCTTGAAATCTTCTTATATGTCGTGTTACGTTGCAAGATTGCTATCTAACAATTATCTAATAACACTTCTGCGAATTTCAGCAAAAAGATTGTTTAGATTTTAGTTTATTGGTAGTTTTCTGTGGTAGATCTCTTTACAAATGACATTTCAAACAGGTACAGGCACAGATTTTAATATGTAAGATACAAAAGAACTAAGCTTTTTCTTTTTTTATACATACTCTCAATTATGATATTATAGACATGGGGATCCACCTGGTTCAGAACTGAGTAAGCCACCTCTAATGAAAACACAATAAATCATTTGTGACACAATGGCAATATACATTGCCAATACTGACTCAGATTTGGTGTACATACTTGAATAAAAATTCATATTCTGTTTCTGGTTTTAAACTTATTTTAGGTGAATACAATCTCTGATAGGTTAATCAGAAACATTTCCTGTTTATGCTACTCTTTGCTTTGTTATATGTGAGGTTACTTTCTCTTTTTAAAACCTCATTATTATTCTTTCGTACTCAGTCATTGTAATACAATATCTGTCCTTTAAATCCCTGCTTATTTGATATCTTGAAACAATACATTGTAGGCCTTGTCAAGTATGATTCGAATATATTTTTTTTCTGTGGTCATAGTTTGATCTGAATTACTTTGTTTATCTATACCAATTTTTAATTTCTATTTAATTAAATCACAGTTGGACTCCTTTATATTAAACAAATGCCGATATTTTTAATTATGCAAAATACATAACATTTCCACAATATACCTGCAGTTAAATGTGATCAAATTCAAAATCAATCATACTCTAAAACCCATTATATTAAAATTAAGATGATCAAAATTGATATTTTACTAAAACAATTGCTGATTTTCATTCAAAATAATTATTGTTGTAATAATTCTTAAGAAATTGCAGAACAAGTCATTGTTTTGGACTTTTGGTGAAACTATTGACTATGCGCTTTTATTCAAAATAATTCAGGTAATCATTTTCCTTTTTCATGGCAAATAAAACATTTACATGTAAATTCATTCGTGTATCAAAATTTAGATTCAGAATACTGGTATTTAAAATTGAAATCCATTGTAAGGTAAAATTCTAGAACACCTGGCCATTCTCAGATATATGCAGACTTGTATCCTGTTGTAAAATTTTACACTAGCTTTAATTGCAATTCTATTATACTAATATTACTGTGAAAGCTTTTCGTTAAATCATCATGTTTTTCAAAACTAATAGTAACAGTATAGCTCATAGTATCACAAAGTTTAACTTTATTCAAAAATATTTTACGAGTCTCAATAGAGGTGGTGCATGTTGAACAATGCTTTAATTAGCTCCATGGCTAATTAATACAATCATAAATTCATAATATTATGCATTTTTATTCTAATAATATTTAGCCTTGGATATCAATTGCTAAAAATGCTGCATGCTGCAATTGTATCAGTTTATCCAAAAATTTAGGAGTATTCAAGGAACCCAATTCAATATGCTAGACTTCAAAATTCTAAATGAACTATGATAATTTTCCAATTTGTATCTATATTCTATATTTATAGTACCTACTCCTGAATTGCTGACTGATAAATTCTTGATGTATTTCTACCATATGAGATGACACTGTGTTAGTTACACCCATCTAAACTCCCTGTGTTTGGTTACTCATTTACTAACTCAGTGTTTGTTCAGGAACTTTATTATTAGTGTTCATTAGAAAAGGTCCCTGCGCAGAAGTTTTTTTTTTTTCAAAATATGCCCATTCATATTCTACTAACATTATGTACATAGGTCCTATTTTATGCCGAAAATATTTAGCTCAAACATAATAAAAATGCATGCTGTGTTTATTGAACACAAATAATTATAAAAATGTAATTTAACACTTAAAATTACAAATAAAGATCAATATATGAAGAATTATGTTCTTGAATGATATAAATAAAAAAAAAAAAATGAGAATCTCATTATTCAAGTATACATTGCTAGTAAATGGTAATAATTAAAATTTGGTGTGAACAAATCCACAAAGATAAATATTTAATTTCTTTCATTTTCATTCATAGTTTCGATTATTTCCTGTTATTCTCATCCATAAATTTCATTATTCAATATTTTATAATTGTGAATAATTACAGCTACATGTAAAATATCAAACTATCCTGATATTCAGATACTAATGTATTGTCAACGCAACCAATACCAAATTGCAACCAAATTTTACGATTAACCTTTCTTTCGTAGCATAAGTAATCGATAAAAACAATGTTATTGCTAAGGAGTGGTTTATATTCTACATGATTTACATTTTGTTTTGACTATGTACGTTTTAAAATAAATGAATGAAATAGATTGTGTCGTATATTTTGTGGTATTCATCAATGCAAATCACATAACATACCGCCGCAGGGATGGCCATTTCCGAATACTAAACTATTCCGAATACATTCTAAAATAATGTTTTCGAATCTGGAATTCCGAATACATTCTAAGATCAAAAATAACACATTTTTGTTTTAGTTGATTAAAACCCAGTAAATTAGGAAATAAGATTCAATAGAAATATCAGAATGAAGCCACAAACCAACAGTATATGTACACAAAGTAATTGATAGTTCATAGCTATCAATAAAAAATAATAGCAACTTGTGACACAGTCAGTTTATTAAAATTATTCATTTTGTACAAATGACCATATGAAAAGATAGCCAAGGAGTTGTCTGACGCTTTCTATCATTGGTACCATGATATTACGATAATAGTCGAGTCTATTGACAAAAATACTACTTGTATTCAGATAATTGTGTATATTTTCTGAGAGTAATAAAATTTATTGGCAATACAGGCAACAATAATCGAAAATCTATTATGCCTTTAAAAATTCTAATATTTAAGCCTAGAGTATTCTACTACCTACCAGTATATTTGTATATAAATTTATGTGAACCATATTGTTATTATGTGTAACATATTGTTGTGTTTGGAGTTAGAAATAAATTAGTAGAGAATAGATGACCACCACTGCCAGCGCGCAGCCAGGATTTTCGAAATCGGAAATTCTCATTGCCGCCTGTAACACCCACCGCGATTCCGCGCTCGTTAAAAGAGCCGTCTTGTCAGCGTATAATGATCATTCTGTTACGTAAAATATTCAATCCATGACAACTACGAGATTCTAAAATATCTTTATATATTAATTTAATGTGTCCAACATAACTCGCGGTTGCTTCTTCTTACGTCAAAAAAAAACATTACTATTCGGTCCACGGCAATCTGTGACCTAAAATTACGAGATAAACTGCTTGATGTATTTAATTTCAATATGTATTTTTGCAATCTTGCCAACTCGTTATCGCCGTTAGAAAAATCTCAAATAATTATATAAAATCCTGTTAAGTGTAGAGAATAATTCATTTCATACAATAAATATACATATAAAGTTTAGCAGTAAATTAAAAATACATATTCATCGCCGCGATTATGCCACCTGTTAAAAGAGTCGACTTTTACAACAAATAATATAACAACGGTCAACGAATATATATTTTTCTGTTGTGCAAAGTGATGAATTCGTGACCGACACTGGCATATTTAAAATGTCTTGCTCTTATTAATTTAATTGTCTTCAATTTAACCTGCGGTTGCGTCGACAAAATAAAATCCTCACCACTCTTATATACCATTGCAATCCGCGGCCATAAAAATAAAAACGTGAGGTAACTGTCCGATTAAATATTGTTTTTATCCGTATTTTGCGAATTCGGCAAATATTTAACAGTGACTCCGCTCGATCGAAATGCTCAGAGTAAAATATCTCAGAGTAAAATTTATTTCATCACAATAAAATTGATTGAATATACTTAAGATTAATTATATTATATACATCCTCACAACCCGGGAAAAAGTCGCGTTTCAAACCTTGTATCGTGTTAACCCGAAAATATTCGACGGCATATTAAAGTAATGGATAATCAGGCAAATCCCGCCCTCAATTAGTGACGATATGTTTCTATACCCCGACCAAACATAATGTGTGCCAGAGGCACACGAAATTTTGCGATTTTCACTGCCTAGAAAAGCGTTTTTTAAATTTTCGCGGGCCTCAATAAAACTTTTGTTGTTTACCGTTTTATTTTCAGTATTTTAAATTGCCGCTTTTCAGTCAGAAAGTTGCGTTGTCTTTAGAAACTCGCCGCCGATGAACGCATTTAGCAGATTCACAATTCCGTGCGCGTACAAAAATAAAATAAATGTTATCGTTATCGTGGAACAAATTTGTGGAAAATTTTCGTTTTAGAGAAAATAACACAATCGTAAAGGCGTTTACGGCCTAAATAACACGTTACGCTGATGAGTGATAAAAACAATCACGCGCAAGTTTATATCGAGAATGTTTTCATTCAACGGAAACGTCTTGAAAGCGGCGTCGAAAATGTGTGACGTCACACAAATATCCGATATTCTTATGAACGTGAATTCCGATATTCGAATGACGAGATATTCGAATACATTCGAATACTTTATTCGAATTGGCCATCCCTGCATACCGGGCCAGTAAAAGTTTATGGCCATAATATGAGATAATTCACAATTGAGTTTTCATATTCTACTCGAATTAAAACTTGGTCTGATGATGTGAGTTTTGAAATAAATACAGGATATTCGATACTCCCGTAGTATATGTACCAGGTTAGGGTAAGGCCATAATTTTATTCCGATTTTCCTTATTTTAGTTTAGTTCTAATACGAGAGGGGACTGTCTGTGTTAGCCAAGTGAATATACCCCATGCCCATAGGTTTCAGTCCCTTTACACAACTTGATGTAAATCAGGCAAACAAAATTAGTTATCTCTGTATTGGTACACGCACTTCTGGAGCGCTGGATATTATGTCTTACATTCCTTGACATAATGACATAATACACATTTATGACTGTATAGACCAGCAAAGTTCATGGCCATATGAAATAATTCACAATTTGCTGACAGGCTTATATTATTGCTACCTTGCAAAATATTTCCAATCTACTCAATATACTGCAATACTATTAAAATTACACAGAAATTTAACTCTTGTTTCATAGTTTGTATTCTTCAACATCTTTATATTTTTTCGTTTTTAGGAGAATGTTATTGCCAGTCCTGATTTTCGTTCTGAAGAATTTTATATCCGTAGAATCCATGGGTTGGTTACAGATTTGATTGTAAATATGCCTTTGAAGGTAAGAATTTTTACTCGAACCTTTTTGACTCTTGTATTAATTAGTACTTAGGTTACTAAGGCTTATAGCACCTTGCTTGCCTATAGTATATAGAATTTACTTTCAGTAATTCTTGGCCTTTTGCCACATGTATCGTACATATTTGAGTTATTTAATATTCAAATATCAGGACTTTATAAAAACTATATCATTGTATTCTTGCCTTGTTAGTTATGCTGCTAAACTCACATACTTTTTGTGTAAGACAATGTTGCATGCTTTTGTAAGACCTGATGAAATATTTTAAGCATTTTTCCAACTCCCTTTTATTTACTTGTTTCTCAGGTGAAAGAAATGCGTAACCGTGGTGACGAAGTTGCTCGGATATTAATGCTTCATATCATGCAACAGGAAGATCCTCCTTTGCTGAGAGAAGATTTCAAACATGTTAGTTCATTTCAATTTCATTGTTTGGTATTTTCATCACCTTATCTTTCTCTGGCTGAATTTTTTGAGGCCTAACTATAGGCCTATTATTTCCAACAATGCATGAGTTATCCATAAATTCTATTGGTATCAAGTTCATATAAAAAGATTTGTTTGATATACTTTACCTCAGAGATATCTAAACTCATACGATGCATTTACTTTTTGTGTCAAACTAGGATGCGTTAGAAAAAAAAATTGCTACTAACATTTGGTTTATGAGGAAATGTTTTATAAGCTAAGTTGGTCATGGGGACACTTGTTTTGCGAACATAAGCCATCAATATAAATTTCAATATCACCAATATTCTGAACCGGTCACCGGTAAATCTCATTTTTTTTGTCATGTCTCAATAAATGTGGGCAAATAAGAATTTCTTTGGAAATGGATTGGTATTTCATGATGCACAGTGCACACACAGTTTAGGAATCACTGCTTTTTAATGACAAGCTTTTTCCTCTAGTTCATGGAACTTATCACTGCATTATACGGAGAAGATGAAAATGATCTTCAATTATCAATGGATTACTGGTGTCCTGCTTCAGAAAGTTTTCAAGCTGGAAACACATCTCAGATTGGTGGCTCATTCCTTGGAACAAGTAGACTTAATCAAAGGTTGCCTCAACGACAGGTAATTTGAAATCTTTCATTCATTGGCCACAAAGAGGGGCGTGTAGTAGGCGAGATCTGAAAGATTGAATCTTTTATTATACTTTTTTTATATAAGATTTCTCTTTAACCAAGTGCCACATTTTTCCTTCTGTACATATGCATGTTTTCTGAGCAATTTTCATACTTAAATAATTGGTATATGAATTCTCAAAAACATTAGCTAAATATGGATTGTAAATGTGTATTAGCCATTAGTACTGGTTCATACACAGTGATTTAAATACGCAATCCTATATAAATTATGGTTCTAGCCGTCTGTATTCAGAAAGTACCTTGTTTACGGAGCGATTGGACCAAACACCTGTCTTTTATTAACTTTTAAAAAGCGATGGATTGCTTAGGCCTTGAAGAATTAGCTAAGATATCAAGCTATTACTCTCATAGAAAACAATCCTAAACTAAACTGGTTCTTGTAGTTCTATTTTGCTCGATTCACTAAGCACTGTAATTATAGTTTAGCAATGGATCAGATATTTATATTGTCACAAATGATTTTTTTAGCACTATTTATGATGTCATAAATATTTTCTGCAAAATTTGTGATAGTTTACGTCTGAAGATCATTATTGATCCAATGATGACATTTTTATATCAATGATGCATATTTTATGATATTAGATTTTGCAGGTATATAAAAATGATTCATTTGTAACTTTTGCATCCAGTCATCTTTTTGCAAAATGTTGTTAATATTTTTTGGTGATACACTCACTAAAGTAAATGCACATCGAATCAATTGCATGTTGAAAAATCTGACGGTCTGCCTTTGGTATGCCCAAAGTAACTAGTCAAGTGTTAAACTAAAATCCTTTATGCAAACCCTTGGGTGTGGTAAATTTGACGTTCTACTTTCATGAAAAAATTCAGATGCGGTGAAGTAAATTCATATTCGATTATCTCTATAAACTCAAATAGGGGAGTTTGAGTTCATTTCAATTCTGAGTTACTGTGTTTCCCCCGAAAATGAGACGGGGTCTTATTTTCAATTTTCTTTCGAAAAATAACACTGGGAGTGAGGCTTATTTTGGGGGGATTTTTTTTTATTTTCATTTATCAACAAAATTACGAAGTAGATAATTGTGAGATATTCAGTTATACTAAACATGAAAACCGATAACCATTTACCTATAAATAACAGAATTTTATTCGAAAAAATTTTGCGCTATCGACTAGCTCTTATTTTAAGGGTGGGCTTCTATTAATATCATTTTTTAAAATCCAGGCTAGGTCTTAATTTCAGAATAGGTCCCATTTTCGGGAAAACACATAACTTTATTAAATCTTTAAATAATGAACATTTCCTTATTCCATCACTTCTTGTTCTAGGTATCCTTGTTCAAGTTCCTTCGTCAGTCTGGTGATCTTCTTCCACCATTGCTCTACATTCCATATTTAAAAATGTTGTCTGCGTTATCTACTGGATCACACAGTGCTAGAATGGCTTTTGAGATGTTGAGAATGAATGGGGCTAATATGGGTAATTTGGTTGGTCTTTGTTGGTTGGCTGATTAAAGTGTTATATTATTTTCATGTCATAAAAATAACATTGCTGGTGTAACAAGTTAGTCTTTACTCAATGGCTTTTTAATTATAGGTCAATCGATTTCTCATTAATAAAATGATTAATTTGACTTTCAGGAGTGGCCTCTGAAGGAAGCAATGTATCTTGGGATCATTTCTTTCAGTCCATGAATCGTTATTATACAAATTTACGAATGGAACAAACGCAATCTGGGCATATTGTTTCGACACTTGGTGCAGTATCAGGACAGAACATTACACAGGTAAGGCAGTAGTCCAAAGATGATTTCTTATTCACGGTAATCATTTTTAGCAGCTCCAAGAGGTTAATCTCACATCTTATGTTTTAAAATCATTTTTCACATACAAGGTTTCATTCGAGCGTATCTAGTTTACTTTGTCCATTGTCAATACCGCAACAAAATTTTCACAGATTAAGATATTTCAGGCTCAACATTGCCTATCTCATTTGCCATGTTATCAGATTCAAGAGTAAAGTGAAAAAGTGTGTTTTTGAATTTCAAATAGGCTACATCCCTTTTTTGTTAATTACCATTTTCGGCGCTCCCGTAGTATGTGAACCAAGATGGCGGACACTGGAACGTAATATTTGTACCAGATTAGGGTTAGCCCCGAACTAGTAATAGAACTAAAATGAAGAAAATTGGGATAAAATGAGAGTACCCCATTTTCACATTGAATTCTTAATTACATTAACTTCACAAATTTAAATAAATTGTGCTTTGTCGAAAATCTTTTTAATGTAATACTATAAGATATACAGAGCCTCGTTCAGAGGATTAGTGACTAAAAAGTTGCAGAAATTGACATGCAATATAATAATTTCTTGTTTTTCAGGGGCATCATCATCATACTATGTCGATCACACCACAAGAAGTTGAAGGCTTGAGAGCTGTGCTGCAGTTACTTGCTAAGATTACTCAATATGTAAGTTCACTTTCTACTTTATTCGTGGCCAAAATGTTTTATTTTTGGTGTATTAGGTTTTTTGTGCCTGAAGAATCAAACCATGTCAAAATCTGAATAAATCACAATGGAACTTCATGAGCACTAAATAATCTGAAATAGCATGCCCTTCTTATATTCATTTATCATAATCCTAAGGCAAATGTTTTAATAACGCCTTCCATTTATATCAGAGGGAGAGATCCTCTGGACATGCCTATTTAGTATAGCTCACTGAAGCACCTAAAAATTATCGATGTTTTAAGAATCCTTATTTTTAAATCAATTATCAATTGTGGCAATCTAGGAACAATGTATTCTGCTCATTCAGTCTAACATCAATACTGAGTGAGCTGAATGGGACTGAATAATAAAAACAATAAATTTTCCTAAAAATTGCTAACTGTGCAACAGTCGCATATTCGCAGAGAATTTAAACACACATATATGAGTCTAAAGTATTACCAGTATTACAAGTATTACCATAGGTTTCATAAATTATTGAACTTTGTACTAATGAGCTATTTCTTTGGCACTCCCATAGTATGTGAACCAAGATGGTGTACACCGAAACGTAGTATTTGTACCAGGTTAGGGTTAGGCCATAATTTCATTTATAATTTGTTGATTTCATGTAGATACTACGGGAGTTACTTGGCTAATCCCCAAACTTGTAATAGAACCAAATTAAGGAAAATTGGAATAAAATTATGGCCTAACCCTAACCTGGTACACATACTATGTTCCGGTGTCCGCCATCTTGGTTCACATACTACGAGAATCCTTTTCTTTAGTATATGTAGTATAAGTATGTAGGGTAGGGGTACCAAAGGGCAATTGGATGCCTTTTTAAAACCACTGCTTTAGGCCAATACGTCTGCAATATTTAACAGAATCCTATGTTGCCGACTAGCGCTCAGGCATAAAAAAAATTCATTTATTAATATATTGTCTTTCCAGGATGACATTGCTTGTCTCACAGTATATGAGCATCCACATTGGAATGCATGTGGAGGATTACTTGGTTTGCTACAATGTCCTGTCCCTGCTGTATTGAAAGGAGATGTGTTACTTGCACTGAATCAACTAGCAAGAATGCCAGAGATTGCAGTTGGACTTCTTCATGCTTTCGAAAGTGCAATGATTATGGAGGCACAAACTGGTAGGATTTGAAATATATGTTTTGTTGGATAGAAATTATACAAGGTGGTCGCCGAAAAAGCAGTAAATTTGCCAAACAGCTATTTTTATTTACAAAGAATCACTTTCACACAGTTTTTCAATGGCTTATGTTATATAACAAGGAATATTACAAAAATCAAATTGTACCTAAAACTAAAAGGTATTAACCTAAAACAACCTAGAATCTAAAAGAAATAAAAACGTATTAAAAAAAGAAATGAGTAAGCACGCATCTCCCTGTATTTTACCAATAGTCATACTCATAGTCATGCAAATATAAATTCATTTTATTGGACTTAAAGTCGTCCAAAACTTTGATACCGAATTCAGAAAAGTTTTCTGAAAAAGTCTGGTGTTTTCAAAAGTTATGTAACTAATTCATTTAAAACAAACTTTTAGGCTATAAAAATGTGTTTGGCATCAACTAACGCAGAGTATGTAAAGTGGGTACCGTACCACCTTGCTCTCAGTATTTTGTTTATCAATTTATATGCTCTTTCATTTTACTGCAGCGGCTGATATCAATTCCTTTCACTTAATCAATACCTCATATCTATACATTATTTTGTTTCAGGTTCAACATCAACAGGCCGAGCGATTGAGATTGAATTAGAAGAAGTGGAATCAAGAGAAGAACAATATCACATGACTTGCTCTTTTCTTAAATTCCTTTGCACATTGACTGATGCCAGTAATATTGTCAGGTTGGACATATTTTCAAATTTTCATCTTAAAAATCTTGTACTAATATTGCGGCCATTATGTGTGATAAGTATATGCAAAAAATGTAAGGATTTAGCTGCTTAGGAATATATTAATTGCAAATTCTAAATATAATAAAATACTTTATTAAAATCTATTTTATATCCAAATATTTATTGAATAGTTTATTTATGTATTCATGAAACGGAAGCAAGTCTTATTTAAAATTTGGCATCAATAGCTTAAGTGTCAAATGTTACTGAAATTGGATTAGGCAGAAAAACCAACCAAGCCAGTTCAACATGGCTTTTTAGAATTTACAAAAAACTTCATACTCCAAAATAACAATTTGAAATTCATTCTGGGTGGCAACTCGCAAGTTAATCGATTTGACCTTCACTCAAATAACTAATTTCAAGTTGAACAATATAATGGTATATTTATTTGATTATGAGTATATAAAACTCAATGATAAATATTGTTGTACATCCATTGTACAACCATCCATTGTCCATTGTTTTGCATTGTATGATATTACTCTTGAGAGGTACTCTTGAATTGTATGTTACTTTGAAATATTCGAAATATCAGTTTAATTTTTTTTGTTCACTTTTTTTTCAGTTTCACAGCAACATCTCAGTCATCGGGATTTGAACCTTACTTGAGATTTGCGATTGAACTTGTGTTTCTCAAACTCATGACGAGATCTTATAAAAGTGTTGAAGAAAAATGGGAAGTAAGGACATTCTATTTCATTGAATCACATTATATTTTGCCACTTGCACTCAATTTTGTCAAAGATTTTTGTCATTTATACTCGATATATATCAAAATAATGAGTAGGTTTCAAAATGATTTAGGATGCTTTAATAATAGACACACAACTGGAGGGGCTGCATGCATGATAGTAGATTCTAATAGTCTTTGTAATTAAATGTTCTAAACTCTACATGACTTTGGTGAATATTCAAACTGTGGCAATTATAATTCTAGGATGTCACATTATAATTTGTCAATCAATGTTGATGCAATCATTATTTTGGAGCTGCTGCATTGCTTTTCGAGTGATACCATTTGTGATGAATAAATCATTTATATTGTATAGCCTATTGTATAATATAATTGAAGTGAAGCAAGATAAATTTAAATTAATGCATAATGATAATTTCTCGAGATATTGCCACACATATTTGTAATCAATTGCATAGATTATTAAAAACATGAACCAGATGACATATTGCAATTATACTGTCTCAATAACGCCATTAAAAAACAATTGAGTAGACACACGATTATCATAACAATTAAAAAGTTGCTTAAAATCAAATTACAATTGCCACTGGATTACTCTTGTAAGACATCGTAATTGTATACTTTGTAGCAAGCTACAATATGCATCTAGATTTAACCCATACTATCTAATTTGTAGATTGCCACATATTCTTTGAAACTTTTTGCAAAGCTACTTTCTCAATACCTTCCTCATCCTGAAGATTTTCTTCCAGAGAAAAGAATTTTGGAATCTGGATTTGCTGCTCTTGCATCACAGGTGAACGACTTTCTACCTCTACATGTATTTGTGTCCTTATAATTTGAATTACAATGACAGTATTGACCAACCCATTAACACTCTGGGTATATAGCCTGATGAAGCTTCTCTACCAAGGGTTTACTTCAATTAGAGCAGGGGTTCTCAACCTTTTTTCTGTCAAGTACCCCCCGAGTCACGAAACAATCATCGCCACCCCTGGTAATCTGACACCGAACAAAGTTGTGATATACTGATATTTCAACTAACAATTTGTTGCAACACCAATTTATTGACCATATGTAACTAAATTAAATCGTCTTGTTGATATTATTGCCTTTGTCGTCTGCCTAACTAATGAATTCCTAAAATCCAATGCTCGGAGCACGCTGTCTTTAGAGATTTCACAATTTGTACGCAAAGCCTTGAATTTCACATTGTTGCAACATAATCACAACAACGCAAGATCGGGGAAAATGTACGTTTCAACGTCAACGTCTAGTTTTAATGGGCACGCATTTTCCCATGGTAGTAATAAAGGATATTAAAAAACAGCAACATATAAAAACTTGAATGTTATCCAAGTACCCCTGGAAATCTTTTCGTGAACCCCTGGAGTTTCGCGAACCCCAGGTTGAGAACCCTTGAATTAGAGTATTACAGTGAGTCACAAAATTTCCTCAAGATAACGTAACCCACTTGGCTTGCAATTTCTAATCTGACATGTACTGGTATTTGTCAAGACACTGCCATCACATAAAATGGACCTAAAATTGATTGGTTTATTTTCACTAGACAAGAGAGGTTACACTCAATTATGTTTTATGTAAACTTACTCATTTTTCCACATTTGTACCTTGACCCAAAGGTTAGATAGTTTAACGTATGTTGGCATAGCAGGTTAAAGATCTCTGGTTCAGATCGAACCTGTGTTCTCGACCTCACCCTGAGTGTAATAAATTGGGTAATCAGTATTGCACCCAAAAGATTCTGTTCCTTCTATAAATGGTATAGGTACTCCCGTAGTATGTGTACCAAGTTAGGGTTAGGCCATAATTTTATCCCGATTTTCCTTATTTTAGTTCTATTACGAGTTTGGGGCCTGTCTGTGTAAGCCAAGTGAATATACACCCTGCCCGTGGATTAGTTACCTCCATATTGGTGCACATATTTCTGGAGCAGTGGAAAATGTCATTGATTGTATACTTTTTAAAAAAAGCAGATGCGATAAATCTTTGATTTTTTTATCAATAATTCGAATTCCATCCCCTAACCTTATTACATTACCAGGATCCTCTCAGTATTTCAATGAATTCATCACTCGGAGGTTTCAACACATCAGCATTCCAAGGTCAATCTCGAATCCAAACTCAGACAAGTAATAAAGCACCTGGATATCATATCATGATTCATATCATGAATGAAGGAAATTTTTTTAAAACTGTAAGTTCACTTTTTCTGCTGAATTTATACATATGAAGGATTGCTTTTCTATAGGCTACTCTGGAGTAAAGATGTTATTAAAGCAGCTCATGCAAAAAAATATCTGAATAAAGCACTAAAACTGTAATGGCAAAAGGTTGTATACTAGTAATAAGTAATAAAAAACACTCAAAACAGGCAATTCCAAATACCTGACTTTAGTAATTTATTAATACTTGTGTTTCAGGTAATGGAAGTAATTGAAAACTGCATCTCATACTTGGATAGATATAACGTCAATAAAACATTGGAAAAACAATTAGTTGAAGCTGGATTGGCTGCATTGTATTTGATTCAAATGACTCTGGATCTGCAGGTTCTTTATTTATTAACTATTACCAAATTTGTAAACATTATTTCAAGTTTCCCAAGATGTGTAATATCTTTTTATGAAACGTTATTTCAAGGCTCTCTAGCAGTACACAAGAGGATTTGTATTTTAGGTATTGAGCTAAACTAAGTAATGATTTGTTGCAACTCGTGCTAAATAGTTTAAAAATAACAATCTGTTACTGTTCATCTACTCCACATACGCGTTATGCTCAGTACCTCTTGCCCAAAGCTCTGCACAACGCTACAGGCAGTTCTAGAAAAATTCGTCGCAAGAGCATTTAGCTGTAAAACAAGTATTTGTGATAAAAACAGTTAGTTTTTTTATGTACCTTTTTATTTAAAAAAGATTTGTTATTTATTAGGGCTTATCTTAATCATGCGACGAAATTTCCTGCTGCGAATTTTCCGGACACGGCTACAGACAACACGAAAAATTTCAGTTCAACATAAATAACTATTTGTGTATCAGAGTATTATTCAGTATTGAAAACATATTTTTTTCTTTCTACATGCATGCCCTGTTTCACTCTTTTTATTTATATATTTTTTCCAAACAGGAATCTTTCCTATCAAGTATGAGAGAAAGTGGGAATCCAGTCCTAGTGAATACTCTTGATAAATTGTTGCTCAGCATTAATCCAAGAACTGGAAAAGCAGATTATATTGTAACAATCACAAGGTATATATAATCGATTAATGTCAGTGCCAGGCATGTCCAAAATATATCTAATATTTTTGTCAGATTCGAAATTATTTATATTTAATATTTTAAGTGATAAAATTTTATTTTATTTAAATAAAATTCATTTTGAGCAACTGAATTTCTGCAGAATGACCAGAATTGCCCTAATTTAAATTGTGAAAACCATAAAAAATATAGATGATTATCTTCTAACTTTCTTCTATTTCCAAACTGAGAAAAAATATTCTAGTGTTGCTGAGAGGGTTACACCGACACACTGTACTAGTGCTGAATGCCCTATATTTTTACACAAAAAATGAAAGCAAAGGCATAGTATGTCGATAACTTATCATTTAAGCGATAACTAGTCGTCAAAGTATTTTGCACTGAAATTAAGATGCCGAGACCCGAGGGTTAATTTAATTATTAATTAATTAACCAATTTCAAAATTCAATCATTACATTTTGTCTCATCTCATTCATTTATTTTAGATTTGTTACTCACAATCTCACCCATCCTCAACTCTCGCTTTCTGCTTGTGAGATTATCTCATGTTTATGTCGCATATCGAGTGCAACTCATCGGGAAGTTTTCTCTATGATAACATCACTTGGTAACTCACAAACTCGAGCAAAAATACTTCATGGTTTTGTTGAAGCGATTGAATCTGGTCAACCAGAAATTGATGAAGAGTCTGGAGAAGGTAATTGATTTCTATTCTCTATAAAATAGCTGTAAAGTTGTCTAATGGTACAGTATATTTGGTGTATAGCTGGCATAATGGTCTTGCGCAGTGGTTCTCAAACTTTCTAAGCCATGCACGTTGAAAATAATCAATAGAGAAATGTAAATATCCAAAATAAAGTGGGGAAGATCAAATCTAAAAAATATTTTTATTTTGAATTAGCTTCACGCCCCCTCAAAATATTGCCAATGCCCCCTTTGTGGGGCACGCCCCACCGTTTGAGAACCACTGGTCTAGCGGTTGAAACGTTGAATTCAACTGTGCTGTCATTGCAGGTTACACATTGCCTTCAAGCAGTTCAGAACAGTGTATATTATATTACAAAGTTTCCAGAATCATTTTATGAAAAGCTCTCACAGTAGGCAGTGACATGTTTTCACTGTGTTCATGGCTGTCGGAGTCGAAATTTTGAATTTCCAAAGTTAAAGTTGAAATTTTATATCCTCAATGATGAAAGTAAAACTCTTCTCCACTTAAACTCAAAAACCATTATTTTTCTGAGAATTCTTACAGTTTATGAAAGAAGGTTTGCATAAATCAAAGTTTTTGTTATCAAAATGTGAACTTTATTTGCATATCCAAGTTGTAGTCGATAGTAAATTTCCCAGACTCCACATACCTGCTTGGGGTGCACGACTGAACCTCCATGACTATTTATTTATAAATAAGTTATTCATTCTCCAAAGTATCAGCTGCATTATCTTATTAAATCACTTATCCCATATTGACAATAATTTGAATTTTCCTCTATTTTTTAGAATCTGATCCATCCACTGTCTACAACAGTAAATGTAGATTAACAGTGTTGAGATTACTACTGCATTGTATTGATCAACCATCACCTAACCTTGCTCATTTCTTACTTGGATTCAACATTTCTAAACCTATCAACAAAGCCAGCTTGCAGGTGACAAATTTTTTGTTAGTTTTGTTTTTCAAATTGTCTTTTTTCAAAATTTACTGTATACCATAAATAACAAAATTATTGATATCAACTATTATAATACCTTTATCAGTTTGAATGAGGCCTAGTAATAATTTTCTTTTGTACACATACCTTTTGTTTATACCACATTTTCTATTTTTCTTGACTTTGTACAAGGAGTTATATGTATATTGTTGTTATTATGTAAGACTGAACACCAACAGATCAAGCCTGCATGTTTTCTACTTAAATTAGAAGTACCACAGGTGAAATCCACCATTGATGTGCTATCCTTAAACGTATAAACTAAAAAACATCAGTCGAAATTTGGCTTGTCAAGTTCACTTTGACAAACAACCAGCCAGGTGGCGACTAATTTGGGAAAATTTAGCACAGAAACACTTTAGAAATTGAGATCCCGCTGATTCATAATATCATCTATATCTCAATGCTCACAAATTTTGTACGCAAAGTATAAAAAGGCTTTATAAAGATGCATCCATTCCATATTCATGAAATCACTCTGGAGTAGCTTTCAAGCTGGAGTACAAAACTTCTTTTGAGCGAATTTGGTACATTAAAAACCAAATCAATGAAGTTAAGAAAATCTAGATTTTTGGAGTGTAGTACCAGGTTAGGGTTAGGTCATATTTTTATTCGTATTTTTCTCATTTTAGTTCTATTACGAGTTCGGAGACTGTCTGTATTAGCCAAGTGAATATCCCCTTGCCCATAGGTTTCAGTCCCTTTACACAACCTGATGCAAAGTAGGCAAACAAAATTAGTTACCTCCATATTTGGTACACACACTTAGCGAACGCCATATTTTTTTCATGAATTATTACTATTTTCGAGATCGACCTATAAACTTCTTAAATTATCCATCCGAATACTTCTGCGCAGGATGCTGGCGTTCTACAGTCACCACGAACGTGTTTACATTCAGTGATATCCATCCTGTCTTATGGTATGGAAACATCAAAGACGTCGACACCAACTCAACCCAACGCAATTACTGAAACTCCTGCATTAGCCGAACTTTGCTTTCAACTCATTTATAAATTAACTGCAAATGTAGAAACAACTGGACCTGTGTTGAGGTAGGCTGTATTCAAATTGTTATACTCATTACAAGTTAACAAAAAGAAACAGGTTATTAATATGCCGAAGTATTTTTTGCGACCCTGATCACAACCCATTGAAGGCTCAACATTTCCTATTCTTATCCTAACCAAGCTTTCATTCCTTTTTGTAACGAGGTTGCTGTCTAATGCTATTGTTACTGGCAATATGTTACATGTGGTTTATTAGTATTGATTAGAATTAGAATTGTATTTGTCAGCTTTATTAGTGGTATTGATCTTTTATTTAAATGCAATTTCCATATATAGGATTATACAAATAATAGTGAATAAATAATGAATAGTAGTGTTGCGTATTCAGTGTGGAATCGACCAAGGTTCGATTATTGGACCCTTGGCCTATTTACATTTTAAAAATGATTTGACGAAATGCTAGAAACTTGAGATTTAATTTTGGGAACTAATAGCCACCTAATAATGATTTGTTGTGATTCATTTCTTCTTATTTCACAGATATCTTCGATCCTCTCATGACTTTGTATTTCGACATCTTCAACATTTACCATTCCAACCTGGTGGTAAGAATTTTATATGTTGAAATATATAGTAGTGATTGTCAAAACAAACCGAATACAAAAAATTCATCTTCAAGTTCATTGATCCTTTCCATAAAATGGATATGGAAAAATCCTATTTCATCTATCTTTATTTCATAGCCTTAGTAGAAGTAATAGACATGTTAGTTCCACAAAATTAATTGCTAGACTGTCAGTCAAAACATAGGAATATTATAGTTAGCATACTTTATTGATTTGTCAAAAAATAAAATAAAACTTTGATCATTCTATACGCTTGATATTATTTGTTCTAAGGTATTGCCAAAGAAAACCAACTGTTATTACAGCAAGCTTGGTTACTGAAAACAACAGCAATAGAATTATTTTCAACGTCTGCAAATCATCAGAGATCACATACACAGAGGCTGATTCAAGTAAGACATTTATCCAATGTTTTGTCTTCTTTGCCGAAAATGTCTGAAACATTCAATAGATAAATTTTACCTGTGGTGTAATTCTTTTGGTTATTCTGTTTGAGGTTTTGTTGAATAACCTAAGTTTTGGATAAACTAAGCAGGTACATAGACAGGGTAGATGATTGCTTTTTGCCAATCAATGTTTCATAACAATATTTTTGTTGAGCATATGGTTGCTGATTTTTTTTTTTTACTTTGTTTTATCCTGGGGCCATTAATGGGTAAAATAAAAATTTTTCTTCATATAATCTCTTCTATTATCATATGTAAGTATTGTAAGCAAGCTGAAACTTGTAGCTAGAACAAACGGTACTCCCGTAGTATATGTACCCAGTTAGTGTAGGCCATAATTTTGTTCCTATTTTTCCTATTTTAGTTCTGTTATGAGTTTGGGGATTGTCTGTGTTACCCAAGTGAATAGGTTTCAGTCCCTTTATATAACTTACCGGTTACCGGTAATGTAAAGTAGGCAACAACCTTCATATTGGTACATACACTTCCAGTGCGCCGAACAAACGATGTGCTTTAAAATATGACAGATAATTGAAGACACTGTTAGTTTTCTATTTATGGTAATTGTTCTTTTGTATTCGATCCTTTTAATGAAATCTCTTCATACACAGATGTTGTTTGACAAACGTTCATCCATATCAGCAAGCTTTCTTGGGGCTTCAACTACGAACACCACGGTTGCAGATTTCACTTCTGTATCTGCCATGCCTTCTTTGAGTCATTCTATACTTGGTGCTAGTGTGATGACAGCAGATACATCTGTGGCAGCGGCAATGACAACAATGAATGCCACGGCATTGAATAACAGCCTCCAACCTGGGCATGAAATGCCACAGATTTTAAGGATTTTGAACATTTTGGATTTTTCACAGGTTAAATTGTTGTTCTTATCGTTTAATGTTAAAGTATGATATTTACATAAGAAAGCTATCACTTGGTGATTAATTACCCTGCGAAAGGTCAAATACTGTGGAGGATAATTGCATTTGAGAATATTACTGGCTTCGCACATAAAGTGGTTCACATCATAGCTCGTCCTTCACCTTCAAATCAATATATCTAAAACAAATATCAGGTTGAATATTCACATATCGGACAAGAGGTCATGGTTCCCTACATATTTCGTCTTCTCCATTTTCCTCTCCATGGGATCAATATGAAAATATTGCCCTAGCCTTGATAGAATCAAGGTAAACAGGTAGAAACAAGTGCTCGGGAGATTACATACTGAAATTGGAAAAATTCAGAGGGTTGAAATTATTATTTCTTTTGGCAGGAGTTTCCACAGCCTCTTGCTTTAGAACAATTTGTTCCAGCAAATGTTGAGAATGCCATACAATCATGTGAAGTTAGAAATGAGCATGGACTCTCTTATTGTGATATAAAGGTAAAAGTAATCAAATACTATGTAATTATTTATTCACTTTTGTATCAGTCACTTCAACAATATCAGCGGTTCCCAAAAAGGGCATTTTTTTCACATAGTTGCGTCGTGAAATTTTGGGAAGCGCTGTCCTATACAAATATAACAGTAGCTTATGACTGGTATGTACTAATAGGACAGTTTATGTGTTTAAAAAGAATTATTCCTAGTTAGATATTGAAAGTTTTGATTTATAAAATTTATTTAGTGATGTGGAAATCACTTTATTCATAATACTAGAATTATTTCCAGCATATCTTTAACTGTAGGTTATCTAACACTATGTGATCTTTATTTCAGGCACTTCATGAGTTATTGGAAGCAAATGTTAATACTTTACAAAGTGCAAATGATGCTGAGAGAAAGTCTCGAGCAATTCAAGAAGTTCAGGTTCATTTTACGTTTTTCTTGGTTCTTTACTTCATAAATTCTATTATTATATTGCAATACAAATATAAAAAAGTATCTCTTTTCTCTAGATTTTTATCTAGATATAGCTACCTATAGTCTTTTTATATGTCGCTTCACATCTTACAGAGCTCTATACAAATAGGCACTGATATGTATAGATAGAAAGCAACCATTTCTGAAATAACCAAGACCCTTTAAATTTCGGCATAAATATCATTCAAGCAGCTCGTTGATATGTATAGATTTTCTCACATTATTAAATTTCTCTGCACAGAATATATTGAAGACTGCTTTGGAAAGAAATCAAACTCGGCAAAGCGTTCATTCCAAACTAGCATTGCTCAATGCATGGAAACATACTTTAGAAGTTGCATTGAATGCTTGTCCTGTTGATTTAATGGGGAAAGAAATAAAACAACAGGTAAGTTCAATGAAACTCTTGTTGCAACATTAAAATTTGCCCTCAAAATATAGGCAATCATGTCTGATGGCCTTAAGGAAATACAGAATAATTGTAACATACCTCACTCGTTAAAGAGAATGTACCCCGAACAAAGCCACCATGAGGCGGCCACTAAAATTCTCAGAGCTAATGACACTATAATGAATTATAGAGTGTGAATTCCACTGATGTTCTTGGAAAATAAATTTTGGCATAGGAGTCAGGAGTTTTGCCACTCTATGTCAATGATTCGAGTTGTACAAACCTAATATCTGTCATCTTTGAGTTGACTCTGAGTTTTGGCAGAGAATTGGCACTCAATAATGATTTTGGATATGTATATGAAATGCAGAAAAATATTTCTATTGGGATATGATTTATCTACATCACAACATTTCAAAATATTTTCTTTGCTATCCTAGATCTTACTTGACATTCTTCAAGAACTTCTGAGCAGAGTCTTAAACCCGGATTCCATGTCAGAACTTTCATCTCCTGTTGCATCAATATGTTTAACATTGATTACTCATCTCCGAACTTGTTTCTCTGCAGCTAGTAGCATTGACGGACAACGGTTTGTATTGTATTCTCTGTCCATTAGTTCAAGGTGTTTTATGGAAGCATCTAAAGTATTTTTGAATGTATCTTGTGGCTGCTACATTTTCCAAGTGGGTACTCCCGTAGTGTGTGTACCAGGAAAGGTTAGGCCATGATCTTATTCGGGTTTTCCCTATTTCAGTCTATTACGAGTTTGGGGACTGTCTGTGTTAGCCAAGTGAATATACCCCTAGCCCATAGGTTTCAGTCCCTTTACACAACTTGATGTAAGTGAGGTAGGTACGCGAACAAAATTAGTTACCTCCACATTGGTATACATACTTCTGGAGCGCCCGAAAGCATGCTAATAGATGCTATCAATTGAGTTCCTGTAAACTTCTTACTTATCAATTTTCTTTGGCCAAATGAAAATTTGCAAATATATGTTTGTGTTAATGACAATCAGGACTCTTTTATCACTTGGTGGTGCTACTTATTTATCTAAAAAGCTTTGAACCTGAAAAAAATATGTTTTACCAATATAAAAAAACTTTCATAAATATATAGTAGGCATCACCATTATTTATCTGCTACTTATTTATCTAAGTTTTGAACTTAATAAATATATTTATAAGTATATATATTTTAGCGCATGACCTAATGGTTTCTAACATAGGTTTGAATGATCCTGAAACTCTTAGTGGATAGTAAATGATCTTTCCAAAAAAAAATATAAAAAAACTTTCATGAATATATAGTTGGCATCACCATTATTTATCTGCTACTTATTTATATAAGTTTCGAACTAGATATATTTATTTCAGCGCATGACCTAATGGTTTCTATCGTAGTTTTGAAAGATCCTGAGACTCTCTTAGTAAATGATCTTTCCTGGGAAAAAAACTTTCATATATATAGATATAGTAGGCAAGGAGGCTTTTCGAGCATAAAATTGATCACAGATTTTATATTTAGACATTCAATTCTTGTTTCTGATCTTTCAACAAGTCAAAATCTTAATGTATCAAGAATATTACAACAGGAATCGAGCACACCCATCCCACCGAGCATTGCTGGCTCCTTACAGGTGCGTGATTGGAGATTTAAGTGACTTTGTTCCTCTTTTCTTGCCAATTGGCAGACTTTGGATGTCATCACTTCATGGCGTTTGGAGATTAATTTTTTCAAACTAAACCCTGTTAGTTTTCAAGATGTTGGCATCAGAGAAATATAACAGAATTGTTCAGTTGGTTTCTACTAAACCCAAGCGCAGTTGTCAGGTCACACTGGAAGTTAAATATTACGTCTGGTGTGCTAACGAAAAGGTTTTTAATATTAGTAGTTCTGTATTTCTATTTAGTGTCGTATACTAGCCAAATTTTAAATCATTTGTGTAAAATGCCTCATGAAACTGCTTGATGAATTCTGGTACTGTTACCCATTGGTTTTAGTTAGTTTAACAACTAATTTTTCCTAGTGATATGTAACCTATATCTTTTCTGTTGAAAGGTTATAATGAAAGGAATATTGGAATGGATACTCCAGGCGGGTGTTGGTCAAAAAGTACGAGCTAATCTGTATGCATCACTTCTATATTACCTGCAAATGTGTCAGAAACCTAAATCATCTTCTGAAGAAAAAGGTGAGTCCAACTTGTCGTTTAGTTTAAAGAGGACAGGATTTATACATTTATCCCGGAGGAGAGCCAATATGACAGCTTAATTATTTGGCGAACCACGGCCTTGTCGTCCGGTTACCAGTTCATGTCGGGTATCAGATTATTAGCCAGTTATTTGTTTTCGGAAGCACTGACTTGATGGTGGAGGAAGCCTTAACCGACCAGCAGATATGTAAACCACTCTACGGCAGCGAGGAGTCCAGCAGCCATGACGCACATAACTATCCTTGCATGGGTTTAGAACCTGCGAAACCACACAAGGTAATGAGAGGTGCGGTGACGAACGCATTCCTAACGTGAAAGATTAGGACAATCACAATCTAATTGAATTCTCTGTTATTGCATTACAAAGAGATTTGTTGTTAAAATGTATGCCAGTCGTTTTCCTCAACTAAGTTGTGTCAACGTAGCATCCAATTCTAAATTCAAGCCATTTGAAGAACAGCCGTAAAAAAAAAATTTTTTAATAGCAAAAACGTAGGCCAATACCATCCTTCTTTAATTGTCTGTTTAGAATACTTGGTTAACTCTATGCTTTTTTATCTTTTGTCAGAAATATTGACACAGACAAATTCTAACTTTTGTCCCTGACTCTGGGAGTTTGAAAATACTCCAATACTCCTTCAACTCCAATATTATAATTTAAAAAAAATTCCACCTCTATAGTCCTGCTCCAGAGTCATTAATGTTTTAAAGTTCTGTATGGACCTGCATGTAATAATATGTTTATTATTCAGCCACTCAGCCATCGTCATCAGGTCTTCGTGCATTATCAGTAGATATTTATGCAAAACTAGCTCGGGATAACGTCAAGTTGTTCAAGGCTTATGGCGATACCTTGATGGAACTTTTATGCAAAGATGCAAGTGATGGTTGGTATTTCCGTTTAGTTGTATTTATAGAATTTGGCTGGTTTGCGTTGAGAGATGGTTGATTTGTCCCGAATTGATGAATCAGTAAATTGATTGTTTTGTGAGGATTTGTCGAATGATTTCGGTGTTTGTTGTAGACATGGGTTTGTGATGAATATTCGAGTTGTTTTTGTTGCTTCTGGTTGGTTTGGACTAAATTGTTGAATGGTTTGTGTTGAATTCGTGCTGGTTAGTTAGTTAATCGAATTGGTTATGTGGATGGCAAGATCCTGAAGTTATTTGATGGAAATTGAGTCATTTTTAGGGCACTGTCTGTGTCAAATTCTGGTATTGTTTTTTTTATTAGATTCCTAGGCATCATCATCCATAACTTATATGTATTCGTATTATGTATTTTCACATATATATTGAATAGATTTGTACTGACTGCCATTTCATACCCATACATTAAGCAGTCTATTGTATCTACAGCTGCGTGTAATATTAGGTTTCATGTTTTACAGGTCATAACGTCTGCAGAATTCTAGCTTATTCGTGCCTTGATGCGATTATACAAATTGATTGGGAACTTGCATGGCTTCAGTTTATGATTAAGAAGGGATATATTAACTCAATTGCTCACAGGTTCGTTCAAAAAGTTTTTGTTACTGTTTTACTTATGTTGCCAATATGCTATGCTTAGAGCTGTATGCTTCATATGAATCAGTTAATTGATTATGAAATATTTACCATGCAATTGGATAAAAGATGATTTGATAATCTGTTGATATGTCTCTTTACAATGTATGGTCATTTTCAAGCTATTACCTATAGCAGGGCTACTCAACTATTTTTACCGAAGATCCGCATACAAAACTTCAAAAGTATTTGGGTCCGGTCCTTCCAGAAATTATATTTCGGCATCCTTAAACACGTGCATCCTCGGATGACTAATGATTATTAGCTAATCAAGATTGTTTATTATGGCGTTATAGTTCTTTTCATATATATTTAAATCTATGAAAGTGATTTTATAAAGGAAACTTTGAAAGTGGGCCCAATGATTCAAAATAAAGAATTATGGGAGGTCCGAATCCAATACCCGAAATGTCTGAATTCGGACCGCGGTCCGCCAGTTGAGTAGCCCTGACCTTGAGCTCTGTTATTATTAATGTATATGGGTTGATTTGTCATTATTATGCTAGTGCCTCTAGAAAGGCAGATACGGATACACAAAATAACCTTCTATTTACAGCAAAAGATAAATCTTTGAAGATAGGTTGAGAGCATGGGTGTTGGACCCGGGGTCTGTAACCTGTTATGCCAACATAAATAGGTCCGACACGTGGGTCACTCAGACACTTACAAAGATACTTTCATGTAAATCTTTGTAAATTGTACTGGTCAGGCCTTCGATGTGTTTTATTTTTGTAAAATATTTCTCTGCAGTTTTATTCAAGAAGACGAAGCCCTTCAGCAGGCCGTTACACCTAATCCTGAAGCAGTTCGATCATTATACATCTACGAACAGAAGATGGCTTTTTTGAGTTCTCTGGCACGGACACCAGCTGGCGCTAGAGCTATTTTAGATGCAGGAGTTCTCACTAAACTCGCAAAATGTGCATTCCTCGAAATGCGTCCAGTTGGTGACGATGGAAATGTTAACTCATTTCTGCCAAGTGTGATGTCTCGTTATCGTCAACTGCTTTTCCCAGCCCTGAAACTTTGCTCGTCAATTCTTGCAACACTAGGTGGCACTACACATCATGAAGCGAGCGCTCTTGTTCTAGAGTTTATGCTGATTCATGCTGACACAATAATAAATCCAGTTCTGAGAAATCAACCTATTCTTGATGATATACAGGTGGATTTGCTTATTTTCCAAAAAAATATGTTTTATCGATTGAATTACTAGGGTTAACTACTTTTCCTTCTATGCATGCACAAATGGCATGTATAGGATAGGATAAGATTTACATATTTATCCCTGGGAGAGAAAAGCCGATAAGTCGGCTTCACCATATGGCGAACCACGGCCTTTCATCCGGTTACCTATCCATGTCGGGTATGGGATTAGTTAGCCAGTTATTTGCTTTCGGAAACATGGACTTGTATACATACTTGCATGTACACACCTGTTCCCCTTTACATGGTTTGAGCCATTTTATGAATCCATATATTTTTAAAGCATTAAACTTGCTAATTTGTTTGTCAATTAGGGTTTGATGAACCTGATGTAAAGTTTTTACTAAAATGCTTCTGTTTTATTCATTTTAGTCCTTGATGGAACTGAAATTTGTGACTGGTATCCTGAGTCAGGTTGCAGGACAAGATTTCTCCAATGAAGCAATGTATGCTAACATTCCACAAGGTGTCCTCATTGAGCTGCAAGGACATTTATCGAAAATTCAGGTAAATTGGGTTTCTGGGATTAATTTTTTTATATCCATACATAACACGTGCCTCATAAAATTGTCCACAGCAGTTCGTTTTTAATATTGCTTATTATAACACTAGCATCATTTTCCTAAAAACCATTTTTTTCAGATATTGGTTTATGCTGTTTTTAATGATTTTGATATTGAAAGTATACTTGGATAGAATATAAATAGAAAGGTAGCATTGATTCATAAATGGATTCGAGTTAATTGCTTAGTTCATTTTTTCATGATTGTTCTTTGCTTCGCTATTGTAGTTTATTCAATATATCTAATGTTTGCCAGTTATGAATTAAAGTTTCCACCATTTATGTGTGTTTATATCCATTTTCCCTTTTACAAAACATTTTTGCAATCATTTTTAACAGCGTCAGTTATTGAGTCTTCTTCCACGATATTGTGTATCTGCGGAATGGATTCGTGACATTGAGAGGAATAACAGAGAAAGGGAAGATAAGGAAAATATACAAGAGGTATGTTACTTCTTTCGAAAGGATTCAGACAAAATTTACCTAACTGGCTTGATCATTGTTTGTGTTTACAAACTTGTCAAAAATGCTGCAGAACTTAAACGGAAATTCGGGGCTCGAACACCCGCATGCCGAGCGTGCGGCCAGGTGAGATGACGCCACCCGATTTTACCTTAATTGCGCATCTCGGCCATTCAACGAGCATCACGAATTTGGAAAATAAGTAAATGATAAGGGATGCTATTGTAACGCAGGGAGTGACAGTAATTATTGTCATTTAGGTACACATTTTGATACTGTATCAAAATAGTTACTGTTGTTTCTTATTGCGAAAATTTTTTTTGGTACTCGAACAAATCTGTAGTCGAACACCAATCCTGAACGAGTTATGTTCGACTACCGGGGGATCACTGTATAAGTCTGTATATCCAATATTCCCAATTTTGAATGTGTTAGTTTTGGTCATCCATGCTTATACCAAAGTTCACTTTTATTGTTTCATGATTTTTGTAGGATGTTACATTCAAATATCAATTCATTTTTTGACAGATAATTCTTCTTGTTCATGAAATTTGTGCAAATCTGACGAGTTATTGTGTCGTCATAATGCAACAAAAGTCACATGACATGGACTCACCAGTCCTGTTATTTTCTCCTCACCTGGATGAATTGTCTGATGGTGATAACATCTATAGACAGGGTGAGAGTCTTTCTTGAATTTGAGATAGGACAAATAAAATACCATTCGAAGCCTGGATAAAAAGCTGTCCATGGAATATCTATCCATTTCAATGCATCAGATGGATTTAATTAGCGGAAAAGTGTAGGCGCCCAACATTGTAGAACAGACGTATTCGAGAATTTCGAATATTTCTCTTCCATGCAAGTCTATGGCTTTGGGATGTACCAGTATGTTTCCAATTATATCAAAATCTTTTTTTTACTCGAACATCTATGTCAGTTCCTATTTAGTGCCTGTCAAACATATATTTATTTGCATTTTTTCTCATTATAGATGTTACAGAAGCAGGGTAAATCTTACATCACAGTTTTGGCCAATATGGGTGGGCATATGAATGTCCAGAATGATTCAAACATTCGGATCGATTAAAAATTTATTATACCTTCGATATTCCAAATTCCTAACTTTAGGAATAGTTTGAAATGGTGTTCTCTAAAAAATTATTAACTTGAATAACTGAAGTCTTACAGAATGACCCAAAATGCTATTCAATTTCAAGTATGAAAAATAAAAATCCAAATCTAGAATCTGCAATCTCATGGTAAAACTCATTTCCTATTCATTTGTCTTTAAGTGCTCTTTGCGAAGTAGGGCCCCATTTAGAACACATCGATATTCAAAAATACTATTTTATAGTGCATTCAGAACAAGTGGACTAATAACTAACCTTTCCTCTCCCTCGGGATAAATATATAAATGCTGAGGTCCAATTGATGACACAATTTTTTGATAGTTGGTTTGTTTTCCAGATTACCCAGGATCCATCCAACCTCCTACACTTGGATTATTAGTTCGAATCTTGAAAGTTTCCTCTTCAAAATTTAATTCTGCCATGGAATCAGTCGCTGTACAAAAGAGAAGATTGGATAATGTTGCTATTCTTACTGCTCAAGAATTGAAGGAGGTAAACTAAGATTTAAAAAAAAAATTATTAACAGTAAATATACACATACAGTATTAACTCAGCATAATGCATGTCTGTTAAAAATTAAAAATTATTTTAATATGGATTTTTTTTTCCATTTCAATTGTTATTTTGCCTTAATTTGGTGCAGCAATTTCTTGATCACAGGTATCATGCAGAACACTTCTAATGCATGCCTGTTGAAAAGGAAATATAATTTCAATTTTTTCGTTACACATTATTTCGCCTTTATTTGATGAAGCAAATTTTTTCTGGATTTCAGGAATCATGCAGAATGCTTCCGTTTGAAATGTTTTAGTTTGGTTTTTAGGAATCAAACTGAAACAACCAACTGTATAAAATAGAAAAACCAATGAAATAATGATTTTCTGTCTGCATTATCAAATTGAATTTCTACACAATGGATTGATTTATTCATGTTCTTTGTGGAGTTAGAATATATTTCATATTCCAAAACATGTGTTCAGAATATATTCAGAATACTAAATTATTTGGGTTTCTCGCTTTCTCCAGGTTTTTCCGTAATTTTGGTATTTCAATATTGACATTGTGGTAATTTGTTTTAAGATTTCAACTACAGAAGACGATAAATTATCGATTCCGCAACGGCAAGCTATTGCTTCTATCAAACTTAGGAAGGAAATATCTTCCAAGGTTTGTTTTCCTTTGCGTAGGTTGTGATATTTTCATTTGTCATCATTTTTCCATTGATTGTCGGGAACAACTAGGAGTTTTTGGCATGACCAAGACAATAGGGCAGCTGGAATATTAAAATGGATTGATTGTTAGTGAAGGGATTTATTGACTATACATTTGACTTGGACATTTTAAGTTCACAACTGTCTGTACCTGTACCTGCAGCAGCATAATATCATAAGAACGTTATATTATTTTTTACTGATTTATTGTGTAAAGATAGTTAGCTATTTAAAATAAACTTTTGTGCTAGGGATTTTGTCATTGCAAACTTTCTGATTAGTCTTGTATTGCATTAACACAGCCCCTTGGGGTGGTTCACATAACTGCTTGTCGATTACAGCTTCCTTATCAATCAAGTCCATGTTTCAGAAAACAAATAACTGGCTAACTAATCCCATGGTCATACCCAACTTGGACTGGGCCGGAACGGGAGGGATGTGGTTTGCCATATGATGAAGCTGTCTTATTCGTCTTTCCTCTCGACGAATATATAACTCTTATCCTATCCCTTCCTTTAGACGTGCAGGGATGTTACTTTAAGAACCATAAATTTTAATTGAAAGTTCTTGATTAACCTAATCTGACATGAAAAAAATTGGTTTTTATTACAGTATTTCTTTTTACTTCAACTTGTATATATTTTTTCAGGAGCAGTTTCTTTCAACATTATATTTTGTCATGGAAAATTCTTTACTGTTGCTATGGCAGCATCTAGATTCTTTCGTCATAAAGTCTGTAGAAGTTGATACAGGTTCAACTGGAATTCTTTTCCAAACTAAGAATTCTGGAATGCAGAGACAAACCCCAAGAAGACTGCAAGGTTAGATATCAATGTGTCAAAACATGGCATGGTTATTTAGCAGGAGGATTTATTTCGAACAATTAACAAAACTCAGATCTCTCGATTTTTATGATTAATTTTTATTTTGAAGTGAAATCAATTAATGTGTGTCATATGATGTGAGGGGGACTGTACTTTTCTTTCAGATTTAAGCCTTTGGTAATTCTCTTACTTCTTGTGATTCAAAAAAATAAAAACGCCCACCTCCTCACCCAGGGTGTGGTAGCTCAGTGTCTTCTTGTATTAGGACCTTGTTTAAGTGGAAGGTTTGAATAATTATTGCAATGATAAAAAATACTACATGAACCTTTCTGGTGACTTTAGTTCCTTAAACCTTTCCGATAGAAAACTGGACTAGAGATATCATTGTCTTTATATGCTTGATCTTAATAAAAAACATCTTTCTTTCAAAATCATCTTTTTCTTTTTCAGACATATCCAACTTTACAGATGATTCAATGTCGCCTTCCAGTCAAAGTTCATTCCCCAAACATACAATGTCAGTTGGCGTTAACAAGGAAGTTATAAAAGAGGTATTGCTTTTTTGTTATTAAGTGTCACTATATTTGGAAGTTTTCTGGTGATGAGGATTTTCATGGCAAGTATTTTACAGCAAGATTTAGCGAGGATTTAAGAAAAAGAAGCTAAAAATATGTTTTTTTATCATGATTATTTGTTGGAATAGTTAGATAAGATTTATTTGAAGACAGTCATGAGTCACAAAGTAATCATTTCTTAGATTTCTGCCTCATGTGATCCTAATTGCTATTAAGCAATAGTTAGGTAATCATCAACATAGCAAAGTCAAAATGAGGTGACAATCCAATTTAAAGTGTATTGAAGAACTACTGATCGAAGTATAAAGAGATTAGAAGGCAGATTTAGCCTGAAAGGTTAGGTTCGTTCTGGATGAAGTGGATGTCTATAGAAGGCCGGTAAAGCTTTGGTGAACCTGATAAAAAGTATTTGTGAGGTCAAATTTAATAATCGAGACTGAGAAATATGTCAAAGAATTAAAAGAAGTCTCTACACAAAAGATTCTATATCATCAGATGTATATATGGAAAGCATGTAATAATAAAGTCAGGTCTGTGTCTAAATGTTGTGCTCAATAAGAACCAGATGAAGTTGACACAATGAGCAGCCCTGGGAAGATATTTTCTGAAGCCTAGATCAGATCATTAATAGGTTAAATAAACTATGAAGGATAAGGAATTTATACAAAGAGGAATTAGCTGGTCGTCCTGTGAAAGGGATGTGAATAAAGTGACTCAATCTTACAGTGAAAGCTTAACATTATTAAAAGATTAACCATTCAATTGTTGCACGTCTGTTTTAATGTTTAAAATCCATTAATCCTCTCGCATGTAATCATCCTTTGAGGGTGACAAATGTCCTAATATTAATTTCGTGGCTTTTAGCCGACACAGTGTGCCAAATGGCCTAATATCAACTTGTTTTCAGATACGACGTTTTCTTATGGATATTTTTCTCGCTTTCGCCTTATGTATTTCACAAATTTCCAATAAAAGAAAAGGAGGCTATTTTTATTTTAATTTTCTACCAGACCTGATATTCCGCCTAAAATTTACTGTTTTATTTTTATACCTGAAACTCTCTGTATATGAGCATTGCTCTCTTGTAATAATTATTCTTTCACTCTTTTTACTCCCAAGCTTAAACGATGTTTACCATCCTGCATGACTGATGTCTTCCTCTCCAAACTATGTGACATCGAAGCAAATTGGAACGATGGATCGAAGTGTACATTCGTTCGTCCGCTCGTAAGAAGAATTCAACGCATAGTACGATTGCATACAACGACAAGGTCTGCAGCAATGTAGTATAGATTGCGAGAATATATGTCGTCAAATTACCACTTATATGTGATAGCTCAATGTGATTGTTTCTCTGTTTTTGGCTATTCATTAAAAGAATGCAGTTGTTTGAACTTTTGATAATTGGTGTGGGTCAAGACATAAGTTTTATAAAAAGTTACAACAGCCCAATAGCCTCGAACAAAATAAAGTTGTAGGTAGATTGAACCATTGTTTATGCTGCATGAACCTTGGCAACCTACATTTATATCTACGCCTTTCAAATACAGAATAGAAATGTTCAATTTTTATGCATTCCATGTTTAAAATGTGTTTGTACTTTGTTATAGGCAATAATTCGTAAAATAATTCAATTATGTTCAACTATCCGACTTTGGTGGTGATTTTGTATATTTCGTGGATTACGGTATTTCATAAGCCGGGATTTGTACGTTTTCTGATGTAATTTACTGCCAATAAACAAATTTTGATGGTCTGTGATGTGCGGACTGGTGCAGCTAACATTGTCCGAAAACTATTTGCGAAAGGGTAGTTGCAAGATGGCTAGAATGGCATTTTGCGCGAAAGTGAATGTGAAAAGATAGTTTTGCGAGAACGCGTATTTGGCAGATGTAGTCCGTTCCCCCAAAGTCAGCTATTTGTTCATTGCGAGAGCGGTTGATTACAAGCGCTTGATTTCTAGAATGGCATTTGGCCCGAAAAAAATGTTAAAGTAGTTTTGCTAGAACGGGTATTATGCAGATGTAGAATATGGTATTTGCAGATCGCGAGAAGTTTAACGGTGCTTGAAAACCTTTTGCGAGAGTGTCGTTGCCAGTGGTTCACTGCTGGAATGGCCTTTGCGCGAAAGTAAATGTGAAGAAATAGTTTTGCGAGATGTATTAGTAACAAAAGGTCAAACATTGCCGACTCTAAAATCAGCAATTTGCACATTGCGGATAGTCGGTGATATGGAATTAAGATAACAAACAGTCGGTAGTTTATTTTATCTCAAACCGGAAGTATACATAATAAAGAAAGATGAAAAATTGCATTAAAACAGCAATTAATATAAACACCCGGATATGTGTCCGCAACCCATACTCCGAAACTATAGCTTGTAGTTAACGTGGAGTCAATTAAATGCGAGAGATACGAACGTGTAAACTCCTGAAGTCCTTCATGATAAAAGTTTTAAAGTGATGCAATAAGCTGGTGGTAATTTTAGACGAGTCTATCGCACCGTTTTTGGGACTTTCAGAACAAAAACTTTTCGGAAGACATTATGACAATTAAGTTATAATCACGTGCCGGTGCAATATCTATCTAAGCGCCTGCACCGGGTGTCGCTGCTCGATACCCAACCAGCTATGGTTCCCCGCAGTAAAGCTACATTATCATTTTCTAGTAATTTGTGCTTACGATGTTCCGTGATTAAGTTGCTTGTATGTGTGCCTTGTGTGGCAACTGTCTCAGTTTTTATTGGGGGGACAAAAATTTATCATCAATATGAGCAAAAGTTGACCCCGACGTGATTTGAACACGCAACCTTCTGATCTGGAGTCAGACGCGCTACCGTTGCGCCACGGAGTCAGACGATAAATTATTGCGAGAGTCCTAATATGTAACGTTTTGTTCATCGCCCGGGGCTAAACAGTACCATCGCTTGTAACATATTCAATATTCGGCATCGAGGTGCTCGTCTGTCTCTGTGGCGCAATTGGTCAGCGCGTTCGGCTGTTAACCGAAAGGTTGGTGGTTCAAGCCCACCCAGGGACGTCGTTACTTTTTAGTCTTATACTAATCTAATAGTAAACAATATCAATGATTGGTGCGATTTAGATAGATAGCTTGTTTTAAAAACACCATAATTCACACAAATTCAGAATGAAGAGGGAGCGAAATATTTCAAAACATGAAAATATTTATTTGTGCGCTCGCCAGCACACATAAAAATTACAAATATCACAGAGCTAGTTGAACGAGGCTTGGGCCAGAAATAATCAAACAAATACTCCGAACAAAAGCACGCGAATGTATTGCACTTTCGGGATGTTACAATTTGCCTAAGCTACCGTAATAATGACCAATTTAATCTTATACAGTATATTCCTCAATTTAAATGTCTTGAATAGAGGAAAATATAAAATTCAATTTTCATCTTTATGAAACTTAGTACACTGATACAGCGAAATACTGAAATATTAGTCGAAATTTGCCATAAGAAAACTGATTAACCATCGTAGTATGATATCATAAGTAGAAGTTTATTTGGACTCCATTCAATTGCAACAATGTCGTACTATTTGTTACTTGTCACAATAGATGCGAAAGATAGTTTTTTTTTTATTTAAGTTGGAGTGTCAGTAAGCACTTCATGCTTTCATCTAACGTTATATATCGCCTAGTAGCCAAACATAATGCCATCTTTCGTGTAATATATAACCAATGCAAATTTTCTTCCTGTGATCGTTTTTTAATTTTATGGGTAATGTTGCCGTAAGGAAATACTGGATCATGACATGGTCAATTTGATAACCAATGTGTGCTCTGTTTAAGGGGAAACAGAAAAATGAAAAAAGAAGAGGTCCCACCGAGATTTGAACTCGGATCGCTGGATTCAAAGTCCAGAGTGCTAACCATTACACCATGGGGCCTTGCGCGTCAGAAAGCGTCACGCTTAGGTACTTATTACTGTAGACGAGAGACGCATTTTTTATTTTTTTCGAGAGAATATGAAAATACGTATTCGTTACTCTGACGTGTTATAAACGAGCAGACCAGTATCCACATTGGTCCCATTTACTAGGCCAACATCATCCTTTAAAATTCATTCGATTGGGCATGAAAGAGCAAAGAAAGTAGATAAATCTTGAATGGATCGAAATGAAAGTTGTAATTTTAAATAATAGAATTATTACTGTCATTATTTTTCAAGTTAGGATTTTTTTAATAGTAGATTACTGTTTTTATGTAACTTTCTGGGCTCAACTTGAAACATTCATTGTTAATGTATTATTTAAAGTTTAAACACATTGGGAGCAACCATGAATAAAAAAGTTTATGCTTAATTGTCGATCCATAGCGGTATGTTAGTCGTTGATCCATAGCGTGGTTCACGAACCATTAATCTCTGATCGGTCGCGGTTCACGATGAAAATCTACGAATTAGAAGAGTGATTATATATCTCCATAATTACCCATTAGATTAGACAAACCCGACTGATAGCCGGCAATAAGGTTGATGGTTTGAACACAGTGAAGTATTCCTGAAACGTGTTTCCCCGAAATAAGACTGGGTCTTATTTAAATTTTTCTCCGAGAAATGACACTAGGGCTATTTTCGGGGGATGTTCTTATGTTTTCATTTATCAAATGCAAAATTACAATGTAGAGTATTATGAGATTTTCAAATTTAAAAAATATGAAAATCGATATCCATTCACTTATAAATAACACGCTTTTATTAAAAAAAACTGCATAACATATAGAATATAATAATTATCAATCATTTAAAACGTGTAGGAGAGATTTCTTGCTATCGACTAACTAAGAGAAAAAAAAATGAAGGGGATGGCTTATATTAAAATCATTTTTAAAATTCAGACTGGGGCTTATTTTCGGGGTAGGTCTTATTTTGGGGAAACACGGTATGCATCGATGGGCCAAGTCACTTTTTATTACCTCTTCATGCTGTTTCTTTCTTCCACAACAGGCCTCCTACAACACTTCATGAGCATTCCCAAAACTCTGATTGAAGTAACAAATATATATTCATCAAAATGTTGTCAGAATAAATTAGTTACTGAAAACGGTAAACGACAATTACACACACACACATATATATATATATATATATTTGAACTTTCAAGTCGCCTGAGAGTGATTAAATGAGATGCTTACGTAGCCTATAGATAGATAGATAGATATTTCTAATCCAACGATAATCGACCTGGGCTAGGCGGGCACCATCCTGAATTCTTTGACATGTGAATAGCAATTTCCCGAATCTTATTTATATTAACCGAATTGTGTCCCCTTTTCTTAAGTATTGATGATATTAAAGCGTCTGTAGCAGTTGCATAATGTCTCTTATTTGCATCTTGTTCATTCTTATTGATAGTTTGAGTGCTTCTTCTGTGTCGCTTTTTCTTGTTATCATCTTTGCGCGTATTAGCTTGTTTTATATATTCTTTCAGTGTATTCACGTCGTCTTCCATCCGTTTCCTACCGTAAGAATCAATCTTTTTCCATAGCGTAGCATTGAAATAGTCGTACAAAACGAGATCCTGAATTTCACAAACACAAACTGGTATCTATAGCAACAATTGAGAAAGGGTCACAAATAAAATCCGATCAAATACACACCTGATTATTGAGTCTGCTGGCAATCTGTTTTTCTTTGACAGAATAAGTATGTGATTCGTAAGTTCCTTTATTCCTTGTTGGTGGAACAATGTCTTCCCATGACATACATAATACTTCCTGAAAATATTGTGTACAATATAAAAACCTTACTAATTTGAAGTAAGACAGGCCCATCTCCGAGTAAAGTTTACGGGCGACTATTGAAATGACATGTCGTTCATTGTTGTATTCGAAAATCCACAAGCTTACTTTAGAAAAAAAATAAAATAGGCCGTTTTGATTTATTTCAGAAATTCGATTCAGAAATCACAATTATAACATAAGCTCAATACATGGTTGGTTTGACTTTATTTGTTTAGACATTCGCCGGGACCTGCGAATCAGTTCTCCCGTGACTAGAATTATATCAACTACAGGTTTGGGGATTCATACACAACTGACAACACTAAGTGTTTCCGTCGTCGCGCAAATGATAAGGGTTACCACGGCTGCGACTCTTTTTCTACAAAACATGCATCATATAATATATATAGCACCATGTACTTGTCTATACTCACCTTCATCAGTATCAAGGACTCCAGGAGATGATCTGTGATGAGAACCAAGTCAAAAACGGCATCCAACTTCTTTGCCATGCTGAGAACATAATCTTTTCCGTTGATTGTAGGATCAAGTCCGAGATCAAATGATTGGTAATTGCGGCTTCTGTAGATGAATTTTAAGAATGGTAAGAAAGTGCTCATTTAGATTTTTTTGTTTTAGATTTTTTTGTTTTTTGTAAATTTATTCCAAGGTCTATGAGCGCAAGACTATTTCGGGACGTTTTTTCACTGTTGCCTGGCCTCGAGTACAAGTACTATATATGTTATCTAGTTAGATTCAGTCTTGAAAAAACAGCAGTTTAGTTCGACTAATGAAATATAACTGCTTAGCTACAATAGTAGATAGATAGATTATTGTGAGACATTTTAGAATAAGTAATACATCAACATTCAAACAACCATCTTGGTCCCACATGCATCTTGAAGAAAAACGACCACCCGGTAAGTTATATATTCATGCTAATGTGGAACGAACCTGAAATACCAGGCAATCGATTCGTGCAAGGAATTTTCTGCCATCGCTAGGTAGTCAGGATAACTAACTTCATACTTCTTCGCAACTTGTAGGTATGGTTCAGGATGACACGTCACCGCCTAAAGTGAAAGTATGATATACATTTTTGGCGCTCCAGAAGTGTGTGTACCAATATGGAGGTAACTAATTTTGTTCGCCTACTTTACAGCAAGTTGTGTAAAGGGACTGATTACTATGGGCAGGGGGTATATTCAAAATGAGGAAAATTGGAATAAAATTATGGCCTAACCCTAACCTGGTACACACACTACGGGAGTACCACATTTTCAACTGATCCAGCAGTTTTGCTGCACACTAGCACAATATATTTATGTAACGCTTCTGGCAAAGACCACTTCATCAGATATTTACATAATTCAACTATGAAAAGAAAAGCGAATCGCTTTTACTTGTTTTAGCATAATATATATCTGTGTCAATGGGCACCAAGACTGTTGAATCACTTAGAATAGTTAGCCTCTCTTGTTACAGCATCCTTGGTATATATGCATACGATTCTCCCGTAGCAAATGCGTAGAATGTATAAAAGTGGTTAGCCTCGCGGAAACGAAATCGATAGCAGAGCGTTTTACACAAAAAGCGGCATTTAATTTAGAGGTGAGAGTTCAGTGTTTAAAATTTCATTCTATCATAAGATCTTTTTAAGTTTGACCGTCGATACATCTACCCCCATCGTGCTGTTCACAAATCGTTGAAATAACGCTGTGGGTCGAAACATATAAAATCGTTAACACAGAAATTGGCAATAAGGAGGAAAAAAATAAATAGAACGATCACTAACTATAGGTTATAGTTGCGCTATGTATTTATCATTTGTAATTTTATGAAATTCTCTGTAAAAAAAACATAAATTAGACGGCAAATCTTCGACTGTTACTCCGATTCAAGTCCGATTCCATCGTTTGTGCATATTTTAACATGGCAATCTTTAATTCTCTTAATCGATATAAAATATACATTTACTTTTTAGTTTTGCCATGCATGAGCTAATCAATTTAATGGTGTTGTTGAATTCGAGAGGTCGAGACAAGTTGTTAATTCATCCAAATGTTTAAAAGACTTCGCAAAGCCCAGCAAAATATCCATATATATATATATATATATATACTTTTTAAAGCATGACTGGATTTTTTGCATGTTTGTCGCTCGTTTCAGATAATCCCCACAAAAAGATCAGCTCAAATGAAATCGGGTGACCTATGACGTAGGTGACAGTTTGACTCAAATCTCACTCAAAAAATAACAGTGTGCAAGCTTTCGGCTGAAACTGCATAAAAACGACATTTCTTACTCGTTTCTTTTAAAGCTGTTTTATAAGTTGCCGAAACTCCCTTTAACAGTTTTAAATGTCAAGCTTCAACCAATAAGTACTGTTGGAAATAACGCGTAAAAATATTTTCTAAACTTTTCATGTATTTTGGATGTTTGAAAACCTCTCGACAGCTTTCGAGATGCGAATGGCAAATTTATTCCTAATCAAAGTTTGACAAAACAAGAGAGCTATGCTCAAATATATGGACACGTAGCGCCACCCAGTGGCAATAATTTTGATGACGCCATAGCAAAAAAAAAGTAATAGCCTTCTGGAGAAAAATTTTATCTTTAACCACTGAAAATATCAAAGCAATTGGTCCAGTATTCGAAGAGAAAAGCGATTTTTTAAAAAAGGAGAAGGAGACAAATAACAATAACAATAACAACAAAATTTTGAAACGATCGTTATGGCCACTAAACGTGTCCAATAAAGTTTGACGGCTCGGCGGTGTGGCGCATCGTGCTAAGTGTTAGGAATATGCTCGCCACCGCATCTCTGATTACCCTTTGTGGGTTCGCAGTTTCGAGTCCCATGCGGGGATGATTATGTGCGAGAGGATTGCTTGACTCCTCGCCGCCGTAGGGTGGTTCACGTAACCGCTGTTCGGTTACGGCTTCCTCTACCATCAAGTCCATGCTTCCGAAAACAAATAACTGGCTAACTAATCCCATAGCCAAATTGGACTGGTAACCGGACGAGAGGCCGTGGTTCGTCATATGATTAAGCCGTCTTACGGTTTCTCCCTTCCCCCGGGATAAATATGTAAATCCTATCCTATCCGAAATTGTCAGGACTATAAATCTATTAGGGCTCCTTTCGAATTCAACTTCTCTAACAATATTCTTTTAGTTGGGGTCTGTAATCCTTTCTCTGAACAAATGATATATATATATTATATAAATAATATTGCATCCTTGCAAGTTTCAAAAATATACCTGTAACCATACCTGTAAATTTTTCACAGATTTTTCAGTATGCTTTCCGTAATAGTAGTGAAACGAGGACTCGAATGCTTTAAGCGGGTTTCGAAGAATTGTAATGTATCTGTAAATAGATTGAATATTTGTTGGGGATGAGCGACATGAATTCACGCTGATTTTGTTGGACTGAAAAGACAGAATATGATTGCGGTAGTTTAAGTGGTACCGGGCTATTTTTTTTATTGGGCATGCAAGTTTTCTTTGAAGCAATATAACAGACTCAGTATAGCTTAAAGAAATAAGAATATATTTGTGAGACGTAAAAACGGACTCTTCACGCAGCGTCTGACTAAATCAAAATTATGTGAAAGAACGCACTCAGAGAGGTACATATACACGCGGCGTAAAGTGTAATTTTTTCATTTGGGTGTTTGATATGTTTTCCCCGTATAAGTTACTAGAAAGGGGTAACAATCTTTTTACTCTTTTAGCCGACAAAAATCATTACACCCGGGTAAGGTGGTAAACACAGAAATTTTTAAACCCAGTCAGTCATTCAGTAGTTTATTTGTCACCAAAATGAACATACACTTGACGCAATCAAAAACTAGGAAAAAAGATGAAAATGTCATTTCATGGTGGAGGATGACGCAAAAAAAATGTTTGTTATCGAACAACGACAACTGTGATAAAAGTCTAACTTGATAAAAGTCTAACTTATGACTGAGAGATTGCTTCTAATTTTAAGATTAGTATGACTTTAAGTCTAAACACGTAACTTAACCAAAAGCAGCAAAATTACTCAATATCCTATAAGGCCAATTGTGTGACACATTGACAAATATTCGAATATTTGGATATAATAGTTTTTTATTTATAGAAGTAAATAAAATACTAGCAAGAACACCTATTTTTACTCACTTAGCATTTGGATTCATTAACGACCGAACTTCTTCCTCATCGAAGCGAAAATGGCCAAGTAAGTAATCTGGCGGCACATCAATTTTTGATAGATTTGAAGAAGGAATAACTGTCAAATTCTGAAGAAATCTTCCTGGATATCCACCGAAAAATGGTGCTGGGAATGTCATAACTTGTGTCTGAAATAGTCATTGAATATTAGATAGAAATTATGCACAAAAGCGGCAAAAATATATGCTTCAAGCAAAGAGCAACATTCGCACTAAACTGGCGTATAGGATTAAGAAACTTCGTGAATTGAATTAAAATAAGGTTTTTGTCCTAGCGAGACTTTTTCAGTCCTAATATTAATGTATATCTAATATAATTATGTTGTTAATGCGCTCGATTCGAGAAATTCAGATGCAAGTCATTATTCATTTTGCTTCATTAGCCCTTTACATTATTCAGAGATCTTGTTACTTCGATGCATATTTCCTAAAAAGTCAGGTAAAAATTATTAACAATAAACGATGATTGCATAATTTATGTTTTTCAATTCGTAACGACTTTAGCCAGGAGTCTACAATGCGAAATTAAAAGCATTATCACAGGTTAAATTCGATTGAAAGTTTTTCGGCGAATATAAACCCCAATTTTTGACCCTATCTGAAATTACCTGTAGGCGTTATCGACGGGGTAAAAAATATCTAAATCTCAACATTATACAGTGTAGCTTCGACAAACTAAAGGTTTTTTTAACAATTTGTAGAAATATCGACAATTGTAATTATTTCCATATAAGTTGTTTGCGTTTCGGGTAAGAAAAACAACCCGGCATTATAAGGATCCAACAGTTATAACACAGGTTTATTTATGTGCTTTTTTACTGATCTAGAACAGGATATCACTGATAACTTTTTTCCCACATCTATGGCAAAGCGAAAGATAGAGTTTACGCACAAACCGAGTTAACGGAGATTGGGTTTACTTAGATGTATAATGTGGCTGGAGGCCTTTATTCACGGCTCTTTGGAAAACGCCGAAGTGTGGTGTCATCAGGAGACGAACAGAGGTCATTCTCTTTGGTACTTAGATTCTGAGTGAGAGTGTGGCCTTGATTTGAGCAGATTTTTTTTTTCAAATAAACCTAAACTAAACAATTTTTCAAAAAGAAAAAAAGGAAATAAATTGTGAGGCGAAATAATAAGTGAGGCGAAATAAATGAAGGCAACATTTTGATCCAGTGTCGCGAGTCCACCTCCATCAATTTTACTTCGGAAATGGACCGCGGTTAGAAAAGATTGCGAAACGCTGACATATATATGCAATACATCTTGAGGCTGAATGATTTACGCTATAGCACAGTACGACGGAGTACGTACTGGTAGCAGGTTTATATCATATAATGCTAACCTGATTACTGAGTTCATATCTTCTTTTGTGTCTCGCGAGTATTGCCCTCAGTGTACTACTCCCCGTTTTGTGCGTTTTTACATAAACTAGAGATCGCGATGGTACGCAATCATTTTTTACAATTGCCTCTGTTTGTGCTTCTTCCTTTGTGCTGGTTTTAACTCGAGATTTCGACAAAAAAACGCTTTTTTCAATATTCGGCAATTTCACTCCCTACAAACGAACAATTATAAAATATTGTTATTGTAAAATCAGGTCAGCCGAAGATATGAAGAAGATCAGCAAGACATAAGTCAATGAATATATAGCTATATATCTCGGAGGAAAAAGGGCACTCCCGTAGTATGTGAACCAAGATGGCGGACACCTGAACATAGTATGCGTACCAGGTTAGGATTGGACCATAATTTTATTCCAATTTTTCCTATTTTAGTTCTATTACGAGTTTAGGAACTAGCCAAGTGACTCCCGTAGTATTCGTACCTGAAATTATGGCCTAACCCTAACCTGTTCCGCCATCTTGGTTCACATACTACTGGAGTACCAAAAAACGTTAATTACTTGCATATATGCAAGTATGATGAAGAGCTACTTCAATTTATGTAAAAAGGAGAACCAACTTGACTTGATTTTGACCAACAAAAAAATGGTTTTAGAATAAACTATAATAAATCGAACTGAGTTTTGATAAACGCATCTTGAAAATCGCAAATTCCTCGAATATTTATTCGTGTGCTCATAGCACGAGTATTATTGCAAGAAATCGTAAATAGAGCACACACAGAGAGAAAACCATTTGCAAACAATACGGCAAGTTACCATAAAGCGCTATGATAAATTTTCCCCAATAATTATTCGCATGCTCACAACACGAATATTATTGCAGGAAATAGTAAATAGAACAGGAACACACAAAAAAACATTTGCAAATACCACGTTAAATAAAGCATTTAAATGCAATCCTTTCATGTATACCTTGCATATCACTTAGATTAGGAGTGTACAACCTTAAATACAGGAGGTCCAGATACAAATACCTTAGCCATTTAACATAGTCTTTCTATTAGTTACACGCACAGAAAGTTTCGGTCATTGATCCTATAAAATTTACAACCGCTGTTTGTTCTACACGAGCTAGCATTGTAACGTCATGACATAGATATAACTTGGATTTAGGTATAGGCTTTGCAACGTAAATTACTTGCACCTACCAGATTTAACTACATTAAAAACTCATTTTGTGGGCGCACACCAACTGGCACTACTCGGCGGGTCGCACAATTTGTCCTTGCGGGCCGCAGGTTTCACACCCCCAGCTTAGATAGTTTTAAATATTTCTTACTAAGAGTAGAAGAAACCTCTGTGGCGGGCTTCAGCTCATACAAAATCAAAGAAACTTACGATTATTTTGCTTATTTGAATGTTGTGCATCACTAACATGGAAGTAAGCAATATGCTTATAATAGCAACGTATATCAGAAACTTAGTTGCCGTCTTTTTCATTTTATTAAACTCATTAATTGCTATCTGTAAATACAAAAAGCAAGTCTTGAAAAATATAACGGTAAAAAACTGACTATAGGCAGCATGATCATGAATCTAAAGCTTTGCTACTTTCCTATTATGATTCTCTCTCACCTCAAGAACTTAACGTTACCTGAGTACGGCAAGCAGTAATGAAAATCAGTTATTGTTGTCACTCTAGGGTTCGAAATACCATGGATTAAAATTATCCCGATCGTAACAATTATTCTCGTATCGAGTTTCCTATACATCCGATTCGGAATGCGCGAAGTCGCTCAGCAACCTAAACAATTGATTGTCCACGGTAGCTGACCAGCCAAAACCAAAAAGTGGCTGAAACTGGACCTTCGGGCAAATTTTCTTTTCCTACTTTAAGTTTCACGTGACTGGCTGTATATAGAGTATGGATTGTGCCTTAGAAATTGTACACGGAAGTTGCTTAATTTTGTTTTTATTATCGAATAAAAATGATCGCTCGATTCGATGTTGCATATGACCATAGATAGATAAAAATCGCTGCAATTGTACAGAAGCACAGCTAAATGATATAGTGAACTATTTTCATGATTATTGTGTATTAATTGACTTTTCCACGACTATTATTTTTTCTCTCTCTCTCTTTTTCAAATCGTATATAAAGATTCATACCAACAAATTAGTAAATTTTTGAATGACTAAGTTTCTGTTTGTGTTTATTACTTTCTTTTATTTCAATTTTTAGTATTGACTCGTTTTAAATCTTGGCGTAGCAGACTTATGATAACAATTTCTGGTCCTTTGCGACTCTCTGTCAATTTCAATAATATCCGTTACTGTAATGCAGGGGTCGGCAACCTTTTGTCGCTCGCGGGCCAAAATTAAGGTTGCAAGTCATTTGCGGACCGCGCATATTTTTAGAAAATTGAAAAACCGAACGGATGGTACTTTTTATAATAAAAAAATCAAGCAGTGATACACCTCTCGAATAGAATATAGATTTATTTCCTCATTGCATCTCATAAAATTCCATTTGAATATTTTCAGCGCCATTGAACCCTTCGCACTTAGCATCAACTTTTCTGCGTTTTGTTGCCATTTGCTTAATTATAATTAATTTATATACTCATTAAACGAGTAGTTGTGAAATATATAATTGTTAGGTTATAACATAATTTATTCTAAAGAATATATTCGTCAAAACGGATGTTTTGTTACTATAATTTAGTGAAGCGTCGCGGGCTGGATTTAGTGCTCCGTAGGTTGCCGACCCCTGCTGTAATGCATATTTTTTTTTTTGATTTGCATTTGTGTAGTGATTTCTTGCACGACAAAATAAATAAAAGTATTTTGTCTAATGTCTCGCAAAATGGGGAAGAAACCCCGTAGACTTGATCTTTAATAAGATTGACTTACTTCAAGTTGCTTGTCTCAAGAAGTATTAGGACGTCAGTTACTATTTTTTTGAAGCGGAATGTGTTGTTATCAGCAATAATATTCCATCACACATAGTTTTAAATCCATAATTTCCCAGAGGAAAAGCAGAGTTTGCTATTACAAAGTCATGTTTCGAAACAAGAAAGCCCTCATTCCGCAACCTATTTCGCTACCTTATTGCATTTACAATTAGGAGTAAGGAAATTTTGTGTCTGAGATCTGAGTTTCTTGCTGGTTCTTTTCTGATTCACATTCGCTGTTATTGACTTTAAAATATCCGAATATCTATATTTAAATATATTGAAATTACTATGAAATAACACTATGCCGATGTTTTTTGAATAAATGCAAATTATGTTCTGTACAATATACAATTTCCGTAAGCATAATACTGACATATATCTTAAAAAAATCAGTTAATTGTCCGCGATTTATTAGTAATTGTCATATTATATATTTCCACAAGACGTGTATCATGTTTTCGAATTTGGTTAACAAATTGATAAACCCCAGAAAAGGCATTTGATGCTTGTGTCATTTTTTATCGAACTTTCGAATAAGCAATGAATTCAACGCTCCATACTTATGAATTTTAGTTAAATTACTGAAATTTATCGTAACGTACCAGACAGTACAACAGGAAACTAGATTTACAAGTAATCACTATCAAGCTAATATCTGTAATGGACAAATCTAAATATTGTACTTGATTATCTTGTATAGCTTCTCTGAAAATCAAAAATCTCTCTATATATATTGCCCTAATAAGCTCTCTACAAAGGAAACAAGAGAGTTACGCACAAATATATGGACACGTTAGACCAGAGCGATCAGTCTTTACCGGTACCTTTGACGCTACCGGTACCCTCAAAAAAGTTCTGAATTTCCAGTAGCAAGAATTTTGCAGAATCAAAACGTACTGCCAGTCATGACACTGACTAAAATCCGTGTTCCCATGGATAAAAAATAATACAGCAAAATTTTAGACGAAATATCAAATTTCATAGAATTCACGCAAAATTTTGAAATAAATAAAAGTAATAGCCTTCTAGCGAAGAAATTAATCTTTAACCACTGAAAATTTCAAAGCAATTGGTCCAGTATTCGAAGAGAAAAGCGATTTTTTAAAAACGTGTCAAAGAACAAGAACAAGAACAACAACAACAACAACATAATATTGAAACGATCGTTATGGCCACTAAACGTGTCCAAAAATTTCGATTGGTATGTCCAAAGTTGAAGCTTAGAAATTCTCCAATTGGGCTAACATTCAAAATAAGCGATCCCAGACGAAATATACAGTTGTCAATTTTCATTTCAAATAAGGTACTAAGTACATTTCCCATTCGTAATTGGTAAGTTTACAACACACCTACAAGGCCCACAATACAAAATTTGCGATTAAACATTCTTGCCTAATATTGTTCACTCTGTGATATTGTTGTTTTCCGGTTCCATTACATTTGAACCCACGTACATTTGAACCCATGACAATTGCACCTGTATGCTATTGCACCTATGGATTTTTTTTTGTTTCACGGATAGTTAAACCCATACTAACCCTAACCCATGGGTTTTAGCACCTGCATATAGATTGAACCCGTGGATATACACATGGGTTCAAATGTACGGTCACCTTGTTTTCCACCAGTTGTTGGGATAAGAGAAAGGCAGTGTCCATTATATAGTGTTTCAGAACACTAATATTGGACTGGTTTAGGAATAAGTTGTAATACAAGTTGTCCATAAAGTCATATATTAAATTGGATAAATAAAATTTGATGTACCATGTACTACTATGTATTGAAAACTGACTTTATAACAAAATCGAAATTATAACAAGACTTCATGAGCACACTTCATTATCGGAATTACGAAATTACACGATACATTCTAAGTCGAATACGTTCTTTTGCCAAACTAGATGTACAACTTACAAATGTTCCTACAATACGAAATAAAGAATAAATAAGAGCGATCGATACTGTTCGAATAATGAAAATATATAATATATATGAAATATAACATGTATGTATGTGTATAGATAGCCCTGGTGACAAATCTCCTGGATAAGTTAATACCTTATATTATTTTCACGTTAGCTGAATCATCATATTGACACGGCTGCCTAAAAATCTAATTCTTTCCCTGGGTATTTGAAGTCACTGTCTAATGCCCTTTCTCTAGTTCTCGTGGAATGTAGAATACTCTTATGCAGCGTATTCTTTCCCAGTATGTATGATTTAAAATGATCGTATCATCATCATTGGTGACCAAACCCGTAACGGGGGACACGCAACGATAGCTCTCCCATGTCGTTCAATGCCATTAATGTTTCATTTAATGTTACTTTTTAAACGTATTCTATCGTGTATTCAGCATTGCAGGGATGGTTATGTGCGAGAGGATTGCTGGACTCCTCGCCGTCGTTGGGTGGTTCACGTAACCGCTGGTCGGTTACGGCTTCCTCCACCGCCAAGTCCATGCTTCCGAAAACAAACAATACAGTTAAAACTAATCCCATACCCGACTTGGAATGGTAACCGGACGAGAGGCCGTGGTTCGCCATATGAATAAGCCGTCTTATCGGCTTTCCTCTCCCCCGGGATAAATATGTAAATCCTATCCTATTATTTTTGCAGTATTTGTGTTCATTGAGATATACCGTGATCACACGATGCCGCCATTGCGCCACATCATCAAGTATCCTATAAATCCTTATGAATCGATTTTAATTTGAATATATTGTTGTTGTTTGTATGTTGTTAATTCAATTCCTTTAGGATAAATTTCTTTTTTTATTTGCAGCTGTAAATAAACACCAACACGACCAACGCAAAAGCGGAATCGCCACAAGATGCGCATATTTTGATGACATCATTACACACACACACAAAGAGTCCAAAAAAATACTTGGAAATGAATAAGTAATAGCCTTCCAGGGAAAAGGCGTGACGGAGTTGGTAATACTTGACGTGTAAATAAAATAAATTTTAACAGCGAAATTATGAGAAAAATATTGGACTCCGTGATGATTTGAAAAACATTAAAATAGTAATAGTCTTCTGGCGGCTACTTTCATTTTTAGGTACAAATGTTTGAAATTGACCGGCCCATAAGATATGAAAAATGTGATTTCTACCACCTGAAAAGTCGCCCCAACAACATTGATATAGCAAAATGTTTGATATGGACACCTCGCGTCCAATAAAAAAAAAAGCAAAATTTATATGCTCGATTCGCACGCCTTGTATGTATTTCATTTATATAATATTTACCCAATCATAGACTTCTCATCTTTACGCGCAAAAGAAGGTATAGTGTTGAGTACTCCCGTAGTGCGTGTACCATGTTAGGGTTAGGCCATAATTTTATTCCGATTTTTCTTCCATTACGAGTTCGGGGACTGTCTGTGTTAGAAAAGTGAATATACCCCTGCCCATAGGTTTCAGTCCCTTTACGCAACTTGATGCAAAGTAGGCAAACAAAATGAGTTAACTCCATATTGGTACACACACTTCTGGGGCGCCTAATGTTGATAAATAACCTTCTATGGATTCCAGAATTATCACACCTGTTCGAAGGCGATATTGATGTGCTTCCTTCTAGTAAGGTTAAAGGCCTCTTCTCTCGACGAGAAAAGAGATCAAGTGATGATTTAAAGCGTTGGTTCTGTTTATGGTTTGAAAAAAACATGGATTTTGACAATTCTTTATCATCGTCGAACAAAGACATTTTTCCGAAGACAAATATCCTGGATAAAGACGATCATTTAATCCAAACCGTAAACCATCTTATACCGATTAGTATTACTCTTAAAACATATGATGGAGGCGGCTTTTGAGCAGAAAGTTTTCTAGTTTTAAAGAGAAAGATTTTGGGGCCAATTTAAAATTATAAGCATTGTTCATGCTCGTTTGCAGCTTTAAGTATAAAAAAAGATATTTATGCTTAGGATATATTTTTGTTGCAATTGTTATTACTTTGAAAAAGTTAAGGAAAATGTATTTTGAAGCCATGTCATGTTGTCATCAGAATAACAATATTTTTGAAATGTCGGAAGATTAGTTGTTACTCGCATGCTCATATTTTTTTACTTCAAAACATTTTATATCTCGTCCCGTTGTATTTTTCTAAACATCGGATATCGGAAACCTCTTTGGCTTCATCTGTTTAAATTTGATTATGGCGAACACCGGAACATCGTATGTGTACCAGGTTAGGGCTAGGCCATAAGTTTAGGTACAAAAACTACGGGAGTCACTTGGCTAGTCACGAAACTCGTAATAGAACTAAAATAGAAAAATTGAAATAAAATTATGGTCTAACCCTCACCTGGTACACATACGACGTTCCGGTGTCTGCCATCTTGGTGCACATACTTCTGGAGCGCCCATTTTTCAGGTTAACAAAATTCCCTACAAAAACTGGTGTTTTTACAAATAAATATGTACATAAACTAATTACTAGACTAATTTGTCTATCCAGTAAAATGCCTCGTAAACTTTCCTCGATTATATTAAAGTAAAGTTGTTAAAAAAAAAAATGTATAACGAGTGATATTTAATTGTAAGACTATACAAACTTAGACGAAATATAGTGATAGATTTATGCTTAAGATAAATTAACGCGAAATTGAACTAGGTTGAATTGAAAAGAAATTCGTCATTTTGATTAGAAATTGTTCGGTATATAATAGCAGAACGTAAAAGTTTTGGCGCTCCTGAAGTATGTGTACCAATATGAAGGTAACTAAAGTTGTTCGCCTATTTTCATTAAGTTGTGTAACGGGACGGAAGCCTATGCTATGGACAGGGTATATTCACTTGGCTAACACAGACAGTCCCGGAACTTGTAATAGAACTAAAATACGGAACATCGGAATACAATTATGTACATATATTACGGGCTAACGGGATTACCGAATTTTTCATATTCGCATCACAAACAAGGGTTTCTAATTGCAATCAACATTCGACACATCCCTATCGCACAAACAAATTGGCTAGATCGTGTCAAATGGGCGGTAAATCGTTTTCTTCGATCGTGGTTGTGAGTTTAAGTGGGTAAAAGTTTAGACCCCTATTCGAGACATAATAACGGTTGGGGTGACAATAACGGGAGAATTGGCACAATCGCCTAACCAAGTCATTCTAACCTAACTTGAGAAAAACAGAGTCAAAGAAAACATATCAAAAAATTAGTAATGGACAACAGTGTCCAAAGTATTCTTGGACATCAATCGATATTTCAGGAAATATATCCGGAACTAAGTCGGTATTCAGGAAGAAATCGGACCCAATTCTGAGCAGGAAATGTTATTAATTTGGATGTTCTTCATAAATTATATATATTCAGGATTCATATTGCAATTTACTTTATTATAAATTTTATGAAATAAATAAACAGTTCACACAAACGACCGCCAGAAATGAATATTATCTTGTAATAATAAATCTTTTGGGACGTAAAACGATAGAATATAAACGTTAAAGTTCCGAAATTCCTTCGTTGGCATGTTTCTCTCCTTTCGTCCCAATAACTCATTCGTTCTGGGAGTGAAGAGTAACAATATACTCTGTTATTTATAATGTCAACACCTTACAATCTGTCAAAAGAAAATGACAACTATCGAATAACATGCGCCGTTTTGTTTCACAATGTACCGACTTTCATCAAACCACATGTTGGCTTCGGCTGAGGCAGAATATATATAACTTGTTTAACCTACATAATTGTTGCAATCACAAACAATCAGAGATTTCACACGCTTTTACTAGTAAATTAAAACCATATATTGAATTTAGCACTGACTGATTTTGCTCGCGTAAAAAGTTGATTATTCCAGTCAAGGACGAAATTATTTACATGTTACCAGTCATATAATGCATTTTTGTAAAGTGCTTCCTATTTGAAATGAATGACGATTGTTCATTCTTAGTCTGTAACCATTTCGCTCAGTTCGATTCTAAAATTAATCCTTTGCAATGCGTTAAATGGATTATCGATGTGTTTCTTTTTAAAATATAGAAATTGTTCAGAACTCGCAGACAAAGCGAATATGAGGTACCCGCGATATGACAAATCAAAATTCAGCTTTTCAGTAACTTGTCAATTTTTCCTAACTCAATTACGTGTAGTAGTACTTCGTTAATTGCAATCGTTGTGCTTTGGTCAAACTTTAACAAAATTTCCTAAAGCTCTACGGCTTGTCAAGAATAAGCCGAAGTTTTAATACAATACAGTATATTATGTTCCCTTTTGAAGCCAGGAGTTAAAATATTTAGTGAATTATGACCGTGCTCAAATTGTATCGACATTGTACTAGAAATATAGCGTTCCATCCAATAATAAATGTGAATATTTCGATAATGTAAACAGGTTGACATAGAGTTAGATTTATTGGAATACATGTAGTTTTAATTGCAATCTTTGCGTATTAAAACATTTCTAGTATCCCACGGCCTCCCAAGAATAAGCGTAGGATTTAATATAGATTATGAATTTTCCATTTGAAACAAGGATTTAAGACATTTATCTTGAATGGTAATCATGCTCGTTTTTTGTTGGTCATCGTTGTACATGAAACATATACCGAATATTTCAATACTGTTATCAGGTTGACGTAATCTTTTATTTGACACACACAGACAAACATATGTATGGCCTTACGAAATTTTCTTATCTGATAAAGTTGTGTATATAAACACCTATTCATTATGGCTGCAGTTGTGGCACCGAAGTCTGAACAATACGGTAGAAACCGACCGAAGCCGTTTTTAAGAGGAGGAAAGAAAGGACAAAAGCGCGATACAGATCAGTATGGTACGTTCTTGGTGAAGCTTGTAGACTTTCATAAATCTCCTCGAAGGCCGAAGTTGGAATTACCGAAACACCGAAGAAAAACTCCAAATCTTGAAGAAGCTTCTGCGAAAGCTACCGCGGGAACGACAGAAACAAGGTGTATACGGAAATGTTTATTTATGAATTAAGCTGTTGTACAAAAAGCAGAGTATTTATCGATTAGGCCAATGTTAAAAATTTTACCAATTTAATTTTTGGGTTTAAACTGAGCATTGACACAGGAAAAACGATGCTCCTGAAGTATGCGTACCAAGATGGCAGACACCGGAACGTAATATGTGTACCAGGTTAAGGTTGGGCTATGATTTTATTCAATTTTTTTTATTCAAGTTTTGTTCCTAGTTCGGGGACTATCCAAGTGACTCCGGTAGTATTTGTACCTAAAAGTATGGCCTAACCTTAACCTGGTACACATACTATACGTTCCGGTGTCCACCATCTTGGTACGCATACTTCAGGGAGTACAGGAAAAATCGGTTGCGGTTTTGTTATAGTTTGCACTGCATTCTTGTCTCCGAAAGTAGAGTGGTTTTTTCATCAAATAATCATCACTCATATGAATTAAATAATCAAAACTTATTTAATCAAAAAACTACAATTCGTACAGAAAGGCTAAAAACAATTGTGCACATGGTGCTTATATAGAAGCTAATACCCTATTCTTTACAGCATGCCAACAAAATCTTCGCCACGACGATCGAGGTCTCCTCGGAGCCCACGTAGGACAGCAAGAAGTCCATACGAACCAGACTCATATCCAAGCTATGATTCTAGATTAGACAGACATCAACAAACATATGTGTTGTCTCCCTTAACCCTGGAAGCTCTCAGAGTAAGTTAAGGCTTGCTTTGTATCATATATATGTAATGATATATTCTGGGACGTACACAGTATATTCTTTTTTCACGGGGTTGCAATTAAAAAGTGGAAAACTGTGATGCTATAATATGATGTCATAATTTGTATTTTATACAACACGAAAATCAACTGAAACGTGACGTCATGGTTCATGTTTCTAACAGCAAGGATTATACCAGCATAAATTTACTTCAAAAAAATCTGTGTATACTACAAAATTGTATAAGTAGTCATACTTAGTATAATACCACGAATTTAAGAACAAGATAAAAGATATAAAGCCACCGTGTCAGCGCCTCGCTATGTTTTTCTATTTTTGAATGGAAGTTCGGGTTACCATCGTAAATAATAATTCTATCTGTACAATTACATGTACCAAATTTTGTAAGCTTTGAATAATTTGTTTTCGGCGGTTCAAACACTTTTTTCGTATTTTAGAAAACGATGAAAGGTACTCATCAAACAATGATGTCAGACCCGAACAAAAATATTGCATTTCATGGTCCAAGAAGACCTCTTCTCCTGTCATATCCAACTAAGCCTACAAAAGCAGGAAGGTAATAATATCATCAGTTGAAATGAAGTTTTGCTCAGCAAGTGAGGCTAAAATGAATAATTTGAAGGCGAATGGACATAAACTGAGAAATAGCTTTTTTTGACATCGAATTTGGCTAATGAATGTGAAATTTGCAATCGAATTTGAAGTAAAATATTAAAAAGTATACACGTATGCTGAAAACATCATTTTAATTATAAAATCTTCGACTGCACTTTTATCACAATGTGTTATAATCTGAAAAATACGAAAATTTTAAAACAGGAAAAAAGTATTCCCATTGTTAAACTATTTTTCGGTCTTGGAATAATACATCGTGTCACTTCTGTGACTTCCAATGAGAATGACCCATCCAATTTAGTACTTGAACATCAAGTTTTATAATTTCGACATCTTAAACTATATTTGCAATGCAGACATAAGTAGAATGAATCACAGCAAAATGTTAGTGAATTTACAGATCGTTTGATAGTATATCCTTGCCCAGGTTGCCTCACTTTAAGTCGTAGAAAAGTTCTGGTTATATTGATAACCCCAGAACTCAAAAGTCGGCGCTCCAGAGGTGCGTGTACCAATATGAAGGTAACTAATTTTGTTCGCCTATTTTACATCAAGTTGTGTAAAGTAAAGGACTGAAACCTATGGGTAGGGGATATAATCACGGAATAAAATTATGGTCTAACCCTAACCTGGTACACACACTACCTGAGTACCTAAAAGTCTAGGTAAAATACTGACTGGTCGACACATTACGTCTTCACTAAGTGAATATTCTAGAATTACCCATGTAACCATAGCAAGCACAATTTGAAACAAATTTTAAATCTTCAGAGCAATCTTCATACATCGACCAGCCAGTTCTCCACGATCTCCCCGGTCGGCTTCTGCAGATCAAGAGCAGATTCCAGTTCTAATGACAGAAGAAAATATACCAGATACAGACGAAGCTCGCGATTTTGTGCGATTAGCATATCATTTACGCACGGTAAGCTAGATCAGACCTAATTTAAATTTAAATTTAATCCACCAAATGTAGAATTTAGCAATTTCAATTTATCGGGTCCGAAGCTGTCTGCAGAACTTATATAAAGTCAGGAGCGTCTATTTTCCAATTTTGCTTGTTTTGAAATATTCATATCATAGTGTATAATTTATCGCTAGGGTGTTGACGAATATATATCATATACGATCTCTTTGTGCACTAAAAAACGAAAAATCAAGGTGTCGTCGATTCCATGCATTGGAATCGATTCTCGACGTTAAAACTTGGATTGCAAACAATGCGTAACGTTTTGTGGAAATTCCTCCACATATATGCGTACAAACTGCTTTACTGCTATGTCGAGTTGCTACGACGTCGCAAATTTCACTATATATATACGGTATATATATTTCGCGATTTAGTCTCCGGTGACAGATTGAATACCCATACTACCATAGTTTTGGCCTTCTTGTCCGTCCATATATTTGAACATCGCTCTCTTGTTTGATTTCATATGATATTGCTCAGATGTGTATGTTTTCTCGGAAATTGTATGTCGAGGAATCAAGATTCGGAATCGAGATTCGGAATCGAGAATCGGAATCGAAAATTTAGGAATCGGATAAAAATCGAATACTTGAAAGTGATCATAGTTAGTATCCTTACTTAATAGTATCTAATTCAATTAGGGCGACGCGGGGGCCTAGCGGTTAGAGTACTCCTGTACAGATCGTACAATTGTTAAATATCAGTTGCTGCTTGTTCTGGGCAAAATCGTACAAATCGTTAGATATCAGAGCGAAAGGCCTGAACAACCGTCGTATAAAAGATTCGTTAGTGCGCTTTTAGTGTCCTAGACCTAAACGTATTAAAATTTTATTCTCTACTTTATCCTCTTTTATGCGCACAGTCCAATAGTACGATGGCATAGAAGCCGGATAAGTTGTTTTCCATGGGAACTAAAATTATCAGCACAGAATACATCGGTGCTACTTCAATATTCCACAATTTTGAAAAGTAAAGAAAAGCCCTTTTGTACGCTTGAAATAACTTTGTTTCTTCTACCGACACAAACGGTGAAATGATGACTGATAGCGCGAATAAACAAGGAATTAGCTTAGTGAGAATTGTAAATACTTTCTACTTCATTATAAATTATAGATAAGGGATGTTTTCATTGTCATTGAATAGTGCACTATATCAGGGAATTTATAACTGTTTTCATTTTTCGAAATAGTGAATTCAAAATCTTGTTTAGATAAGTAAAGCAGGCTTATAGCATGGCTATATATAAGCGGTATAGATATACAATAATTTCTGCCGGAAACGAAACGATACCGACCAAAAACTCAATATTTATAAAAAAAGGTTGGGGCTCCCGAAGTATGCGAACCAAGATGGCGGACATCGGAATGTAATATGTGTACTAGGTTAGGGTTAGGCCATAATTTTAGGTATAAATACTACGGGAGGCTCTTGGCTAGTCTTCGAACTGATAATAGGACTAAAATAAGGAAAATTGGAAAAAAATTATGGCCTAACCCTAACCTGTTACCCATGTTACGTTCCGATGTCCGCCATCTTGGTTCGCATACTTCGGGAGCACCCAAAAGTTTTATTGTTATTATGAGCGACCATGTTGTTATGAGCGACCAATATACATTTCCTATTCTTAACACCCTTTCAAAATTGACAAACTTTCAAAACGCATCCCATAATTAAAGCATTGAGTGCCGTAAAAGTTCTAGAATCTGCATAAAAAATGAATGTGAACTATTGGTAGCTTTGTCATTCCAATCCAATATATATAGGTAGTAGACAATGCTTCTGTAATGCAATGCCCAATCTTTCCCATTCCCATCCCATTTTCCCAGTTTTGTCAAGTTTGCTGTTTGTTTCTGTTGTTTTATATTTTAATTTTAAAATTTAACTTCGATTACTCATCATTTGCTGGGCAATAAGTTTTCAGGTAGTCCCGAAGTATGTTGTGTACCAGGTTAGGGTTAGGCCATAATTTTATTCCGATTTTTTTCATTTTAGTTCTATTACGAGTTCGGGGACTGTCTGTGTTAGCCAAGTGAAGATACCCCCTGCCCCATATTGGTACACACACTTCTGGACCGCCATTTTCCATGTGTATTTCTCAAAATCATCAACTGTTATTTCCTTACTGAGTGTTTTGTTGGAATTACCCCTTCTATATTGTGTAAACGCAAATCAGGCTACTTTATAACTTCACTTCGATTACTGTTGACATCCGTACTTCACCTGCTCACCTGCCCCAAGTATTTGAGTAACTAATCCTACTTAATGTGTAGACAAAAGACTCAGTATTGCGTGGTTAAATTATTGTAACAGTTTAATTAACTTAAAGTGTTGGTCGTGGCGTCTAGCAGAAGTATATTTGCATTAGCATTTTTTGTACACAATGTTGAAGAACTTATTTGTCAGTATAAACGATCACTGAAACGTTTCATGGCTTAGATGTGTTTTGCGAGCGTAAAGGGATGTAAAGCAAGAAAACAATTATGTCATTGACTGTCAGGAACTCTTTATTTTGATTCCAACTTTTTCGAAAGAAAATTAATGCGAGCAAAAACAGCCTTTATTTATTTATAATTGCTCACAAATAAGATAACATTCAGAAAAAATAATTGTGACTGAAATTTATCGATGCATTATAAAGCTTTATTCGGAACAGTATGGAAGTATACCTAATTTTTTATTCCATATGGTATCACGTTCATCTCTTCTTCTTGAGATGTTAAATGGATTTCAACAGTCGTAAATACCTAATATATATTCATTGTGTGGCAAGATAATAAGCAATGGCCGTCCGTACTCCGCAGTGGGATTCATTTGTACGAACCCGTTCTTGAAATGTCGCGATGGTCAGCGAACACGTTCTTGTTTTTAGAGCTATATATGCGTCATGGTTTTCTGAAATGAAATACATTCGATACAAAATAGAATTTGAAATTCTTAAAAAAATCCTAATTGCTACACTGGCCGTATTACATAACTTTTCAGTAAATAAAATTGAAACAACTCAGAAGTGTGTGTACCAATATGGAGGAAACTAATTTTATTCGCCTACTTTACATCAGGTTGTGTAAAGAGACTGAAACCTATGGGCAGGGTATATTCTCGTGGCTAACACAGACAGTCGCCAAACTTGTAGTAGAACTAAAATAAGGAAAATCAGAATAATATTTAGGCCCAAACCCTAACCTGGTACACATACTACGGGAGTACCGTATTTAGAATTGAAATAACAAGACTTTACATTAAATTAAGCGTTAATATTATAGTGTACATCTTACTTCTTGTGTTATGAAGGGAGCAACGAGAACAGATTCTCCAATACCGAAAAAGCTTCGAAGACCTAAGACAGTTGCACCGTTGCAAACTAAAGCACAAAGGCTGGCAAAAGAAAAAGGATTTATTTTAGATGGAATTGCGTTGAGCAACATACAGGTATAATATAAATGCTAGAGCAGTGTTTTTCAACCTATGGGTCGCGACCCAAAACTGGGTCGTCTAAAATATTTTCTGGGTCGCTTGTTTTTTAACAAAATTCTGAAAGTTGTCGATTACATTTTCTAGTAGATTTTACTGTTTATTTTTACTGTTGCACAATATAATTAATACGTGGAAGTGGGAAATATAACTGCGTAAAATTTTGACAGCGTTTATTTTACTTAAGTGAAGTCAAGCTCTCATGGCTAATGGCAAACTCACTTTGAATCAATTTCTGGTTAAATAAATGTTTTGTAAAAACAATAGTTTCGTATTATTAATTTAATTTTGCGGGCATGAAAGTACTACATGCCGTTTAGCATTTGAGCATATGGCCGGGTCGCGAGATTTTACAAAATTTATTTACAAAAAATTGGATCGCTTGCAAAAAAGGCTGGGAACCATTATGCTACAGTATTGCTATGATTCAGGAGGTTTAAAATAGGTGCATCGATTTTTAAGTGTTGGTGTAAAAAGGCAATGCTGTATTTCAAGTCGGCGGTCAGGTAATCCGAAACAGGCCATCGAATTGAATAAATAAAACAATAAATTGTGTCTCGTCTTAAATAAACTTCAGGAGAGCTGGCCAATACGTGAATCCTGAGGGGTTTGTTTTTATTTGTTTTATCAAATGGATGATCCATTACCCCTTCTATATTGTGTATAGGATATGCTAATTAGAGTTCTGGACGTAGTGAAGGAAAGTGAGTTGCCCCTTTTCCAGTAGGCTATGAATTAAAAACTGGGTTTCATTTATAAAAACACCTGATGTTTAAAGATTCATGGTTAAAGATTTTATTCATTTTTTGACCTTATTAAATCATAGTAATTTTTGACTATTGCATTTACAGGACGATTATTCGCGAGTTCAGCCGAAACTTGGACCAGCGATTCCGCCGTATAACTCTCATTTTGATCGACATGTTGGGAATTATTTTAGATTTAAAGGTGTAAACAAAACATTGAAAAATACCGGACAGGTGAGTAGGACACTTGTTAAATTGTATTTGTGACTCTAGACCAGTGATTCACAGCAAATTATGCGTTGTGTATCGGTACGAAGTAAAACGCTCGAAAAATTGTAGTAAGATAGTATGCCTTTGATTCCATCGAATGTGGTTTCTATAAAGGCATGAAATGGCCTTATGTCGAAACAAGTTTATTCTATTTTAGTGTGGTGATGTGTTCATTACTTGTTAAAACTTTAACATTTCATCAATTTGTAGAATAACAAAAGAGCAATGCTCAAATATATAGACACAAATGTCGCCGGTACGATAAGTCATTAGCTGTCTGAGTTGTGAGAATCGAGTTTGTGGAAAAGATCGTCGAACAAGTGTGGCGGAATAAAACTCTTCCGTAAAAAATGTCCTCCTATCATTTCACACGTTTTGCTCAAAACACGGTCGAAAAACGAAACGAAAAATATAAACACATTTCATGAATTACAGAGTCGTTGAAAGGTGGTTGGGATGTTTTCAATCTCCATTCACTTTTAGGTTCGAGAACGAAGTCAGTCGTTACAAGGGAAAGCAGTTGATAGATTTCATTACATCGGAGATGGACATATTTATATTCAAAAAAGAAATAGATCTGGTGCAGGTTTGTCTAATTTTAAAAGTATTTTTTGATAAAATTTGTGGCGCTCCAGATGTGTGTGTACCAATATTGAGGTAACTAATTTTGTTCGCCTAATTTACTTAGAAATCTGTAAGGAACTGGAACCTTTGGGCAGGGGGTATATTCACTTGGCTGAAACAGACAATCCCCAGACTCGTAATAAAACCTAAATAAGGAAAACCGGAATAAAATTATGGTCTAACACTAACATGGTACACACACTACGGGAGTACCACACTTTTTTTGTTCTCTGATGTTTTAAGATTCGTCTGATATTATCAGCCCAAAAAACTACTGTCCGAAGCCTATTAGCATTACAAGTAGCATTACAAATTAGTAGCATTATAAATTCCAGTTGTTCCAGCAAAATACTGTCCTTCTGGTGATCCGTTGACTTTTGGCTACCGCGATCATCGCGGACGCAAAACCTAGAAGGAACCACAAGTTTAGAAATCCTGATTTCAGTGAAAACATATCTTTGTCTATAGATTTGCATCGTAATGTGAAACTATTCTCAATTACAGGATATTCACGGGAATTCGTAGATGGGCACGATCAATTTCTTTCCGAAATTAAACCAATGAACAGTTACAACGGTAGATTCGGATTCAGACGAAACACACCGACACTGCGAAACTGCCCGTCGCCATTTGGGACTGCCAGTAGATCTCCGACACATTAAAAACACATTTCAAACTTGAGTTCTTCATTGTATTCTATAGCCTACTACGTCTCAATGGTGCATATTATCACTATGCTCACTTGAAAGCTTCTTTCACTAGATCAGTTTAGCTACAAGAAAGCAAGCTATTCAAATTCAACACGTTTCCCTGTTTGTAACAAGTTGTTGACCTATAACAAAAACACAATTCGGTACTCCCGTAGTATGTGTACCAGGTTAGGGTTAGGCAATAATTTATTTCGATTTTCCGTATTTTCTCGGGGACTGTCTGTGTTAGCCAAGTGAATATACCCCCTGCCCATCAGTGTCAGTCCGTTTACACAACTTGATGTTAAATAGGCGAACAAAATTGTTTACCTCCATATTGGTACACATACTTCCGGAGCGCCCACAATTCAGCGTCAACATCCGCCATATATATCAAACTTGAGTGAAATCAACAACTTGGCATTTATATAATGGTCATTGAAATCTTTTTTTGATTTTAATATTTGCTTGCGATGTCTGTCAGTTTTTAGGAGTCCACATTTGAACATTGGGAATAAATGAGTTTGAAAGGAAAAAGACACTTTTTCAATATTCAACTTTAAAAAAAACTTCCAATTTACTTGGATATATGAATATTAATTACGCATCGAAATGTTTTAAAGAAAATTAATTGTCTAAACCTTATTACTGAAGATATATATGAGTGGAATGTTTGGCAATATTTTTCTTAGTATATTATTCTATGGTTTTCTATATTTCATTGTGATTAAAAATGATACTAACCCTTTTGCGATATTTAAAATATTTTTCTAGAATACAGATTTAAAAAATTCATTTTATTTCAAACGCTTTTAAGTAAGAAAAAATGCTTAAATACAGTCATTATTATAATGTAGGTAACTTGAAGCAAAGTCATTGATTGTGTAAATCAAAACTATTGGAGGTGATTAGGCTTTTAGAATATTATGAAATATGAAGATAAAAAAGGTACTAATCTGCATTTATCCCGGAGAGAGAAAAGATAAAAAATGCCAACAAATATTGAGAGGAAATCCGTTGTATTGTGAATGTGAAAATGAAACGTGATAATTAAAATCGGAAGTATAGAAGCACCTATGACATACGCCAATTTACAATAAGATGGATTATTTCTTAGAAAGTTACCTAGCTCGGCGATGTGGCGCATCGGGCTAGGTGTTAGAAACACGCTCGCCATCCCTTTTTCTCTCACATGGACGAACATTAAACCACCAGAAAAAGCAAGAGAGCAATGGTCAAATATATAATAAGGAATAGCAAAACAAGAATAGTACAATTATCTAATCCAGGGTGGTCCAAGGTTGCCGGCTCCGCGGGCCACAAAATCATTTTTGCATTGTTTACGGGCCACAATAGTGCCAAAAATAGGTAAACAATGCAATGCAAAACAAACCCTTTTATTATGCAAACACATAGTTATCAGACATAGCCATCCCAGGCTAATAGAATCCGCATTCGATTTTTAGTTTTCTCTGATGCATATATTGTTAGCATATATTCCCGACCAAAAAGATAGAAAAGCCAGATAACACTTTAGACTGCCGAGCACATTATTCAACTTCGCTAGTGGCCTCAGCTAGCCATAACACTAGTCAATTCAGTGACATTAGTGATGTAACAATATGTCGAAAGATTTTTCTGATTAATTTTATTACGAAACAACACGGAGTGCTATTTTTTCATTACTCTCCAAATGCGACGCGGGTCACAGATAATGAATCCGCGGGCCACATGTGTTTGGACCACCCTGATCTAATCTCTCATAGTACCGGAACCGTACACCTTCTGACTTCGACTGACCAGTGACCACCAGATACTAAAGTAACGATTGAGAATGCGGAACCGCCACATGATGCACAATTTTTTAATTCCGATTACGTCATTGCACAAAAATTCTTAATGAAAAACGAATTCCATAGAGTCGACAGAAAATTTTGAAATAAATAAAAGTAAAAAAGCAGTGACAAATCTTTGACCACTAAAAATTCAAAGCAATTCGCTAGGTAAAAAGAAACGCGATTTTTTCACAACAATAACAACAACGTGAAAAAGAATACATCCAACAACAACAACATAATACCAAAACGATCCATATGTTCATTTCGTGTCCAATAATAATACGCCGAGTAGGTTTACAAAATCTTCACAAAATTTCATTACAAAAAGTAATTATTTTAGGCATATTAAACAGTACACGAGAATATCGGTCAGAGACTGAAGACTTATTTTTCGAAAGTTAGGGGATCCCCCAAAACAGCGCTCTTACTTCATAGTGACACCTTGTGTCCCATCACTAATTAATTCATAACTCGCTAATTGTATTACATAATTCATCCAAAATCAATAGGCTTCTGGTACGACATATGATGAATGCAAATGCAAAATCTGGAGCAGATTCAAGCTTGCTTTCGTGAGATATCGCCTGCATCTAACAGACAAACAGACAAATACCTATCAACATACTTACCGATTAAAATCGATAAGTAAATAAAAATGAGACTTTTCATGAAACATGGATCTATTTAATTCATAATGCATGAACTAAACTTCGACAAGAAACAATAATTATTCATTGACGATTGAATCATTTTACGAAAATACGGTGTCTCATGTTACTTTCTACTGATAAAAACGGATATTGATCTCTTTCTGTATATTCATAGTTTTGCGAGTTTACAAAAAAAATAACAAAAAACATGATAACATTCTTACGTCACAAAAAGTTTCCCACTTCCGAGGTTTTTGAAACTAGAGATTTTAATTTAATTTTACTCGGACAATTAAGTTACAATACCGTGTCTGGGAGCAAGAATGTATGCATCGAAATGAATACCGTATTCAGGCAAACTATTTTTCTCAGAGACTATGACAAAAGAAAAAGTTCATCCATGACACTTTGAAGCTATGACACGCGTGGACTGCATGGTAATTGCGTGACCAAGTTTACCTCGTCCGCAATTTTTCAAAAAAGGGTTCCGTTCCCCCATTTATAAAAGATGAACCCATGTCCTCAAAATTCAGCGAAGCCTTACAAAAATGTTAAATGAAAACTCTCCAATCAGCGTTGCAATTGTTTGTAAAATGGCAAATTTTATAAACTCAAAATATTTCACGATAATCGAATACTACTTGTATTTTGTCTACTTATCTGACACCACGAAGATTATCAGTTTGAGGGAACTACTAGAATTAAAATCAAAACAAGCAAAAATACTTCAATTCTAATTTATTTAGAAAATAATAAAGTTTATTTTTTAATATTAAAGTTAAGTAGGATTTCATTCATTTAGACGAAACAAGTGTTCTCTGATCATCAAACGATCGAGTACCATTTATTATGGTACGAATTTCAACCATTTTTTTTACCCGTTTCTATTCCTTGAACGTTTTAATTTAGCAAAAACAGTTATGTGTGCGACCAATGGAATGAGTGTTCACGCTATCCGTTCAAATAAAATTTACCCCCATTTTTAACGTGTTTCAACCTCTATAATCTAATACGTCCTGTAACATTCTTTGTTCTGTCATTTTGCCATGTCATAGGAAGTTGCATTATCCGAGTTCTTCAATCCATTTGATTCTTAGCTTCTTCCTAAGCGATAATTTGATTTAATGAAACTTTAATATTAATACTGGAGTAAGGAAAAAGTACGCATTTATTTTGTTTGAAATTTTGATACTCATGAAGTATGCGTACCAAGATGACGAACACCGGAACGTAGTAAGTGTACCAGGTTAGGTCCAGGCCATAATTTGATTCCAATTTTCCTTATTTTAGTTCTATTACGAGTTCGGGGACTAGTAATTGTACCTAACATTATGGGTAAAACCTGTACACATACTACGTTCCGGTGTACGCCATCTTGGTACGCATACTTCAGGAGAACCGAATTTTTTTCTAATCGATGTAAGACATAACATGTACATAATTGTATTTCGTTTTTTTTTTTCAATTCATATCGTGCACCTGGTTTAATTTATTTGCCATACTTGACAGATTTGCCTAGCAGATTTTTTTAAATTGAACTTTCATCAATGCATAATAAAACCAAACAAGTCCGGAATAATTTTGATTATTATTTGCTGTATTGTATTAGGAAGTTTGATACTTAAATTACCTCAATGAATGTCTTTACGAGAATATATTGCGCTTACAAAGCGAATGAAATATATTTTAGGGCAAAATATCCAGTACATAAGATTGAGACAAAACAAAAATCTTTTTAATTCTTGACACTTGATTTGAACTTTTACAAAAAGCAATAATTATTCCCCCCTAAAAATGTGGAATTCCCCATTGCTCTCCATTGGCAAACCATCCGGTATTCATCTCCTTATGCATTTTCAATTTTTTGCGAATTTACAAATACAGATCACGCGACATTGCACAAGACTGGAACATTATACATCATTGCAGCTACCTGCTTCAACATTCTCACGTTACAAGAAGTTCCCGCTCTTTAGGATGTGTTTCTGAAATTTTATCCGACTCGGGGAGTGCTTTTTCTATCCAATTTTAGTGAAGCGAATAGGCTTCAACACCGTGTATTAGAGCGAGCTGCTATATATCAAAATAAATGTAATTCAAGAAAATTAGTTTTTTTTTTGGAACCACGCGTTCAAAAATGTCTTTTCAGGCCAATGTTTTATGCTCGAACGTCTGTATATATTTCCGTTGCACCCAGTTTTCAATTTCGTTTGGTATTAGCTGTAGCTTACTGTTGTTATAAAGTTTAAATATGAAGTTTATTTTAACTCTCGCTATTGTCTCCGCTATTGCCTTTGAAATATCTTGCGACATTCCCAATGTTTTTGAGTTTTGCTCTGCGTTAATGTCCGACAGGCAAACATCGTGTGACAGAAGCACGTGTCAAGGAATCCCTGGCAAACGAGGGCCAGAGGGGCCAAGAGGTTTAATAGGATTAAAGGGCGATACTGGTGCGGCTGGTTCGCCAAGAGAGCTCGAAGAAAAAGTAAAACGGATTGAAGGTATTTTCGTTAAAGATTGTGAACAGAACGTTGGTGTTAAAAGCAAGAGATTTATAACAAGAAATCACAATATTACACAGCTCGTTTAGATTTATTCATTTTTAGAATTATTAATTAAGAGTCACCTAGTATTCAATTCACATACATTACATTACAGTCATTTTTCTGATATTTGTTGATATATCTGTGTTTTTCATTTTTTTGCTTCCAAATTTTTGTTTACCATA